TGAGCCTCCAAAGACATTCAGTCTGAAACCAGGACCCGTTTAAAGTGCAGCTGGAGTGAATCAGACACTATTAAAACCAAAGTGACAGAAATGGTTGTGTTATTTTGTCCACTCTCTCAACAACACAACTCAACCAACACAGCGTGAAGCAGCTTTTAGAGACACAGAAACTCCTTCAATCTGACATAAAATACAGAAAAGCCTTTCGTTCCTGCGTCTTACACAAAGTACACGTTTATTTGTTTAACCAATAATTGCAACGCTAAAAACTCTTTGGTGTTCAGTTTAGTTCATTCAGTTGGTTCCTCTTTCAACAAAGACCTGGTCCAATCTTCTCTGTTCAGACACTATTTTCACTTTACTTAATAGTGGAAGAAACGGGAGAAGTTGAGCCTAGACTCGCGCTGGAGAATTAGCGGATTCAGACGGTTAGTTTGGTGAGTAAACACGCAAAGGGGCTGCGCCATTCGGGACGCGGACAGGCGGTCCTCCCCCAGGCAGATGTTCACGTCGGAACCGGCCTGCCAGCTCGGTACCGAGCGCACTTCTCTGTGCTCATTCCTTCGTTCTGTCGCGCGACGCGGGGCGGCAAGAATCCACGCCCAGAGGCTACGTTTCCCTCCCCGCCTGCCTGTCACACGCCCCGCCGTGTCACGACACGACTAACGGAACGGAGTTCAACGGACAGACGGTCCCGCGTGAGTTCTGTCCCAGGTCGGTGGGACACGTGACGTCACGACGAGGGTCGCGAGGCGCAGCGAGCCCGACGGTTTAACTCTTTAAACTTCGACCGAGCGACGTGTCTCGAGAGTCCCAGACGTCCCGACTCGCTCCGCGGACACGTGAATACATCACCGTCGTGGGCGCGCGCGCGCGCGCGTGGGGGTGGGGGGGGGGGTCACGTTCCCTCCGTGTCCCTAACGTCCGTTAACCAGCTCCACGTAGTACGCGGCGCCTCGCGCTGCGGCCTAACGGCGTGAAGGATGCCGGGAGGCTCCTGGCTCCCACGTCAAGTTGAACGCTGACGTCAGGAGCTTCTTGTCTGGACGCTGGAAACTTTTCAAAGTTGAGACAAACAAACGTTCGAGCTGACCTGAGCGCGTGAATCCTCTCCCGACGGCGGCGCCTCGGACTTCACGAACCGAACTGTCGTTAGTCGAAGGTTTGGGGATTATTCCGGGTAGAGAGCGAGGATTCGAGCGAGGGGAAAAGCCAGATAGCGTCTTTCGGTTCCCCTCCCTATCCGCCCGAGTTAAACTCCACCCCGGCGGCGGCCCACGGGCCGCGCGGCGGGGCGCTGTCGCACTTCCGTGGACATGTGGGTGTACTGTTGTTCTGCGGCAGCCATCGCCGAGCAGGCCGACCATAATTAATCATTGTTATCATTCGAATATTTAGTTATGAGGCGGAAGAGTCTGGATCCGACATCCCGCTACAATAACAACCGTATTGGTTCTACAGGCACTGAAGCTCTTTATCATCCAACTGTTCCAGTATCCCAGTAAAAGGCTGGAGAGCATCACTGGGGAGACTGGCCTCGGATCAGGGGACGATAATGGATGCAAGGAGTCGTGCTGAATGGAATTGTTTTCACAAATGTATGTTAAACTCTAAAGAATGATTTTTAAAAAAGGGGCAATAACCAAGTTCATCATTGATGACAGAAGGCATGTGGTCTGTTCAGGGTTCCTTGGTGACATCGTGATCTAGGACAGAAACCACAAGGGGCACCGGAAGAAACCCTCCCCAGTAAACGCTGATTGTAGACGATACAAGACTTTAGGCAACGGGATCATTGGCTCCACGGAAGTTCTCACATGAGGTCGGCTCCTTAAGTTAAATAATCAGGTCAAAGATCAAAACAACAAAAATGTATCAATCTTACTGCTTCATCTAATCTTATCACAGTGGGGCGGCTGGCCAATTTTGGAAAAAAAAGAATTATATTAGTAATAAATTATACAAATTGTCAATATTTGGTTTAACAAAATATGGAATGTACCAAGTAATACCTGCAAAATATGATTTCTGCCCCAAATATATGCTTTCCCTGCACATCACATCTCAATGAAAAGAATGATGTTGGAGATCTTCACTGATATGGACAGATTAATCTCATAGGAACAAAGTGTTTTGATGGATACAAAAGTTTTACCCTACTTATTTTATAGACACCCCTGAAACTCAAGGTGAAAAAATTCTGTGGCAGGCTAGCCCATTTCGCCCAAATTCAATTTCTGCAACTCAAAATGCTTCTTAAATCTGGTGTGGCCGCCCACGTGCTTGTATGAGTCCGTGAACACGTCGCGGCATGCTCCTAATGAGACGACGGGTCTCGTGAGATGTCCTCTCAGATCTGAGGTCTTTTATCGAGTTTAGGTCAGGTGTCTGTGAGGGCCGTCCAATGGAATCAATTCCTTCCTCCTCCAGGCACTGCCTGCACACTCTAGCCACATGAGGCTGGGCATTGTCTTCAATGGAGGAACCCAGGACCTACTGCTCCAGCGTAGGGTCTGACCATGTTTCAAGGATTTCATCCTGATACCTAATGGCAGTCAGACTGCCACTCTGTAGCCCTTAGAAGTCTGTGCGTCCCTCCGTGGATGTGCCTCCCAAGACCATCACTGATCCACCACCATCTGATTGACTGGGCAGAGACTTTCACACCAGTGGCCTGCTGGAGATCATTCCAACCGGTCCCTCCTTGCGCAAACAGCAGATATCGGTGCTGCTCACGGGTTGCAAAATTCACCCTGTGTTGTTATGTTGTGAAGCACTGGCATTTGGATCTTTGGGGCTTCTGTGACCGTGCCCTTCATCTGACGCGACGTCGTTACTGAGCAACAACAAGTTTTTGGGCGGTCATTCATTGCGTGTTTTTTTCGCAACTAGGTAGAGTCAGAGGCATTCTCTATCACTCTGGGTAGAGTTTTAAACAAAGTTTAAAAGTAACGCGATATTAAACGTAAACAGACCACGTTACCTGGTAAGTGAGAGTAGCTTATATGATATTGTGTGTGTTTGTGTGCCTGTGTGACATCACATGCTCAGTATATGGGGTGTCGCTCTGGGACGGGCCAGTATGAGGCTGGGAGGAGAAAATCACAGTATACTCACTACAAAAATATAGACTACACCACTGTGTTAATTCCAATGCAGCTGAAACTGCACTGAAAATTAACAGCCCCTCTACTACTTTATATATATATATATCTAATATATATATTAGATATATATATATAATACATATAGATATATGTATTTTATTATATATATTATATATAAATAATACATATAATATATTGATTATGTCAGTCCGTAGCTTTCTCTGCCCCCCACCCCAACCTTGATCAGTGACAACATGTGCAGCTACATGTCATCATCAGCTGGTGGAGGTGGTGCCCAGTAAGAGGCGCTGGTGAGCGTCCTCTACCCTGGTCAAGGAGGCTCACCAGCGCCTCTCCTTCCTGAGGAGACTGACGAAGGGTCATCTGTCCCTTCAGATCTTCTACCGCTGCACCATCGAGAGCATCCTCACCAACTCCATCACCGTGTGGTGCGGCAGTTGTGGAGCAGAAATCACTCCGGAGGGGGGGGGGGGAACTGCCCTGGGCTTCACGGCTTCCTCCCTCCCCACCATCAGTTCTGTCCAGCACAAAAGATGTCTGCGGAGGGCGCGCAGCAACGCAAGCCGGGACAACTCTCACCCCACCATGTTTGCCCCGCCCCCCCCTGCTCTCGCCCACTGACACCTTCCAGCCACTGAACATTCTGCACTTCAATTATGCCACATTTCCACTACCATGTCATTCACATTTTCAAACTTGCTGCTTAATGAAGTATACTGCTCAATGCATATTTATACATACCACCTCTTATGTAGCGCTACGTACTTGATCGGGGCTCTTGTATTGTGTTGTCTCAGTACCTGTACAATGAATCTAATCTAATGTAATCTAAATAACGTGGCCTCCGCTGATCATTGGACGACGTTTTGGGGAGAGACGGTCCGATTAGGACGGACAGCGCACATCCCACTTCGGATGGATCAGATCTCATGTCAACACATCAGTGTCTCAGTGGACCTAATCCATGTCCCAGAGTACAGACCAGGAAGCACCTGGAGTGACACACTTCTCTGTGCTTCCTTCAGATCAGTCACCCACAAAACCATAGAGGAACCCCGCAGGGGCCGTCGGCCCCACGGCCACGTACATTAGTTACATCAAAGGTAAATAACTAAATAAAAGTTAAAACCAATGATGCAACAAAATACTAAAGTCACGTTTATGCTTGTATTCCTCAGAGGTGGAGTAGCAGCTATTTTTGACCTTTGCCTTTTGATAAACCCTAAACCTAAAGTAGATAACTCATTTGAAAGCCTGGGTTCATGTCTTACACAGCCAGTTATATTTGTTGTAGTGTGCAGGGTTTGATCCTTAAACCGGACAAGTCATTATTGTGGGGGATTTTAATATTTACGTGGAGGTTGAAAACCGCCTTGGTAGTGCATTCATCTCATTGTTAGATTAAATAGGTTTCTGTCAGAGTGAACAGTCTCACTCCTGACCCCTGACCCCTCAGAGACTTCACTGACGTCACCTGGTCAGCGGTAGTTTAAATGGTGTAAATATGAATGGGAAGCACTTTGCTTCATGTGACATGTTTTCCGCTCTGATTTGAACATCTTTCAGGCTCTTTCCGTTTTCGATTGCTCAAAATTGCTTTGGTGACATTTTACAAATAAAGGCATAGTCTGATTTCATGGGCTTTCTTTTTCCTCCATCTACAATCCTTGGTGTTATAAATGTTTACATGTTATGACAGTGAACAGACATGCCGTCCGCTTTGTTCACATCATTGCAATGAACTGTGGGTAATTTCTTTTAATTAATTAATATATTTATTAAAAAAGCTTTATTTAGAAGCTTTGCCCGGTCACTGGACATGTGATGGGAATGACCATTTGTTTTCAAAAGAGACACCGAAACCACAGAGCGTGACATTTTTCATAAAAGTAATGATTTATCAACCATTTGTTCATTTAATAGTTACAATATACATCATGACAAATGTTGCCATACTTCTCCTCAAGCCGTCTCTTTTGAGACTTTGAAAACAATCAGAGCGAATGACTTTGGAAAGTTGAACAGCAGCAGTTACACTTTTCATGGAAATAAATGAAAGCACTTGGTGCAACATGGGACACGCCTCACACTTCAACAGGGTTACGGTCTTAATGCTTCCTACGCGACATCAGCTACAGCACCAATGGTGGAAGAGAGACACCACCCTGTGAAGCTCTCTGGGCGAGTCCTGATGTGTGGTCACACGATGGACGTGCAGAGAACTAGTAAACAAAGGTATTGAACATGAATAGCACAGTGGGGTACGAGGTGACATGTCAGCATTTTTTCGATACATTAGCACAGTTGAGGCACACTTCCCTTTGACGGTTTAGTCAGCAGGAAGCCTGCAACCACATTCATTATGTCCATTTTCTCTTCCTCTCACTGGCTGCCAGCTGCCAGTAGGAAGCCTGCTTGTTTAATCCAACATCTGCGTGTGCTTCTTCCAAATATAAACCGTCCATTTTGCACAAATGCATAAGGAAAATATGTACAAATGTTAACGTTGAAATAAAAGACTGCTAAAACATGATTACTGTGATCAAAACAGACTGTGGTCAATTCTGGAGCTTACTGTCAGACGAGGGTGATGGAAGCTGTCCGCACTGCTCCAACCTAATTTAGTTTTTCTAGTGTCTTCCGAGGGGACACCCTCTTCCCCTGCGGTCTACTTGTTAGAGTTCCCTTGATACCTCTCAGAGGTAAGCAGAGGGCTCAGTTGCCGACAGCAGCCTGCGGGCCGCCGGCTGCTGCAGGGATGCGAGGAATCTTCTTGGCTGGACTGGGGCCATGCTGGAGGAGGAAAGCAGCTACTGGTTAACAAAACACTAAACGGTTTTTGGGGTTGAATCCACAGCTGATCTGCTGCGGCGTTATGACAGCACCAATCACATGAGTCAAGTCACACTTCTAAACTCATATTTCATGCATGAACCCAGATGTGTGCAATGAGCGTTTGTAAAAATGCATAGTGATGTGGATCCTCTGACATACATTACATGTGATCACATAAGTTGGAGAGTGTCCCAGCGTACAGCGCTGCGTACCTCGGTGGCAGTGCTGGAGCGAACCACTTCTGGCTCTGAAGACAGGTCCTGGTTCAAAGGTCTCCTGCCATATTCCCTGCGGTGCTTGTCATCTATTCTTGTCAGGTACCAGGTCCCTGGGAAAAGGTCCTCCACTGGGCATCGAGGTACGTAGCTGGCTGTGAGGAAAGATACGATTATCAACATCGAGCTCAGTGGCTAGTTGGAACAGCCATTGGTGAACGCAGCCCATTCATGGCGTCGGTCGCGTTAGAACGCTAAAAAGGACCATTAAAATCTGCTTTCCTCAAATTTTCTTTTGGGTTATTTCGGTCAGACAGTGATTTTAAGAAGTCCTCCCTCTACTAGCTTACCGCATACTGGAGTACAGCCTGACCGTTCAATATGGGGAGTCGTTGAGCTCCAGCTCCCTGATATTAGAATTAGTGCTGAGCAACAACTACATTTATTTTTGATTGCCATTAATTGCATTGCGCAAAATAAAATAATTCAAAAGTATGGAACACTTTTATTTGTGCAAACTCTTTAGAGTTGAAAGAAATATTCCCTTTGCACATGGGCAGTTACAAATATTTATTGAGAAGTCCACATTTGTACTGGATTTCCGCTGGAGAATGTCGGGTTATTAATAACTTTATCAACTCGCCCGTCTGGAAGAGATTTAAAATGAAAATATCGACATAACGCTGCGGTCACACCAAAAGCAAAGCGAATGACTCGTGCAAGTTTACTTCGATCACCTCTCCTTCCTTCCTTCCTTCCTTCCTTCCTTCCTTCCTTCCCTCCCCCATGGTGTGTGTGTGTGTGTGTGTTCAGATGAGCAGACTTTTCTAAATTGTCTGCCATAATGATAAATGCATTAACGTGTTCAGCCCTAAATAGAATAGTTTGATAGCTGTGACACACGTTGAGATAAACAAACAGCACCCAGAGAGAGAGTTCGTCCTGGCAGACAGTGACAGCAGGGTCATACCGAGGTGGTGCGTGTCTTCTCTTAGCTTCATGTTCTCCGAGAAGACGGCAGGCGAGACCTTCTGCCTCGAGTCCAGTCTGACCTTCAGGTCGCTCAGGCTGGACACAAGTTTCTCCAGAACAGATCCTGAAACAAGGTCAGCGAATCACATGAGGAACACGCCTACTTGTAGCTTCTAAGAGGGTCCAATTCCATCCATGTCACATAGGCTGACCTACCAGGTGTGTGGTCCTGTGTGACTCTGAGAGAATACAGAGTAGCAGCAAATCCAGAACCGTAGGAGAAGACGCCGATCCGCTGTCCTGCCAGCTCTGAAGACGTGTGTCTGCAACACAGAAACAAGAAAAGATTCTCCTCAATAGGACAGCCGCAAGAAGAGTTCAATGAGCCACAGCACAAACAATGGATATGATGTCCCGTTAACTCAATACACACATACAGTGTAACAATCGCCGTTTCACCAATCAGGTCACCTTACAAATAGTTGGAAGTTTTAAGTACATAGAGTATGCCGTCGTTGCCCCTGTTAGGCTCTGGATAATCGATCAATATCTACTTCAGTAGACCCTTTGTGTTCTTCTGAAACGTCTCTGCTTCAGGTCTTCACTGAAGGTGCCATATCCTGAGCTGTGGTTTCGATCTGATGTAAACACATAAACAAAGTAGATGTACTTACTCTGCAAAGAGCGATGCCAGGCAGCCGTAGACGGAGGGCGTGTACATGTTTCCGTTCTGGTTAGAGATCAGCAGGGAGGGCTTGGTCTTCCTCTCAAACAGATCTGCACTGGCCTTCATAAAGGCCTTCTCCACATCCCGGTCAAAGTAGGTCTCTTCTGGTCGTACATCTCTACCAGTCAAATACAAACAAGTCGAACAATCACTAAAAGGCTCTCCTGCTTTTGTCCTGGATTAACTAGGTTGTACTTTTGCCATCTGGTTAATAGAGAAAACGAGTAGAATACTGCGGTTCTTCCAGTTATCATATCGGTAATCCTTAAAAAGGAGACATATCCTTCAGGGTTTCCACCTGAACACCTTCACATGCGTTGATGTTAAAAAGCATGTTGTTTGTCTCGTCTGTGTGAATATCCCTGTACTGTGAACTGAGCAGCAGACTACAGCATTTTGAGGGTTGAATGTACAATCTAAGCAAACTGTTGATTAGCATGTTACAACGCAGCTTGCTACGGATCAACTGATCACTTAAGACAGCGCGCGGAAGACTGACATGATAGTTGAAACCACGGCCACGTCTGCAGGAGCCCACTAGAGGGCGCCCACCTGCCCGTCTCTGTGATGATGGCAAGTTGAATCATTGATCCTGTGACAAAAGCAGTGGACAGGTGTCCACGTGATGAACGCGTGTGCTTTGGTAGAGGAAACACAATGTCGTGTAACTACATTAAAAGAGGCTCCTCAAGGTCGCCGGCTGACTGCATACAGCAGATCTACAACATGGCAGCTTATAGGTGACTTAAGCTAATGTTAGCGCTTACAGCATCAGTTCCATGTTGACGTTCCACATCTACGCTCTGTGCGAATGCCAGAGGATTCTGATTTGTAAATCATGGAGGTGTTAAAGGATCAATATACAACATCAGCATAAAATCTAACAACTATTATCGATGTCCCAGTTAGAGCGGAATATACTTCCTTAAATCTAGACTTTATCCATTTGGCCTGCTTTTCTTAAAATAGGACAAGCGGTTTTATTCCGTGTACCTGAAGGCATCGAGGCCTGCGAAGGGTCCCGTCTCAGTGTTGGGGCTGGGGTGGGTTAGAAAGTCATTCAGCATCAGTCTAGCAAACGACTTCTGGACCAGCTTGCAGTACGGAGAGTGGAAGACTAGATGGCCAAAGTCGTCCAGGCTGAAGCGCTTCTCTGAACCCTCTGTGGGGAAGACGAAGCATTTGATCATATGAACCATCTCTTGAATGTGAACCTACTGGGTTCTAGGGCTGTCAACGAATATTCCATATTCAAAAAGTTATTCAAAAGTAAAAATGATTATTCGAATGTAAAAAAACAACTGTCTGCTTTGCGGGTGGGCGCGCGCCTGACTACTGGCTGTATATTGCATGAATGAAATCGATTAGACCGGCTACAACCGCTTCATGCACTGGTTTGACTATTTGCAGTTTCATGCCACGCAACGTTTACAGCACAGCTCGCTCGAAGCAATCGATGTCGGCACGGTAAGACTACAATGAATGTTAAATTGCTAGCACAAAACTCATTTGTTTGATTGTTGTTGTTCATTTAAACCGCTGTGCGCGGAGAGCGAGACGGTGCGAGAGAGGGAGAGAGAGAAAGGTCTTTTACTGATTTACTTATTTTTGTGTAGGTAATATGTTGTTAAATATAATAACTTACTTATACACGTAGTTATGTCTCGTATTAGTTAATGCTATTGACGTGCATAACGCGCAACCAGATAGTCGAATATATGTGTTGTTTTTTTAAAGCGAATATTATACAACATCATTTTTGAGCACCTTTCACAGCCGTACTGGGTTCCATTTCACAGAGCAGAGAGAACGGTTTCTACCTGCATACACCAGATTGTGTTGAACCATACGCGCCGTACAACGTACCAAGGTGGGAACGCTCACCCCAATGGTCAGAAACGGGAATGTCAAAGAGCTGCCATGGAAACATGGAGCTGGAAACGTCCCTGAAGACTTGCCATTATCTCACATACTGTACATTAGGTTAGGGCTCATCTCATTAAACTACTTTATGGTCTCTGAACTTGGGTAAACTCTTTAGCACAGGTAGTGTCCTAAACCCGCTTAACCCTGTAATAAGGCTCTTATCTGACAAGTCGCTCCACCTGCATTTCAGCAACACCACCCTTCGAACACAAGGACTAACAGATAGATCAGGTAAAGTAGAAATATTACGACTGCTCATGTAGCAGCAATAGAACAGGAGTTCTGTATTAAGATGTGTGGCAGTGAGAACATTGAATAACCATGATGGGGAAACATGCTCTTATCTTTCCTGTCACAAGTCCAGAATGGTGTGGAGATCTGACACCTTAGTGGACCTAATCCCTGACGCCCCAGAGTTCGGACCAGGGAGGAGAACTGCAGTCTCAACCAGAGCAGTAACATCATAAACCCTAATGAGACTAGGAGAATTAGGATGTGGACTCTTTGTCACTTTAATTTGTCACTTTAAATAAAAAGTCCCCCTCAAAGTCATATTAATACTAGATTATAACTCATTTTAAAGCCTGGTTCTCAGTCTTTCACACCCGGAAAACTATTTAACCGTTTGTCTTTGCTGTAGTGCATAGGGCCCCAGGTCCTTATTACAAAATAAAATAAAATCATCATCTTGGGTCTGTGGAACACTTTAAAATGCAGCATCATTGATCATAGACAACGGTTGAACCCACCTCTCTGCCACTGTGCGTGGATCTTGTTGCGATACACAGTGTAACAGCGGTCCAAAGCACTCAGGTAGCACTCTATTGACAGCTTTCCATCGACCACAGGATACTCGGACATCAGGTCAGGCTTGTAGAAGTCATAGGCATGCTGCATGTGGGTTCCACGCAGACCTGCAGCAAAGACATCAGCTCGATTCAACTCCTTATCAACAGGTCAACCATTGAAGAAGGCTGCCTGACAAAGTGTGCACAGTTAACATTTGTCACATAGCTGACCCCGTTCAAACGCCAGAGGAGCATTAGGGCCGATCAGCATGGCCACTGCACCAGCACCCCCCGTCGGCCGGGCCCCTCCCGTGGCATACACAGCAATGTCCCCCGCAACAACCACAGCATAGCGCCCTGCAGAGTGGGAACACGAGGAGAAGGCAATGCAATCATCACACACGACACTGTTGCAGAAACGCATTCAAGAAGAGTGTATGTAACAATTAAGGCTGATTAAATACCATTATGTGCTTAAAAAGAATCGATCAGGCTTTAACAAAAGTATACATGTACACTTCCTTCTGATATTTCATGGACCATTTAAGTTCACTTACCGTCCCATGAGCTGGACTCGACCCAGTTGACAGCATTGAAGAGCGCCGCCGTACCCCCGTAGCAGGCGTTTGTGGTGTCAATGCCCTCCACATCTGTATTGCCAGAATCCTCAAACAGCTGCATGAGGACGGTTTTGACAGACTTGGACTTGTCAATGATGGTCTCTGTGCCGACCTCGAGTCGACCCACGCTGTCATAGGACAGACCATTCCGCTCCATCAACCGCTGGACCACCGTCAGGCACAAAGAGTTGATGTCCTCCCGATCGGAGCAGAAGCCCATGCGCGCTTGCCCGAGGCCCACGGTGTATTTCCCGGCCGATACACCGTCTAACTGCTCCAGCTCGGCCTGGTCCACATACTGGGACGGGAAGTACAGCTCCATGGCAACGATACCTACGTCTTTGGGCCATGGTCCTAAGCAACTGCTTGGGGCTGATCCTGGCATCCTGAATGGGTACAGAAGAAGTTTAATGTTCCACATGATATCAATTTAATAAACAGGTTATGTTTTAGAGTTGGAGTTGTTTGAATGTGTACAGTCTTGCACCCACTTAACACTCCTGGTGTAGAAAAGGGAACTGGTCTTTGCTCGGTCAGGGGGAATCAGCACATAAATCCACGTATTACTGTCCAAGTTACCGTTTGCTGAGCTCACAATAAGCTAGAGCCAACATTTTAGTCGCAAAGCATTTGGACATAAGACGACATAGTTGGGACATTGTTAGCTAAGCGTACTTGCTGTTGTAAGGTTAGCTAGCGGTCTGCTACGCTAACGTTACATAAATCAGAAACCGACAGTCAGCTCGCCCGCTTCAATAGTAACATGATACGTAATGTTGAGGTACAGTAACAGTAAAGAAAACCCGGTCCAGTTAAACACCGCTACCGTTAGCTGTAAAGGAACAAGACGGGCCTTTATAGGACTTAGGTTACATGTCTGTTAGCTTTATGTCTGAAGTATACGTAGCTGCAAGCTAACGTCACAGAACGCCCGTGTTAGATACTCGGCAGGACGAGAGGGACACTGGGGGAAAGGTCAATGGGATTTTCTAGAACATAACACGTTAATTCCGAAACCTGTAACGTTAACGTTACTCCTTAAGACTCAGTCACTTCGAAGGTGTAATGGTGGAACAAAAGACAGATGCGTTGACTTTATTGTATCGGACAGGATTTTTTAATAAATAACATTGTTTTGCTGGACCATAATTCAGCAGGTAAAGTTATATTACAACCCGGACCACATTGGTGACGGACCTACTTCCGCTCAAATGGTTCTGGAAATGTCAAACAGCACGTTAGATGTAACGCTAGCTTTATGGTATTTTTATCGACCAATTGTGTTACAATATATTAACTGACTATTCGAGAAGCCAAACCCCGAGGCGACCATTCTGATTGCATTAAGAGTCCACAGTGACAGAGTTTACGCGCTTCTACTCACTGAACGAACACGTTGAACTGAGTTGCGGATAAGCAATGCATTAAAGTGTAGCGCGTTACGTGGGTCTTCTCACCTGCGTGTGACGTTAGAGATGGTGAGCGTTTGTGACTCTATTCCGTAAATCGCGTCCTGTCCACGGCTCTCCGGCGATCCGCTGGCGTGTATTTATCTGTGACGGTGACGCAGCAGCGTCCGCCCCGCGCGGCAGCACCTGCCCCGCTGTCCAATCACAGCCCGCAGACCACATGCGGCGCTACCAAGTCCCGGACACGTCTGACCAATCACGGACCAGGATTCATAACCACGCGCCAGAGCCGCTTCCACGAACCAATGGCGAGAGTTGTACGATGTCTGGTGAGAGAGAAGGAGCCAATCGCGCTGTCGGAGTGATCGCTGGCGCGGTTGACTCGGCGGTGGGGCAGCGCTTGAAAAACAGAGCATTGTAGCCATGGCAACAACAGTCGACCCTGACCTGTACATGTAGTGTACATGTAGTGTAACGTACATTTTTTATAGAATTTAATCACTTTAAAATACAAATATATTTCCTGGATGCGCTAAAAAAAAAAAAGACCAATGTGGTTTCCCCAGCAACATAACTGGAATGATAAGGTTTATATGCTATGCAAAAAGGTCAACGTAATTTACACTTGTACATACATTCTGCCAAACAACATAGAAACATGCGAGACAGGCATCAACATCATGCACCTGGAACAAGTAAACTGTAGGATGTCTGGCATGAGAGATACTTCCAAACTATTTATAAGTAGAACTACTGAAGTAGTATCTATAAAATATTGAAAGTTACCTATGCAGTGAACTGTGGAATGGTTCCTTTCAAAGTGCGTTATATACATATATGTTAGATTGTAGAGCCCTCTGAGGCCTTGATTTCTAGGCTGCACAAATAAATTGAATACCTTGTAGTGAATGTGACTTCATAATTCACCCTTGTTCTTGTGTGGTTCTACACACTGATGTTTCAGGCAGTTATTTAGGTAATGTGTTATACACGTAATTACGACTGTTCCGGGATCGCGGTCCCTTTAAATGTTTCGTTGTTGTGAAAAATAAAACGAGACACACGCTTGTGTTCTCAACTTGAGGAATTGCCTTTTATATTCAAATGCAACTTCCACACTGGTGACCCCAACGTTCGTTTGCTTGACGTATTCGCAAACACGACTCGACCATGACTGCTGTCACCCTCAAACTCCCCGAATTCTGGGAATCGTCAGCGTCGGCATGGTTTGCCCAGACTGAAGCGCAGTTCGCGTTGCGGGAGATAACCGCTGATACAACACGGTATTACTATGTTGTGTCAGCTCTCGGTGACTCAACAGCAGCCCGAGTGGTGAGTCTCCTTAAACATCCTCCAGCTACGGCTGGCTGAAGAGGCTGATAAATCTTTCCTGGCGAGTCAAGGGCACTGTGTCATGACCGCACTTCTTCCCACACACGTCGCTCCTGTGACAATGGAGGATTCCACCCTTGTCGCAGCAACCTCTTCTCGCCGGCAGCGGTCTTCAGGTCGTCAGCCATCTTCAGGCCCCCAGCAGTCTTCTTCAGGCTTGTGCTTCTATCACAAGAAGTTTGGACCGAAGGCTCTTAAATGCCGCTCGCCATGCAGTTTCGACGGGTTGGGAAACACCAGGGCCGGCGCTCATTAGTGGCCATGAGAGTCGGCCGCGTAGGCAGGCTGCTTTTTATCCGTGACAGCATCTCCGGACGACGTTTCCTGTGCGACACGGGTGCACAGAGGAGTGTCCTGCCTGCATCCCGTTTGGACATGGTAACCGACAGCCATGGCCCCCCGATGGAAGCTGCCAATGGGACCCCCACCCGCACGTATGGAACAATGTACATTGAGTTGTGTTTCGGAGGGCATCGGTTTGGCTGGGATTTTGTCACGGCAAAAGTCGCCGTTCCCCTCCTTGCCGCTGATTTTTTGTGTGCGCATGGACTATTGGTGGATGTTAAGAACCGCCGTTTGATCAACGCTGTCACGTTCTGCTCTTATACTTTCACATTCAGCGGGGCTGACTCCATACGACTGTCTAGCATGCTCTCCCCATCAGATGACTTTCACCGTCTACTGGCTGGTTTTCCAGCACTCACCCAGCCCACTTTCTCTGCGTCGTGAAGCATGGTGTGGAACACCATATCGGCACTACTGGTCCACCCGTCTACGCCCGTGCTCGGCGCCTCGACCCGACCAAGCTTGCCGTTGCTAAGGATGAGTTTTCTAACATGGAACGCCTTGGAATAGTCCGCCAATCCAATAGCCCGTGGGCGTCACCCCTTCACATCGTCCCCAAACCTGATGGCGGCTGGCGCCCATGTGGCGACTACCGGCGGCTTAATGAGGCAACGACACCTGACCGATACCCAGTCCCGAACATACAGGATTTTTCAGCACACCTGGCCGGTATGGTGATTTTTTTCTAAGGTGGACCTCGTCCGGGGTTCTGATCAGGTGCCCATGCACGATATTCCAAAAACAGCAGTAATTACGCTGTTTGGTCTTTTTGAGTTCTTAAGGATGCCGTTCGGCCTTAAAAACTCAGCTTAAGATTTTCAGCGCCTGATGGACTCTGTTTTACGTGACCTGCCTTTTCTTTTTGTGTATTTGGACGACATTCTTGTAGCAAGCACATCCAAAGCTCAGCACCTGTCGCACCTCCGAGCACTTTTCGAGCGGCTCAACCAACATGGCCTGACTGTTAATCCCGCTAAGTGCCAGTTTGGTCTCTCCACCATTGACTTCATGGGACAGTCACCAAGGACGGTGCAGTCCCGCTCCCATCAAAGGTGGAGGCGGTCACACAGTTTCCACGCCCGCTCACCGTTTCATCCCTCGAGCCGCTCAACTCATGCAGCCCTTGCACAAGGCCTTGAAAGGTAAGCCCACGCACGCCGTGGACTGGACTGAGGGCAGGGACAAGGCATTCGTTGACACTAAGGCAGCCCTGGCGCGGGCCACCATGCTGGCACATCCTTCAGCCACAGCCTCCGTCGCCATCACCTCGGATGCCTCAGACTACGCTGTCGGTGCCGTCTACGAGCAGTGGGTAGGTGGGGCCTGGCAGCCGCTTGCTTTCTTCAGCCGCCAGCTGCGCGCTAACAAGCGTAAGTACAGCACTTTCGACCGGGAGCTGCTGGGTCTCTACCTCGCCATCAGACACTTTTGTTTCCTGCTGGAAGGTCGACACTGCACCGCCTTTGTCGACCACAAGCCGCTGGTTTTCGCCATGGCCAAAGACGGCCGAGCCGTGGTCCGCCGCCAGCAAAGTCATCTGTCCTACATTTCCGAGTTCACCACGGATTTACAGCACGTGGCCGGTAAGGACAACCAGGTGGCCTGTCACGGGCTGTGGCAGGAGGAGTCCATCTCGGTCTGGATTACAGCCGCATGGCAGCCGATCAGACCAAAGACCCAGACGTGCACACCGAAAATAGAGGATGTGGTCTTTGGTGAAGCCGACACCACGCTCATGTGCGACGTCTCCACAGGCAGTCCTCGGCCGATCGTTCCCACGGGGTGGAGACGATGCGCCTTTGATGCAATCTATGGTCTCTCCCACCCTGGTTCGAAAGCGTCAAGGTACACCGCCACACTAAAGCTCCATTAGAGGCGTTTTGACCGTTTTTGCTTCAGCCTACAGAGAACGTAGGTTCTTCTCCTATTAAGCCAAAGGAGATGAATGTCCATGAACGTATGCAACTTTCTATCAGCTGCTTCTTCTTTTAAGGGAAATGACACAACCTGCTTTAAGATTAAATTGCTGTTTATTTTATCAAGCCAATAACAATCATGAGGCACCTGAGCTCAGAGGTCAAGTTCAGGTCAGCAGCAAAAATTGAACAATTCAAATGCTAAAACCAAATATTAAGATTTCTTTTCTCCTGAGGCTCTAACACGCTTCTAACAACAGACTTTTTATTGTGAAAATCATTGATAAGAACACAAGTACCATTTAGAACAGAACGAATAAAAACCCAATGAGAACATTAAATAAAACACAACCAAGAGGCAACAGCTGAACTTTGCAATCAATTCAATCAGTTCCATTGTCCCGACATTCCACTCAAGTAGTGGAGCACACCGTGCACTGTTGAAGGGAAAATAGAAGTAAAATATTTAATACCCAGTATATCTGATACACAATAAACAATGCATGCATGTAGTAGAGACAGACTGAGGCTGTGATGCTGCTACCTTTCATTAAACTGGATTCATAAGTTTCTCTGCCACAGTAACAGCAGCTGGCTGCCTGCTTGGGGCTCCAACTCCTGCAACAGACAAAAGTATGATAGAACAAATGCAGCAAAGAAAGTGCATCATCCACTGGGGAAAATAACACCATGGCCCCGTCTCAATCTCCGTCCTTATGGATTTACAGACTTTGAGGCGTTTATGGCATTTGACAGAATACGCTCATATTTTCTTTTGTATAACCCACAATCACAAATCTGCCTCAGAGAGCTTTATATAGTGTGTACACATACAACTTCCCCTGTCCCGAAACGATCAAACACACGTCATCATCAGGGGAGTGGACTGTGAGACACACCAAAAAGCTTCCAAAAGCGGAGTTGAGAGAGGAGCGTGATGGAGTCATGTCCAAAAAGACACGACTCCATCACGAAGGAGCACTCTGGTGGAACCAGGGGAGGTGGACTCTGTGCTCCTAATGCTTCAACAGCCAGACTTACCTACCTCACTCTTACCTACTGAAATGTCTATCTACTTATTGCTATTGTTGCAATGTACATTCCTTATGGGGTAAATAAATAAAGGGCATTGCAAGCAGTGTTTCCCCTCAGTTTACAACTTGGGGTTGGGGGAACACATGCTTTCTGTCTGCTAGAGGGAGGATGCGCACCTGTGTGCCCTCATGGATTTCAAAATGAATTACAAATAATGTAGTATCTTAGTATTAGTAACATAATTTTTTGTAGTTCATGCTGAATCACGTAATGAAACAGCCTCTATGGAATAGCGGAACACTCAGCGCTCAACAAAGCCACTCAGATCAAACAGCACCTCTTTCAGCCCTCTCACCGGTCCTAACAGCTAATGCCTTCAGGGTGACGCTACGACGTCCCAGTGGCCTGTAGAAACAGCTACAACTTTCATTCCTTCTGCAATCATCACCCAGACCAAAGGAGTCTTATACGGCCACGGGTAGTTCCAATCCTATTCTACGTGTGTGTGTGTGTGTGATTTGTGATCTGGTCTTTGTGACAGATGGAATGCTCATCCAGTAGCACCGTTCTCTCACCTGTCCGTCCCTGCTGATCTGAACCTTCTTGTTGTCGTTCCACGGGTTGAGGATGTGTTGGGAGCACTGGAAGGGGAGACTCTCCTTGCGGATCCACTCAACACTAAAAACCCCCCCGAGTCCCATGAAGCCCCAGTCCTGGCAGCTCCCCTGACTGATGACTGATGTCATTTGGGCATAACCCTGTGAAGAAGACACAGTGCAGATCCTCCGTTTAAAGAATATTCTGCCAGTTCTGTCTGAGCTTTGATAACAGAAAGTGAACCACGTGCAGCATTGGTCAGAATGTTACCTGGAACTGCCCAGATCCCTGAACAGAGAAGATGAGGATGATAGCCCTATACTCCAGGAAGGCCTTGGTGAGTTTGCCCTCATTGCTCGGCGTGGTGGACCAGATACCTTTCTGCTGAGAAATATCTATGTTCCTCACATTGCTGCTCTTCATGATGAAGTAGCGCACTGAAGAGACCGGCCGGGGTGACTGTGGCTTTGGGATCTGCTGGAGTGAAAACAGCAGAGCTAACTGGTCAAAGAATGCTTCATGGGATGGGTGAATCAGTAACGTGGTGAAGAGATGAAGGGCTCAAAACAAGAAGGACGGTCTCACGTTTCACCCTAAACGATTAGTCAGACGGTTTAAACACCCACAGCTCGGCAGACGGGAAATACCTTTCCTGAGGAGGAAGGACCGGGGCTGTAAGACGGACTGTCAAAGGTCATCGAGCAGGAAGAGCTACTGGATGAAAGGGATTCATCGAAGAGCTGCTTGTTGGGCAGGAAGGCTTCCTCTCTGTGCTGAAGGCTCCAGGCTGCCGCCATCCTACGGGACCTGATGGGAAGTGGTCAGAAGGCTCAGTAGTGGGAGTAGGAAGTGAAACCATAAACATAAAGGATCATTATGACACACCAGTCTGGGAGTGCTGATAGAACCAGGCCTTCATACCAAACAATTTTAGATTGTGGCTTTTCAGATGTTTTTACTGTTTTGATTAATTCCAGTAAAGACTAGCGGGCTGCTGGAAGGAATGGAATCAGGTGCAGATTGGCAGACTAAGGCAGCGAGAGAATAACTTTTTCCAGCTCAAATTTCTAGTCATCGCCTGTTGGTGGGAGCTCAGAAAAACAACTACATGGTATGGTTTTCCATATTGGTAAAGTTCAGAGGATATTCTGGACAAGGAAACATTTGTCCCAGATATTCAGCCACTTTCATAGAGTACACAGGGAAAGAAAGCCAAGAAGCAGAGCGAGGACGAGGCTGCAGCAGCCAAGCAACAGAGTGTCTTCAGAGACACGCCAGGTACCAGAAGTTTGCCTGCAATGCATCCTGGTACATGTAGGCACTACTGCCACTGGGTCAATCAAGCAACACTACAGAATTACCTCAAAATGTGATGATTACCAAAATTAGTTTTCTTTTTTTTTTACAGCACTGTCAGAGAGGATGGTCGCATGTCAATCTCTTTAAGCAACACCATCCATTACACTGCAGTGTTACTTTCGTCGACGGAAACTGTCGAAAATTTTTCGTTAACGAACCTTTTTTCCATGACTAAGACGAGACTAAGACGTGACGAAAACGATCTTAAAAAATAAAAAAGACTAAATCTATTCTAACTTTCGTTAACGAGGCGAGACGAACATGTTGGTGGTTGACGAAGTCACAATACTTTCCCCCTAAATTCGCACGCATCTAACAGACGACAGACCGGCAAAGTACGGCGGATATTAACGTGTCATGATGACGTCATCCACGAACCCAGAACGCTCGCTCGCAGCGGTGGTTCTTGTGCACCGACTACGGACCGCGACGACTATTTTACGCTGCGGCGAGTTTGAACGTGGCTTCGTTAGTTTAGCTCGGCTGTCTCGGGTTAGCTGCCTGTTAGCTGACTGAAGCCGCGCTGCTTCACAGAAACATGAAGACCCGTTTAAAGACCGTCGGACCTTTCTGCTCTGTTCTCTGGCGACGGCAGCCAGCGTTTCCTCGGTGGATGAGACGCTCCGTCACAAACGCGTCTAACGTAATAAACTCATTGCAGGTTCTGAAGCCAAGAAAATAATGTATTGCACCGATTGTAGGACGTTAAGGTCTCTCTTGTTGGGACAGAGGAAACAATAAAGGAGCATGAAGTTTCCAGTGGCCGTGTCAAAAGCATTGCAGTAAACAGACAAAGACAACAAAGTGTTGCGTTTAGATCCCTGGTCCTCATGAAGTTGTTACACCTTTGCCGATTTGTTAAATTGCCAATCCAAATCCTTTCATGTAATGATTTTTCACATGTCATTTATATTCGCTCACACAAACACTTCAACCATTTGTTCTTTGCCCGGCTCCTCCGTCACATTTTACAACCCACTGTGGCCCGCGAGTCAAAACGTTTGCCGACCTGTCCTATAGGAGGGACATCTATAGACCTGTCCTAGGAGGGACATCTAATGGACAACCAAGTACTGCAAGCTAGACTATTATGCAGTTGTAGACACAACACAGGGAGTCCCTGGGCCTGAGAAGGGAATAAAAGGAGTTTAATATGACTATTAAATGTGACTAAAACTAATTACATTTTAGTCTAGTTTTCGTTGTCGACTAAAACTAAAAAGGATTAAAATGACTAAATGTGACCAAAACTAATATGCATTTTTTGTCTAAAGACTAAGACTAAATCAAAAATAGCTGCCAAAATTAACACTGTTACACTGCAATCATCCACCCAGCATTCATACTTGTCACTGATGGTGTTGGGGGGTCGTTGGGGGCTGTTCTTGGAGCTCTTCATTGAAGCCAGAGGCCCATCGTCGGAGGACATGGGCCGGGGCCGCTGGCCAATCCCTGTGGGCTGCTGCAGACCTGCTCCCTGCTCCTCTGCTGCAAGCACCTGAGGAACACCATGGTAACATTAGTCACTCACTCACACACTGATTGCCCTCCAGAGTCCACACTGCAAACATCTGATCCAAATGCATTGTATCCAAATATCAGTTGTTTTATGATAAAAGAATAAAGCGCACACATTAACATGCATTACAAGTCCCAACATGATCATCCATTTTTACTCTTATAGATGGTGAACATAATGAATTGACTCTAAATCATCAAACAAGTTAACAATATGAGAGATAATTGGGATTTTTGTTTTTTGCAAAGGGCACGGAGATACGATTTTGAATCAATTTCAATCTGTCACTTCTATTATCATGTAACAAGGCTACCACAAGCAGCAGTACATTACAGTACATGTCATTTAGCTGACGCTTTTATCCAAAGCGATTTACAATAAGTGCATTCAACCATAGGGATAAAAACTCAGAAGAGCAATAAACAAGAAAGTGCAATTTCATCAAATAAGCCAATTTATAATTTGCTATAGATGAGTGGCGTTATAAGTACAACTTGAGTGCTACAATTTGTTAGTCTTTAGTCGAGGTAGAGTCTGAAGTGGTGTGTCTTTAGTCTGAAGATGTGAAGGCTCTCTGTGGTCCTGATGTCTTCAGAGAGCTCGTTCCACCATTTCGGAGCAAAGACAGCAAAGAGTCGTGATCTAGTCGAGTGTGTTGCTCTCAGTGAGGAGGAACGAGCAGTTTATCAGATGCAGAGCGGAGAGTGCGGGTCGGGATGTCGGGTTGGACCATGTCCTGGATGTAAGCTGGACCTGATCCATTCACAGCATGGTACGTGAGCACCAGTGTTTAGAACTGGATGCGGGCAGCCACCGGTACCAGGGAAGAGAGCGGAGGAGTGGAGTAGTGTGGGAGAACTTCGGAAGGTTAAAGACCAGTCGAGCTGCTGCTTTCTGGATGAGCTGCAGAGGTGGAATGGCGGTAGCAGGGAGACCTGCCAGGAGCGATGTTGTTGATCGTGTATCTACAGGATCGTGTTGTCGCAGTGATGTTGGGAGTCAGGGAGAGTTGGCTGTCGAGTGTGACGCCGAGGTTCCTAGCAGTCAAAGTGGGCGTTAACACGGAGTTGCCAAAGTTGGGCGACTGTGGGTGAGTGGGGAGCACGGTAGTCCTCCAATCAGAGGGTGGTCGGTTCGATCCCAGGCCCGGCTAACCCGCATGTCGATGTGTCCTTGGGCAAGACGCTTAACCCAACATTGCTCCTGTAGCTGCGACTACAGTGTGTGGATGGTAGTTACTGATGGCAGGTGTCACTGTGTGTGGTTCTCCTGTCATCAGTGTATGAATGGGTGTGAATGGGTGAATGATGTCATGTAGTGTTAAAGCGCTTTGAGTGGTCAGAAGACTAGAAAAGACAGGTGGACGGGTCAGAGAGGCGGTCAGACAGGTGGACGGGTCAGAGGCGGTCAGACAGGTGTAGGTCGGAGAAAGCGCACAGAAGAAAATGGAATGTGACGTACAGAAACCAGGGTTCGGATGATGGCCTCGTCTTGTTGAGACCAGGGCTTTGAAGGACAACGGATCCTCTTGATGAACAGATTTTGCCACTTCTGCCTCAGTTCAAACACCAGTCCCGCGGCCTGAAAACAGGACACACAACACAAGATGTAACAGCATGTAAAAAAAGGAAAAGATGTAATATAAAATAATGATACTTAACAAAATACAAACCATCTATATTACCTACTTTCTCCAAAGCATTGGTGGGAATGTAAAAGCATTCAAATGTAAATGTAAAATTATGTAATAAATGGATGTTTGAACTGATGTAGTCATGGTTTTGAGACCATTGGGAAGTGAGGATGAGAGAGGTTAGATGTTATGACACTCTTTTCAAAAACAGACATGCTGTTAAACTCTCGACGGCTATTTGCAAATCACACGTCTCCTCTATGTCTTATGATTGGCCGTGTGTTTGACCCGTGTTGGTAATGAAACTGAACTGAAATAACACAGAACAAAAGGGAATAAACATCTTTGAGGATGTATGAGCACATCTTGAGGACTTCTTCAAAATCTAAATGGATTTGGATGACCTCTATTTGATCTCTATTCTTAAATGTTGGGGAAAAGACAGCAAACATACAATTGGCCTTCCTCTTGGGGCACACAGGACACCTCGGTTAGCCTCGTTCTGTAGTCAATATTTGAGAAAGAAAAAGCGTTTTCTATTGGAAAGGGTGATTGTTTAAGTTTGCACAGGAAAACCTTGATGATATTGTGTGCCAATAATGTGACACCTACATCCTTTGATGCAGAGGCATCTCAAGGAAAAAGCAGGAGTGCGGCATGCTGATGATTTGAAGCATTAAATAACCCAAATGTAAAATCCTTTATAAAGCGCTGCAGCACGCATGCTGTCAACAAGCTGAAACTGTATTGAGTGTTAAAATGTTTCTCTGACTGCGGAGTCCTTTGTGCACTCTCCAGTTTTTTGTTTCTATCTTGCGACACTCAGCCTCTCTTCTCCTTCACGCTTCATGCAGTCATTCATGCTTGTTTGTCTGCTGAGCTCATTAGACAAGTAATGCCAAGTGTTGTCCATACAAAATAATTTAATTTAAAAACATACACACCAGTGGATGGAGAGTGAAATATGAGAACATACGACATATTATTAAACATATTATCCGTCAGCACAGATAATATGTTACATCACCAAATGCTACTGATAAACAGAATTTAAATCAACTGAGAGCAGAGACACAAACACTAAAACGTGGTGTCAGGCTGTCAATAACCACGTTGCGATGGCGTGTTGAAAGGGAGGCCGAGCTTTTCCATTGTCTCCTGAGATTTACATTTATAACTTTTTAGTAGTAGACATTTGTTTGTTTGAAGAGACCACAAGCCAAAACCTTTTGGACCGCTCTCATAGAACACAAATGTTGTTGAATGAGGAAGTCACATCACAATGCAAAATCTAAGGAAAAGGAGGACGGCGACGTTCCCTCACCTCATTGTCCAATTGAAAGACGAGCCAGTCATCTATCCTCATCTCGGCCAGCTCCTCTGAGTCACTGTCACTGAGGTCACCTGATGGACTGTCTGAGGGAAAAGCAGGGACACTCACTGTGTACAGTGTACTCAGCGTACGGTTAGCCACTCATTTATATCAACTTTATTGGCCAAGTATGTGTACAAATAGCAGCCATGTGATAGTCTGAATGATCTCTGTTGCTTTTACCTGCTTGAAAGTGTCTTTACTAAAAGGTGGTATTTAACATTTAACAGTTTTTCAACTAAAAGAAAAACCGTTGAAGTACATAAACCATTTAAACAGTAACTGCTTCCTGTTTCACAATGAGCACAAAGCTCCTCTTTAGACTGTACAATGACAAACAGAAGGTTGGTGCAGCGTTAGCCCTGTTAGTGATGAGGAAATATTCAGGAAGAAAACAGTCATGAGAGCGTTTGTTTACCAGTGGTTTTCTGTGCAGCAGGTTCCTGCAGGGCAGAGCTGGGTAGCTTGGCACAGCCTCCGAAAATGGCCACAGTGATGGCAGTCAGCACGGAGCAGCAGCGGACACTGGCCATCCGGTGGCCTCGGCTCATCTCGTCATAGATCAGCCAGTCTGTGGGAAGGACCTGGGCCGATTTCTAAGACAGACACAGACGGTCTGTAACTCTGTGGAGCAGTGCTGTGTATAGAGGCTACAGAGAAAGAACCCTTCGTCTAATGGCCGTCAAAGAGGGGGAGAAACCCACTTGGAATTAACCATTTCAAAAAGAAAAACAAAAGCGCAAATTGTCTAAATTGTTTAGGAAGGTTCCTAACGGAGAGTGGTGTAAGTGGCCGCCATGATGAGAGCTGTTTGAATTCTATAATACTAAGGAAAGGAGCTTCGATGCTTCCTTACTTTGCTCCTCTAGCATAGGAACCACTGGACCATCCTTTACCAAAGGAAAGGAGATAACTCGGCCCCACAATTCCTTGCGGGGGCAATATTTAATAATAATAATAAATAATAAATATAATATAATATTTGACGTATTATTCTGCCGTTCACGAGAAATAACGATCATGACGAGAAATGCAGATTAGGTAAGTAACCGTTATAAATAACTAATTTATGTTGCAGCCTTGTTAATTAAGTAATACTACCTGGTTGTTTTATGTCGGTTTTGGAGTAGTGATGACACCATAAAATGACACATTGATGCAGGCATCGTTTCCCTACCTCCTTGAACTGGGACTGACTCAGAATAGAAGTGGGATGAAAGTGGACCTTCTTCTCCCGGTTACTGGAAATCATGGAGGTCTCCCGGTTGATATGCACCAGATTGGGATACATGCCGGCCATCAGTGCTGCTTTCACCACGGCCCAGTTCTCAGAGTTCAGATTCACATCCCGGATGTCACTGCCCCCGCGCGCTCGCACAAAACCTAGGAAACAAAATGATAGTCTTCAGTTTGCATTTGGAAAAAAACATTCTAAAAAACGAATGGCTTTTCTTCCAAAGTACTTCATGACTGTTTTCCAGCCAATCCAGACCTCCATGTTGGTACTTTATTTGATTTAGTCAAAAGACCAACAGATCGTTGGTTCCATTACCCGACATTTATTTTTAATTTGTTGTTTCAAGTGTGGTGTTGTAGGAACGTACCACACTAAGGCCATGCGGTGACACTTTAATCATATATTTGATATATGATATCCACAACTTACTGCATCAATATATTTGGAGGAAAAAAACTGTTAAACAACAAACATAAGAAGGGGTTTACAACAACAGCTTGAGTTTATTGTACCACTAAGCTTTACTGCACAAAGTGATGTAGACACACAATGTGAATGTCAAATAGATGATTGGCAGTCTGCTGATGGCTGTGCTGATTACAGAAGGAAAGGGAAAGTGGAACGGACCAATGGCTCGGAGCTGTCCCAGCAGCTGTGTCCTCATGCCCAGTATCATGTCCATGGTGGCCTGGGACAGGAAGTTCTTCTCACAGAAGGATCTCTCCCAGCCTTCACTGCGGGCCTTCTGCCATGCCTGACACCACACAGCACAAACATGAGGAAAACATTGAGCTTATGGAATAGGACGTCCCGGGTGCATCAGGAGAAGTTGGCGCACGTCACCTGATGGGGTCCGGTATTCATTCTTTTAACCATATACATACAACAACAAATTCCTTCCTATTAAAAGGGCTTCAGAATGAAACACATTTTTAAGGCATTTTTGGATCCGCTGGGCGTATTCTTTGTAACTAGGACCACGAGGGTAACTTGCTACTATTCCCTTTTTCTCCTTCTAATTCATTACATTACATTACATTACATTACATGTCATTTAGCAGACGCTTTTATCCAAAGCGACGTACATTACACTTTGAACCCATGGCTTTCTCACATTTTTGCCCGGGGAGCAATTAGGGGTTAGGTGTCTTGCTCAGGGACACTTCGACGTGGAACATGGGGCAGCCTGGAATCGAACCAACAACCTTGTGCTTCCCAGCACACCTTCTCTAACCCCTGCGCCACGACGACCCCCAGCATATAATGTGAAAGGCAAAGAGAGAGTGTGTGCTTATGTGTGCGTTGTGCAGGGCCAGGATGCACAAACCTTGCTCGGGCATCCTTACTAGATGCCCAAACCACCTCAACTGGCTTCTTTCAACACAAACGAGCAGCGTCTCTACTCAGAGCTCCTCACGGAGGAGTGAGCTTCTCCCAGCCCCCCGCCTAAGGAAACACATTTTGGCCGCTTGTACCATCCTGCCTTGTATCAACGGTTCGGCCTCCACATTCACACCTCAACCCAATAGAGCACCTTTGGGATGTGGTGGAACGGGAGTCGGCTCATCATAGATGTACAGTCGACCAATCTGCAGCAATCAAGTCAATATCTCAGAGGAATGTTTCCAACACCTCGTTGAAAGTATGTCACGTGAATCCTTTTCACTAGCAAAGTGGCCGGTGAGTGTGTATGTTCTGCTTGAACAGGGTGATATTGAAGATCATTTCCCAAATGATAAGCCCTGAATGTCTGCTACCTCGACGCCTTTGCTTCAACCTCCTTCTCACCACCAGGACGTGGTGTGATCTATGAGCTCGTTGACCTCTAACCTGTACTTCTGCTGCAGCAGCCTGCACCATATTCTGGTTATGTTTGCCCAAGAACCTCTAGTGCTTAATGTAACTCACACCTGCTCACAACAACTTTTATTACTATTGTTATACTGACACACTCTACTCTCATCGGCCCCCCGTCTGCTACGGACCACCGGGGATGCAACAGCCAAGAGCGTGTTCTAGTAGCTGCTGATAATAAAGGACAAGAGTTTGCTGTGTGTTTGTCTAACAACAACGAGCACGAACAAAAAGAGAATAAACCATGTGACAAATAAATGGTAGAGATTTGGCAATGCTGTTTAAACTGCAGTAGCCATTCTCACAAAAGACATCTGTTACACTTCAAATAGTTATTCTCAAGAAGCTGAGCTTCAATTTCAAAAGAAGTTGGGTTAATTTGAATTTGTCAAATGTAAGTTGTTTTTGTTTGTGTAGAAGTTCTAATAAAATGTGATAATAATGAGTAAGATATGGGTATTTTAAACACTTTTCTGACTAAAATGACAAAACTGCAGTGTCTGGATCTAATCCAATGATGGAAGTGCAAAGGCCCAGACATAGCCTGCTAATGGGTAGACAACAAGTGTACAGCACAGTAATAACACATGAGCACAATACATTATTATCAGTCCCCAAACCCGAGGAGGTCAAACTTAGAGAGTGTACAGTGTTTCACACGACACACACACACACACACACACACACACACACATACACACACACACACACACACACACACACACACACACACACACACACCTCCCCCACCTACCTGGAAGGCTCTCAGCAAGGCCATGTGGTCGCTGAAGGAGGTGGAAGTGAAGCATTTGCGGTTGTGTAGTGCAGCTTTTTTCTGAGTCCCCTGGGCGGGAAGGATGAAGGGATCACGGTAGGCTAGTGTGCAGGCAATGGTTAGAATGGGGTCCAGACACTTGAGCACCACAGCGCACAGCACCATCTTGCCCAAGTGGGGCTCCACGGGAAGATCAGCCAGGTGGTAACCCAGATCAGTCAGGTCTTCATGCTGGTCCATGGCGTCTATTGACTGCGGAGGGCGGGGGTATGAATTATTAACAACTTGCAGTGGTACTGGATGTGGAACTATAGGCTCGTCTGTGCTCGTGTTAGAGATCTGAAATAATTGAGATACGTAATAGCTTTTGTTACCTTTAGCATCTGCACAGCGTTTCGGATAGCATGTGCAGCAGGCGGCTGGGGAGCTTTGGACAAGAACTCAGCTACTGGACAGGAGGAGGGAGCCAGGAGTTTGGTCTGCAGGCACAGTTCCTTACACACACACAACATGACATTATCACGATTACAGCTTATATCCAAGGCTACTGCATTGCGAGTAGCTCATCAAGATCTACTTCATTCCATTAGAATCCTCAAAAAATAAAAGCCATAGCAGCCATTGTCTATTATTTACTGTTTATTGTGTCCTTCGACTTTTCAGCAAGGCAGACGTGTAGTGAATTGATACATAATATTAGAAAGGGTGGTACAGCAGCATGTGCACCATGATTGTGAGGGCTGGGAAAGGTAATAGAACACAAGTATGAAACAATAGCTGACTTGAACACATCAGTCTGGTGCTATGTCCTAATTCTTCCATCTATCAGACTGTCAATGGGGAAACAGCCTTTGTGCACTGGAGGAGAAATGGAACAGAGGCACTGTGCTAAAGAGTGGTGAAGGAGTTAACAATGCACACGATGACTGAGCTCAAGCCGTTGTTAATGAAGGTGAAGACAGTTGTGTTACAGCACAAAGTCTTATGTGTAATGATAGCTTCGGGTGACTTTTTCATTCAGTATTAAACTGCTGTGGACACACGCTGGGAGAATACCCCCATTCACTGAGAGAAAACACACTGCTGTGCTGCTTAACCCCAGAAAACATGCGCTAGTCTGGAAAGTTTTGCTGAAACATTTAGTAAGTATTAGTCCGCGAATTTGATCTAACTATTTAATTGGTCATGTGGATGTACATTTCTCCAAGATGAATACAGTCTTTCTAATGAACTTCTTCAATTGTTCCTCTCTACAGACAGGGAGACAGACAGACGGTCAGAGAACAAGACAGAGACAGAGAGGGGGAGGATATTTGGCTGTGAAAATCAACAACAGTATGGTTGCTTCACACAGTCCAGTAAAATCCCCAATGAAGTTTGATTATTATTCATAAAGCTTTCCATGAGTAATTAAGTAGATAGCAGTCGGTTCAAGATGTTGAACGTTGTGTGTGTGTGTGTGTGTGTGTGTCTACCTGCAGTGGCATCCGCAGCAGCTGTGGAACCTGGAATTCCAGCATGTTGTGGAACCTGAGTCGACTGTAGAGCCGGAAGCAGATCCCTGGTCTGCAGCGGCCGGCTCTGAGGAAAGGTCACACAATACGTTTTTTCATTCTCACATGAGGTGAGACAGAAGAACAACTTTTGACACGATTGCATGTTTAAATCGTGTGGACGTTGTCGATGTTACCTTCCCTTCCTTTGCAGAGCGCTGGCTTTCGAGATCCAAACCGTCTTTAACATGGATACATGACTGAGGGTATCAAAGGACTTCTACAACAGGACAAACATTTAGGAGTATATAGTGTCAACTATATTTGTTGCTGGATATATATGTTGTTTGTTGTTTTTTTATGAATACAATTCCAGTGACTGTACCTCTTTGACCTTTCCTGAGTCAATGACAAAGATCACATCATTAATAGTGATGCTCGTTTCCGCAATATTGGTGGAAAGAATCTGGATTGGGAAAAAAAAGAAACCTTGTTAAATGTTGTTCTCTAGTGTGATATTGAGTGTTTCCTACAAATGTGCATTCAAAAGGCAAAGCCTACTAATCATAGACTAGAGCGGCTGCAGTGGTGGGCTACAGTAACTGTGAGGAGCTGCTCAGTGGGGCTTGTTCCCCTTAAGTGAGGAGGGAGATCTTTTGAGAGACTCACTATTTTCCTGATACCAGGTGGAGAGTTCTTCATGGCCCTCTTCTGATCCAGAGTCTGCATGTCTGAATGTAGAGTGAACACCTGGTACCTAACACAGGTCACACCTCCGTCAACAAAGACACGACGCATAATATGCTGCTGTGTGATACTATGCTCAACACAATCAACAGACCTCATGGCCCAAACACCGACTACATCCATCTACATCGTCACATACGATATTTTATTGATCAGAGATTTTAGGAATCCTGTATTTATTTTTGCAAAAACATCAATGACTTCAAATCAAAACCCATGGAATAGTACAGATGTTGAGTAACCTTTCAGAGTGGTGGGAGAATCTCTTATCGTCATACAGGATGCGGTCCCTGAGTGACACAATCTCGTCATATCCAGGAAGAAAAATCAGGACAGCACCTGAAGACCAGCAATAAAAGCTCACAGTGAAACAAATATCATTCCGATTCCCTAAATCTGTCAGTGATCAACAGTGATCGCCAGACACTGAGGTTTATACAAAGAACAGCTGTGTATCTGCATGCGGTGCTCAGGCTCACCGTCACTAGTCGTGGAGCAGATGTGGTGCAGCAGATCCATGATGAGGTCCAGGTCCACCCGCTCATCATCGAAGCTGTGGTGGTACAGTTTGAGCAGCTCCTGCTCCTCAGTGCTCACCTCTGCACTGCCACCCGGCATCAGACAGGACTCGCCCCGGCTGCTCTCCTCTCCCAGCGGACTGCAGAGCACATCAGCTTAAACCTCCTCACACTGCATTTCAACTCAGACAAGCCTCTACTTTATGTGTAGCTTCACAGGGGACTGTGCAGGAATTATTGGGGGTGGCTGGGCCGACCATTACTCATTTCACCCTCGATAACTAACAGGAAAATGGATTAAAAATGTTCTTAATAGAGCAATAATTTCCATATAGAAGCAAACTCATTTTCCCCTTTTCAGAAGAGGTACTTTAGTTTAGCACATGTTGGTTAACATCATACTCACATGGACGATTTGAGTAGATCCATAGCATCTGTCTGCTGGAAGTGTTTGGCAAAGTCGAAGGCTGTCCTAAAAATGACAAATACAATACAATGTGTAGGGCCCAGTGCACGTCCATGTGCAGTGAGAGGAACACTAGTAACAATGGTCCTGACTCACAGTACATAACACGACACGGTGGACGTCCTACCAGCCGTTTGATGCCTTCAAGTTGATGTCTGCCCCCATGCTGAGCAGCTGCTCCATCTGTGTGAGGAGCCCCCGCGCTGCCGCCGCCATCAGGGGGGAGGCCCCTGTGTCACTGTGCCTGTAGTCCACTAGGTAAAGAAAACCGTCATACCTTTAGACATCCAATCATTTTACACTACAACCATCAAAAGGAGTGTTTGCTCAATGTTTAAGGGGTAAGCATTCATTGTTTTTGAAAGATCTGATGTTTTTTGCTAAGAGATAAGAGAATTGTGTAATCCAGGGAATTACATACCTGACAAATGAAGGTACATGAAATTGTTCGGTGTGCAAAACAATTACCAACAGTGTGCCACATTTTGTTAACTGCACAATAAATGAGCGATTTCAGTAAAGTGAGTGAGAGCAGAGATCGACTCTGAGAGTCGTACCGTTTACGTTTTCATAGAGGATGAGGTTGAAGAGCTGAATGAAAGTATCCTGATCTTCATTGAGGAAAACGTTGTAAATGCACGAGTCCATCTCCCTCAGAAGCCACGGCTCCAGCTGCTCGGTGTCACTCTCAGTCTGCGATACAAAAGAGTCCCCCGATCAAGTGGGTGTCAAACATCAACAGTCAGATTTCATACAAAACCCCATAAGCAACCTTAACTGGTTAACAGTTGTTTTTATAAACTGTACTAGTACCAGTGTGTTGAAGGTGCTGTCCAATATGTCCAGGGAAGTGCGATCCTGCAGGAAGCCCGGGGCCGACATGGGGCTCCTCTGTTTCTCCTCCTCTACCGCCTGACACCACTCTGTCAGACACTGCTGCTTCTTATCCTCTGAGAACCAGAGCAATGCGATGCACGGGAGATTAGGGCAAAGACAGAAGGCTAAAACGCTTTATTTTTTATTCAGTCCGACTCAGTGGACTGGTTAAAGCTTCATACTTCTCTGGGTCTCCTCTTTGCATTTCCGCAGGTCCTTATTGTTGAAGCCGGTCAGTGTCAGGATGTCTTCCAGAAAGAATTCCTTCACCTCAAACTGTCTTCCTATGACTTAACATATAAATAGAGATATTTTACAAATGCAATAATTCATTGACGAACATCAAGTTTCCCCGCCCCCCTCCCCCCCCCAGACACACACACACATACACACACACTAGATTAAACTAAACTGCATTACTTCCGTTCCAATTAGAATCCTTTTTTGTCTTAAAATGTACTGGTTCTTGAATTAAATATAATCCAACTGTAACGATGGCTCAAACATTTATCATCCATCCGTGTTCATTCACTGGAAAGGTGCTGCATGCTATATTTGACGATTCAAGATAGAAATATCCCTTCATTTACCTGCGTAAAATAAAGTAAAGAAATGTGTTGAACCCGAGAATTGTTTTTGCTAATTTTAGGCTGGCCAGAAGGGCATCAGTTTGCACAAGTCTTAGTATTCATGTTCGCTGGCTGTTTTCATGAAAAAGATAAATTCTATGATTTGATTTCGACTTTTTGGTCTGCAAGTTTTAAATGCACCAGAAATATTTCTCATGAACGGAGTAGGGTGCCACGTATTTTAGGACATTAGGAGTACAGCAATTTAACAGCACCAAACATATGGAAATCCTGAATAATAAGTACATCTAATAGGACCATTTGTGTCTATTAATATCTACACATCTATTCACCCATCCATCCATCCATCCATCAAACAAACAAATCGTGAGCTTAGAACCATAGCTGTGAATTCATTATACAACCATATTCCTTGAGGATAGTTTTGAATGATGTGATGTCAAATAATATGCACCAGATGCTGTCTGTAGATTTTGGGGTCAAGCTAAAAGAGGATATAAATCACAATATCCTTATGAAATGGATTTTATATCTAACAATCACACCTAAATTCAAAATGCTCAAAAACTACAAGCAGCTGTTAACACTTAACCCACTGACAGGATACTATATTGACAATATTACACAACACTATATTGACTGCAATTAACTTCCTCCAGACCACTGTAAAAAGTGCGTTAAGCACAAATGTGTGGAAATGAATTCCTTCAGTGAACACGGAGCTAGCAGGACGTACGGTGGATAACAGGACAGGAGCCAAAGTACTGAAGAAAAAGGTCTGTATCCAGAGCTGCACTGGAGAGGATCAGTTTCAGTGAGGGAATCTTCTGAAGCACATCCCGTATCTTGGTAAGCAGGAAGTCTGTCAGACCATCACGCTCATGCACCTCATCCTGTGAAACACAGAAAGTCACTTTAAATGTTCAGAACTAAGCTCAAACACCTTTAAAGATCTAATGGAAATGCTGTTTTGCTGCTCTGTAGTAGTTCAGAGTAGTGATGTCCTGGTGGACTCCAGGACCCAGTGAAATCACGGCTGGGTGTGGTTACATCTTAATCAAAGAAGGCAGCAAAACACTGCTTATCCACCTGCTGCGACGGTACTCTTTAAAGAACGATCAAAGCGTCAAATACATGCAAGATTACGCAGTAAAACTGTATTTCCTGCTGCTTACCACAATGACATGTGTGACCGTTTTCAGGCTGGCATCTCCAGCCATCAAAGTTCTGAGGAGCACTCCACTGGTGCAAAACGTCAGCAGCGTCTTTGGCGAGACCCTGAGGTTTCAAAGTCAACAGTTACTTGAGACATTTCCCTCTAAGCATTATACGCATGGGCTGGTAAAGATTTGATAGAGCATTGAAACAGCTCTCATGCCCCAAGAATATCCTTTTTAAGACATTGAGTAGCAAAAACTGAATTCTGCTAACCATACCATCCCTATGCAAAATAACTACTTGAGCACATGGGTGAGATTTTAATAAGAATTGATTAAATACACTTCTTTTAAAAGAACCCAGCCCATTGTAAATATAAAGAGTGCTACATGTCAGTACAGTATAGATGTTCTAGGTCCCAGTTCCACACATCACTTCCAGGTCTCTATGATTAGAGAAGTGCACATAGCATATCTTCTGAAAATGTCTCATGTCAGAACACTAAATAGGAAATAATCTGTGTGTTCACTTCTTCGCTTTGACCCAAGGAAGACCATCTCTGGTTGAAAGTTGGTATCACTGATGCCCCTTTTTCATAATTTGGTCTCTACATTTCTTCATCAGGCTACACAAGCAGGCAGTAGTGGTTCTAAAGCACGACACACTGTATGTATTGGAAAGACAACTTGTGACCACGGCGTCAGTGTGTTGCTCCGATTTGTTCTGCTGCTGTAGGCATAAGTGATGAACACATGAAGCGTTAAGATAAAAATGCTGTGATCCAATCCACCTGCTCTCTAGTCGGATGTGATAACCGACCGTCTGGCCCACACTCTCCCCTCTCTCTGCTGCCACTCGCTCAGCCACAGCGATGGCAGCCAGCCGCCTGGGTTGAGTGCAGAAAATCCTGCACGGATCTCCATTCCTGCTGCACTCATCCAGCAAGAACTGTGGGATCTGTACAATGCATAGTGACACTGGGTTACCACAGCCTCAAAGCATACACACAGTACTACACAAACTAATATCAGTACATTTAGCCATGGTTTAAGGGTCACAATATATACAAAGAAAAATGTTGAATAAGTGAGACGGTTCAAAATTCTCTCATAGTTTCTGGTCCCTTTAAATGTTTTAATAAGGCTTAACAATGACACCAGTATAAAAAGGCAGAAACAGGACTACAGGTGTTATAATTCGATTTGAACAACATCATCACGGAGGCGGACGGGAATGTGCTTAGTTTTGGCACCAACCGAGTGTTCAGGCAGACCCACCTGTGTGGTTTTTCCAGAGCCAGTCTCTCCAACCACCAACACAACCCTGTTGTCTCTGATGAGCTGGATGATCTCGCCCTGGCGCTCATGCACAGGGAGGGCGTTTCGAAAACTGTCCAGGTCTGTTGGACTCCGTCTCTGAGGCACCATGGGTATGGCGTTGTTTAGGCGTCCGCTTGCTCGGTTCCTCTCACTGCAGCCGTCTAAGGGAGGAATGGAAGAATGTTGCACGCTCCTATACAACACATCTGTTCACTGGAAATCAAGGTTGTTTTTATTTGAAATGCTCAGGCATTTTAGTGCCTAAACGCTGGCCTAACTAATTGTTTTTGTTCCTGCTGTTCACGTTCCCCGCTATGCGAATTTAAAAAATGTACTACCATGTTGTACGAGCCTATTAGCAGACGCATGAGAAAGCAACCTGGAGTTTTTACTCATTTGGTGTTTTGAATCAAACAAGTAGTAGCATTTCCAGCATATCACTGTCTCAGGAGAGCGTTCCAACTGCTTCAAAACGGCCCCGATCGTTCCTGTACTGAAAAGATCTGCATTGTGTCACTCACCCATTGTGAGTGTGCGCAATTTTAATGAAGTGTCAACACAAAAAATATGCAAAATTGTATCGTTTTTAACGCAGTACCTTCTTAGTATTGATACACCGTGCAACATTAATTGAGGGACTTGTTACTAGTAAAGGAACATCAGCAGTAAAACCTTATTACAAACTGTGATGATTACACTTTTTTTTTTTTTTTTTTTTTTTTTTTAAGCGAAACGAACGGATCACGAATCAACCCGTGACACCACTGTAACAACCCTAAATAAGACAATAGCTGGAAGAACATGTCTCACAAACACGTAGTGTAGTTGGGTGACTTGAGTCTCTGGAACAGCTGTTCCATCCATTAAGGTTGACTCATGAATACCACAGAGGAAAGACAGCAGCCCAGTGGAAATAGGCCCTACTGAGACTACATTTACTGCAATGGGAATGAACTGCAACGCCTGCATCACTAAAAGTCCTTAGTCAGACACTGACACCTACCGGGTTCTGCTGCAACAGACAGGCCATTTTTGTTGTTGGGCTGCATGTCCATGCGTTCTTTACTGCTGATGGGAAACCTCTGCAGTAGGCTGCTGATGAAATATAAGGAATTGTGGGAGACTGGGAGGGGCATCGTAGGCTGGGGTTTATCTGAACCGGTCTTCTTCCTGATGGTGAGGGAGCGATTTGGTCCTTTCCTTAAAAAGACAGGGAGAAAAATTTCTTCCATTAACATTAATGTGAAAACTGATTCAGTCACCAAAGATTGTCACTATGAATGGTCCAAATATCTGGAAGTGAAGGCATTCTGTCAGAAATCCCTCTCTGACTTCACCTCTCTCCATAAGAGAAGGTATTTTCTTATTTACTTGTCAACCTTTATTGGACAATGTAGGATTATTATGTTTAGTAAGTGTATTATTATTTAAATAAACAGAATGAGCGACCAGTCTAGAGACAGTGGGCCTCAAAGTTGACCCATTTGCTACAACCACCCCTACTAAAGACAGAGACATCTTCTTCAGAAATAATTAGTGTGTTCCTGACAGTCTATGATGAATTGAAGATAAATCAATAACACGTTATTAAAGTCTACTACTACTCTCCCAAATCGGTTACACATAAGGAGAAGATTATAGCCCTGCTGAAACTTCCACGCTGCAGGGTGTCTCCTGGCTTAAGATGCGGTACCACCTTGATCACGTGCATGGACTAGTATGCAGTGTTGCCCCCCACCATTATACCTCCACCCCTCATGAAATTGTTTTTAAAAAATTATTTAAAAAATGTTGTTGCTGTTATTTTTCTACACCGACATTAATATGTTATATTATATATATATATATATATATATATATATATTAATATGGCACTCACAGCAGCAGAGACAACTAATAATTTCCACTAATGTAATTTTATTTTTCTGTGGTGGCAAAGACACAACTTGCGGAACCACTGTGGCACCTATTCCCTTCAAACTGAATGTGGTTTTTAATTACTTCTTTAGTCAGTAAAAGTTTTGCATTTGGCTCCTGTTTTGCAGCACAGTCAGCCAGTTCATCTACCAGGTGCAACTCTTGTTAACCCTCATCAGAGTGTTGTTGAGCCGTGGTAGGGATGAAATAGGTCGGAGTTAAATCTCTATGCAGGAAACGACCCTAATGCTTTACTATCGATTAGGGCGTGGCGGTATGCCGGTTTCAGATTTCCTTGCGGTATGAATTTTTCACACATTGTCATACCGGTATGACGATGTGTGCCGTAACAACTGTCGTCGCTCTTCCGGCAGGCAGCATAACATATTGTTCAGCGCAGCGGTCGGAGCTACTTGTGTTACGTGTGTTGAGATTGAGTCATTGTGAACTTTATAACAATAAATAACCCACAACTCAACGCTCTTTAGGGTAAAAGACCACGACACAACGATTTGTAACACAAACTGTACATTTACAAAATAACCTCGGCAAACTACAAATCCAGCTGTATTGTTAAAGAAGTTCCTGCAGTTTGTGAGAGTGGGTGAACCTATTGTACTCAGATACGTACCCTTTGCTCTTGGAGATGTAACCCAGGGACTGTGCCATTCGGTGAATGAAAGCCCGCTCATTACTGGAGAAGGAGGAGGGAAAGCTCATCTCTGCTCAGGCAAGAAAGAAAAAGAAATATTGAGAAACTTTATGAGACTCAAATACGAGTCACTGGGACACTTTACACTGGTACTTTTCACAATAACAAACGTTTACATATGTTGACCACCGAGTGCGCTGCTATTCTTTTCTGATATAAAACAACAAAACACTGCAATACCTTTTTGGTCACTGTATTGAAACCTCTCCAGAGAGAGGTTGATCGATATCTTGACTTCTTCATCAATGTGGATTTCTTTGAGGCCCTTAGAGGTAGTACCGTGGGAACGTGTGCTATGGCTCTTGGGTGCCTTCTTCGATGCTGAACCAGCAGTGGACATGATGCTCTGCAACAGTGGGGACAGCAACGGATCAAAAAACATCCCGGTTCTATCACGGATCAGAGTCCCAGATCGGGTCGGCACAAAAGAGAGTGAGTAAAAATACCTGATTTTTTTTTTTTAGCTTCTGATACTAATTAATGATCAATTATGATCAATAATTAATGATGCTGCAGACAAGAATCATTTAGTTACAAGACCTTCATGAGTCGTAACACGCCACAGCCGAGCATGCACCGTCTCATTCATCCTATACATTTTTGTATAGTGTTGGCGAAATTTCTGATTAGAAATAGTACATACGTAGTGATCTGCCCATAGACAGATTTGCTCCATTTCTATGACAAAAATGATTCAAATATATATACAGATTATGTTCTTGTAATTCCTCATATGCGTTCATGATCATCTCCTGCTCGTCAGTGGAGAAAAAAAGAATAGGCTCTTATGAGTTTATTTGCCGTTGTAATGTTAGAAAATCATGATTTTGGTGATCGACTCTTCTCCCTTCTTTATGTAGGACGCGCAAGCACAATTATCCAGATGACTGACAAAAGTAAAGGACCCAAGCAATTAGGACAATTGATTGAAAAAATTAAATAGACCGATAAAACAATAAAGTTTTAAAGTTTAAAATAGCTTTCTGGACTCAACTACAGACCGGTCTCTCTTCTCCCTTTTTGTCCAAAACTCTTGAACGTGCGATCTTAAACCAACTCTGCTCTTATCTCCACCATAACAACCTCCTCGACCCCCACCAGTCAGGCTTCAAGGCCACTCCACAGAGACTGCTCTCCTTGCTGTCTCAGAGCAACTCCACACTGCTGGAGCCGCCTCTCTCTCCTCTGTCCTCGTCCTTCTGGATCTCTCTGCTGCATTTGACACAGTCAACCACCAGATCCTTATTTCCTCCCTTCAGGAACTTCAGGTGTCTCAGGCTCTGCTCTCTCCCTTCTCTCGTCCTACCTCGACGGCCGCATCTACCGGGTAACCTGGCGAGGATCTGTGTCGGAACCTTGTCCTCTTACTACAGGAGTTCCTCAGGGTTCCGTCCTGGGTCCCCTCCTCTTCTCGCTCTACACCAACTCTCTCGGCGCTGTCATTTGCTCGCATGGCTTCTCCTACCACAGCTATGCCGATGACACCCAACTAATTCTCTCCTTCCCTCCCTCGGACACCCAGGTGGCGGCACGGATCTCTGCCTGTCTGACTGACATCTCTCAGTGGATGTCCGCCCACCATCTGAAAATCAACCCAGACTGAACTACTTCTCTCTCCAGGAAAAGACTCTCCGACCCAGGACCTGCCGATCAACTTTGGCAACTCCGTGCTAACGCAGAGAGCCTTCACATCTTCAGACTAAAGACACACCTCTTCAGACTCTACCTCCACTAAAAGCCTAACAAATTGTAGCACTCAAGTTGTACTTATAACGCCACTCATCTATAGCAAATTGTAAATTGGCTTATTTGAGGAAATTGCACTTTGTTTCTTGTTCTTCTGAGTTTGTACTCTACGGTTGAATGTACTTATTGTAAGTCGCTTTGGATAAAAGCGTCAGCTAAATGACATGTAATGTTTTTTGGGTTCCAAGAACCACGGCTCTGCCCTAACCTTTTAGTTCTCTGAACTTTCCGCTTTGAGCATTACGACTCGCTTTACAAAGACTTGTGAACACCCCGTTCCGATAGTGCAGTGTAATCAAGATGAAGGTATGGACAAGGTTTTCCAAATCCATGTCATAAGTCTGGTAATCCTAGTGAACCATTGTCGAAATTGTGTGATCCAGAACTCACACCGAAAGTGTTGAAAGACGCTTCAAAGATGGATTAGGAGCAGTTTGGCACAAACACAACAATGAATCTTCTCTATCAATTTATCCGTTCGCTACAATATGTAGGATTCATGTTAATGTCTATTTAAATAAATACAATTCTGAAGACATTTAAATTTGTGGAAAAAATTGATTGAAAAGAAAATAATATATATATATATATATATATATATATATATATATATGTATATATATATATATATATATGTATATATATGACGGGGGGGGGATGACCACGGATGATAGGCTAATGTGTGAAAAGAGGCGGGTCTTGGGGGTTATCGCAGGAATCCTCAGATTTTACATAGCGGTAGTGATGGGAAGTTCGGATCTTAAACCGAATGATATAGAGAAGACAAATCCGGAGAATGTGTTCAACTCAGATTGTGAGGAAACGGTTGTGGTGAAAAAAGGCAAGAAATTCAGCTTTCGCGATGAGTGGCTGCGCAAGTTCACCTGGCTGAGGTATTTCAGGGAGACCAACTGCAAATGCTGCTCTCGATACCCACAACATGCGGGGAACACGACATTAAGACTGTCACTACACAATTAAAACACGACACGCTGATCAAACACGACGCCAGTCAGAAACATAAACACAGGCACCTTATCCCTCACCAAGGGGTGATTTTTTGTAGGAAGTGTTAATGCACAAGTTATGTCTACAACGTGTTCTGTTGTCAGTAGAGCATAAATATTAATTTTGTATTTTTAAGCTGTATAACTGGTGTATATTATTAAAACTATTGCACAAGTTTATAAGATTGTATATTGTCAAATTATTTATCAGTAATACAGTAAAAATGATGGGACAACTTAGCAAGTCGATTTATAGTGCGCGCCCCTAACATTTTAAGTTAGGGGCCACTGTGCTCCTCGTAAAAAAAGTTAGTCTGGAGCCCTGCTGCAGTACCTGCAGTTGAAGACTTCTGATTTAAAGTGATGTTGATACATTCCAAATTAAGTTTAGCTGTTCTAGTAGGATTCTCGTGACATTTTCTTTGTTGCATCTTGCAGCAAAAGCCATCAGAGACATCTCATTGTTGAAAAAAATCAGTCGTTTTAAATATTTGTGTGTGTGTGAACATCCAAGCAGCAGGAGGATGACTTCAGATGTTGTGTAATGTAATCTAAATGATGTCATAGTGTTTGAGCAGATGTTATTCTCAGATCGGGAGATAAAATATCCTGTGTTAGGCGTGGAGGCACTGACTTCTTGTCTAATTTTATCAGTAAAAAAGGAGGCATATAGGTTCATAAAGAGACAACAAACTGGTCTATAAGGAATGACAACCAGTGACGGACAGAGAGCGAACAAGTACAAATCAGGACCCACTCAGCTCCGCAGCTTCCCCGTATACAGAGCGAGAGCGGCCCCATCAACATGCTATAAAACCTAAAGAACTAATTGAGGAGTTTTGCTTAAGTTGAACAGTTTTACTTTACATGTTGACTTAATATTAAAGTAAGACTGATGAAAAAGCATCTTGCATTATTGGAATAAAATCATTGTATCAGTGGACTAGCATTATCTTAAAATGACAATAATATTGTTTATTGCAATTACTTATGGCACAACATATAGTAAAACACAAGTAGTGTGACAGACACATTTATGCTTACTATACATTCAAGTATGTGAGCATTGTGTGATTCTTACCACACTGTAAGGAATGTTATTTATGACTCCACTCAGGCTGATGACGGTCCGAGGACAGCGAACACAAGACAAGACAGCTGGGGGAAACAGAGCGCTGAAAGTCACAGTTTGAACGAAGTAATGTCCACATGCCGCGAACCCTGCTGGGAACCAGCCGGGGCACCCTATTGGGCACCAGACCCGGGCCCCCCTGCCGGGGCACCCTGCTGGGAACCAGACCGGGCACCTTGCCGGGCACCCTGTTGGGCACCCTGTCGGGCACCCTGTTGGGCACCAGACCGGGCACCCTGCGCTCCTGGGGCACCATCCCCGTGGATGTTCACAGAAACCTTGGAAGGATGGATCTCTTGGTTTTTAGTTTTAGTCAGCCGCAGACGTGGACTTGAGACTTGACAGGAAAACATCACAGCAGTGATGTTCAGTTCAGAAAAAACTTGGTGCTCCATGTGAGACTAGTAAAACATAGTAATGCTATCTTTACGATAGACAGGCCGTTCGCTGATTTTAAGTCGCTAACGTTGGAAATCATAACTTACATTAGTTAACTGACTTTAGCTCAAGCCTTGCTGTGGTGGAAAGTTAGCTAAACCAAGTTTAGCTAAAGGGACCGCTCCACTAATCGAACGTTATCAAAACACAGTGCTAACTGAGCGTTAGCTAGCTTTAAGTTACACTTACAGGACGGCCGAGAGACACATTAGGACAACAAAGCTGTCGCAAGCGGCGTGTCCGTCTTTGTTCTAAACGCGGGTAATGTTACTGTGCCTCGACTCGCGGAGGGTCCGTATACGTACTTTCACGCGTCAAGCATCCTTTACTAGACGACCGGGACGTGAGAGGTTCTGCGCGTTTGCCTTTTCCTCCGTTCCGCCGGCGGTGATGCGTCACAGACGTAACGTTACCGCCGAGAACGGAAGTACATCCGGTCTGTTCCCTTCAGAATAAAATGGGGCAATTCAAAGTTCCCCAAACATGAAGTAAGGAGATTTAAAAACAGTTAGGACCATTGATTGAAACATAAAAAAAACAGTTAAAAAACTTGAAAATTGCAGTGTTGTTTAAGAATTCTGAAATGCGGAAATGGTCAATTACAGCTAAGAGAAACGTCTTTAATCTGGATTTAAAGGAGCTGAGGGACTTTCTGGGACTGTTCCAGATATGTGGAGCAGAAAAAGTGAACGTGTTTAGTTTTAACTCTGGGAAGTAGACCAGTCCCGGACGACCTGAAGAGTTTGTGGCGGTTCATATCAGCAGATCAGAAATGTACTTCGGCCCCAAACCGGTGCTTTTATAATCAGCGGTTCCCAAACTCAAGAATGCCGTGGCCCACTTTGAAATCTGAAAATCTTTTGCGGCCCACCCAAACCTTTAATCACAACTCTGATCAAAACATAAACTAGGGATGATTAAATGACCTTAAGAATTTAACCGACTAACATGTATTAACCGACAATGTATGTTTTGTATACCATTTTCTCCGGAGCTCATGTGCCGTGTTTTCCGCACAATAAGGCGCACCTTCAATGAATGACCTATTTTAGAACATTTTTCATATATAGGGCACACCGGATTATAAGGCGCATAAAATCCTGCAGTAAAACGTTTGACGTCGGGGCGGGTGGATGGGGGGTGTGGGGAGGTGGAGACGGTGCTTTCAGGGTCCGATCAATGCCGCGAGGTGCGTCCACTCCGCCGCCCCCCTCGCCATCCACGCCTTAAATCTCCAGCCGCGCCGCCTGCCAAGGGCCCCTTTTAGAATAACTTATTTTCCCCGTTAAGATGGTTCAGCTACTGTAGAGAAAAGAGCGCCGTCTCTCGCTCTTTAATCTCACGAAGTGCTCGGCGAGAACAACAGCTTTGTTTCTCCGACGCGCCCTCAAACAATCTCCATATCTCACTCGCTTGAGCGCCGCTCAGCATCTCGCCGTCGTAGACGAGCTTTGGCATGTTTGGCAGAGCGCAGAGCGCTGAAAGTCACAGTTTGAACGAAGTAATGTCACATGCTGGGCACCCTGTCGGGAACCCTGCTGGGAACCAGACCGGGCACCCTATTGGGCACCAGACCCAACCAGTACAACCAGTATGGATCAACCGATTAACCGATTGATCCATATACATAAGGCGCTCCGGATTATAAGGCACTGTCGTTTTTTGAGAAAATGAAAGGCTTTTAAGTGCGCCTTGGAGTGCGGAAAAGCGGTATATTTACTTTAATACTACAAGAGGGCGCCGCATTTGACATTGTTTTGTTTGGCGGCGCCTTTTGTTGAATAACGACAGGCGGACAAGAGCAGCCGTTTCAAGCGAGAGCCTTATTGTTTTATTAATCTGTTCATTTAAATTGTTTGTGCTTCATCAATTAATGTTTCACATAACTAATGTGCCGCATCATAAATATTTTGATATTAGTTTCAAACTTTTCAAAAAAAATTGAAAATTGAAAATTAAAAACATTTTATTTATTTATTGTAAATGACCTCTCGCGGCCCACCTGCAGTACCTTCGCGGCCCACACTTTGGGAATCGCTGCTTTGGGTGATAGTAGGCTGATTTTGTCTGATATGGCTGTTCAGGTTTAGGTCTGCTTCAATGTTTGGTGTGTGATTGAAGCTTAGCGCTGACTTTTTTATCATTCATTCAAAAACAATTACTTCTGTTTTATCTTTGGTTAGTTGAAAAGTTTTGACACATCCAGTTGTTAATTTGTTTAATGCATTTACCCAACCTTTTGTATTGGATTATAGTCCCCTGGTGATATGATTATGTTGTTTGTATGTCATCTGCATCACTATGATAACACACTTGTTGTTGATTTTCATAATCTGAGCTAATTGAAGCATGTAGATGTTGAACAGAAGGGGGCCCAGTATTGAACCTTGAGGAACAAAAGATGTCTTTAAGGAACTTAACTGAATTATCCTGTTAAATGGTTGAGTTTGATTCCGTAAGGGCTTGAAATGGTGTAAATATCTTCAAAGAATCAGGCTGTTGGCCAAACAGGGTCAACATATAAAAACGACACCCGAAGGGATATAGGACAAGGGTTAGAAAAGAAATACACATCTTCTTGCCACCCCGTAAGGGGAGGATAGACGGAGGATAGACGGTGGGAATGCGCATACGCAGTGCAGTACCAGTTGAACAGGAGAGGTCTGCTCTCTGCTCTGACTGCAGTAAGGACTGCTGAGTAAGAATTTAATTACAGCAACCTTTCAAAGTAAGAACACCAGGGAAGTTGCTTGTTTTGTCTCTACTAGTGCAGTGCTTCCTGGGACTTTTAGTGTCAGCCGTGTGCGTCCTATTGACCGGTGGGTTACGATAGACAAATTATATTTTCTTGCCAACCCAATATAATTGTGGCGTTGAGTTTGACATTTAGGCCCCTTCTCAATATTGTTGTCTGGACTCGTGGACTCGTGAAACATCATCAGTCACAGGCGAAGGACTGAAGGTTTGCAGGCGGATTCAAATTGTCAAAGAAATTTACCCCTTGCGTCCTAACCCCTATTAGTTGACGTCATGGGCTCTCGTGAATTCTCCTAACCATTGAGACATGGCGTTGAATCACTTCTAAGAATGCTCTACTAAGTACTGAAGATGCTTGTCATGAAGGGGATGAATCCTTTTAAGACTGCAGTAGTGCTTAAACGTAGCATTTTGTGATGAATATGGATGAAAACCGTGGTACTGGTTTTATTGAACTATTTTAACTGTTCTTGTCTACTTTGAATATTACAAAAATCTGAAAATCGTTCAATTTCTAATTGAACTCCTAATACGCAATGGGGGTTGATTGATTTTGAAAAAACGGAGAATACGTCTCCTTCTCTATCAGAAGGCTCTTGTCATCTCACGCCTTGACTGTTGTAACTCCCTCCTAGCAGGTCCATCTGCCAGCGCCATCCAACTTCTGCAGCTCACGCAGAATGCAGGTGTTCAACCTAAATTCATCCACACTACTCGGCTCCCTTCACTGGTTACAAGTCCGCTCCCTTCACTGGTTACAAGTCTACTCCCTTCACTGGTTACAAGTCTACTCCCTTCACTGGTTACAAGTCCGCTCCCTTCACTGGTTACAGGTCCGCTCCCTTCACTGGTTACAAGTCCACTCCCTTCGCTGGTTACAAGTCAGGCAGTTAGCAGTGGCTGCCTGCATCTAGAACCTGGTCAAAGCTCTCACTCTGCTCTGCATCCTCCAATCTGCTTGTTGCTCCCTCACAGAGACCTAAACACTCAACACAACATCCCAACATTGCGTCCTTTCTCCTAAATGGTGGAATGAGCTTGTCAATGACATTAGGACAGCAGAAAGCCCACACAGCTAAAAACACACCTCGGCCGACGCTACCTGGACTAGGTAGCACTTTAGTGGCCCTTAAGATGCCTTTTACTTGTAGCACTTATAGTTTAGCGTTCTTGATCCTTGTTCTGTCCACAAAAATGTAAATGTAAAAATATATTGTGTTCAAGGGCCCTAACTCTCATTACCAGGCACTATGTATTAATTAGTAATGTTAGTACATTGGAATTCCCTGTTCGAGCTGCGAGGACTCAAATGGAGATGGAGCTGCCTATATTGTAGATGGGTTGATGTCATTGTCAGGCTATATAAGGCTGCCACGGTCCAACAAGTGCTGTCTTTTCCAGGACCACATCAGAATCAGAACCAGTAGCCATTTATTGCCACATGTTGCACATAGAGTAATTTCACTTGGTGAATTGGTGCAATATAAGAATAAAATAAGACAAAAATAAGCTAGACTTAACACTATAAACAGATAAGTCCGTTAAAAGACGTATGTATGTCGATATGTTTCCATGGTGAGAGAAACCACTGTGCAAAACGGGTCAACGGGGGACTTGAGGGGGGTTCAAGAGACCAACTAGAAAAAAACAGTTTCTGGCAAGAGGTCCTGATGGAGCGCAGCCTCCTGGGAAGGGGCTCACATCGTCTGTGTCGGGGGAGAGGGGGTCATGCCGTGTTATAATAAGACAACTGTCACGTTTGGTTAATGTTCGGATAATTGTCAGGGAAATAAACACCTGGTTGATCTTCGCTTACCTGCTGCTTCCCAGGTCTCCAGCCCGACGTTAGGGGAGCAAAAAATGTATTTAAGTATTTCAGTTATATCGGAACATCTTTTCTTTATCTGTTCACTCCGATAGCATGATTCCCCTTCAATGTTTGGTGTGTAATGTGATTGTGATACATTGTCATAGAAAACCAATGTTGAGCCTTAAACTATCATCAATGTACTACCAATCTGAACCTCTGTCCAGGAGAAAAATATTTTAATGTTTGATTTAGTGATATTACAATATTTGAAAGTCATGTTACCACAAATGGAAAAAACAACTTTATTATTATTCACATTTTACATCAACACATCATTGGAGCAAAAGGACAATTTGTGATAACCATCTGGGTAATTAACTGCACAGAAACCCCAGTGACAACCACAACAATACTACTCACCTGAACTCTAAAACTTATGAAAACGGTCTCTAAAGAACCTAATGTGGGTGTTTGAAAGAATTGTTTGTCAATGGTTGATAGAACTTTGGGGCATAAATGATTCTAAGAATAAACGCTTCGTGGTAGATTAGGAAGGATTTTATGGTGAACCTCTGGTCAATGGAATGAAACGAGGAAGTTAAACCTGTAAAACCTGCAGGATAGAATAGCTTTGAATTGGGATTATAACATACATCTATGGAAGTCTGTTGCTAAAAACCTTCCAATTACACTATTTAGATCAAACTGAGAGGTCATTACCCTTTTAGGTGCATCTTATGACAAAATTAAAATGTTAAAATCAAATATTCACATATTGTCAAATGCAATTGTGGCATGTAGCACCCCTGCCACAAGAAGAACAATTAGTGGGAAATGTGGTTCGTTCATGATTGTAAAATTGTATAAAAATTGACAATGAAACTTTTTGCAAAAGAGAGTCGTGCCATTACAAAAATGTTGACTTGCTTTAGGGGCGATATAATGGCAACAATATATTATTAAACTCAAAGACACTTCTCATTCAACTATTATTACCATTACAAAAATTGTACCATTATTCAGTGACTTTTCTGATCTAAACCAATAATTTCTTAAATCAATTTGATTTAATCCAATCCGAATACTAGCAGCCAGTCAATACAGCAGAGCAAGAGTTTAATGACATTCAACTAGCAAAGACAACGTTCCTCATTCCCCAAGTAAATATTCCATTACACTACGTTCCTGGATAAAATCTGAAGTAATTATGGTAATAACGAACAACACATTAAACATAAGGTCAATCACACTATTAATAGCCATTTTTGAGCATCCACAGACTTCTTAGGACGCATTGGAAGAATTTAACAACACTTAGGCCTACATCTTAAAATCAGTAAACAATAAACTCTATTTACCATTGATTTACTGACATACCACATCCGATTTTTTTTTCCTTTCATGTTTGGGTCACCAACGGCCTCACCTGAGGCAATGGTGTCATGCTGTACAGAAGAGGTTCACTTCCTTGTCGGGCTTGTCATTACTCAAAACATTTCATGATGGCATCTTTGTCAAATTTGAAATTTAGGAAAGCCTTGGAGAAGAGCAGGTCCTCGGAGTCTCTGCTGTGGGCGGCCTGGTGGCCGTTTGAGGTGCATGGACCCACATCTGTGAAGACAAATATGTATTTACACATCTGGTTTGTGGTGGATGTTACTCTTTATCCTAGCAAGGTCTTAAAAGTTGTTGTTATCAAATTAAATATGCCGTTTCTGAACCACAACTGGTTATTTACACTCATTACAAAGCCCCCTGGTGGCATTAGGCCCCTGGGGTTTAAGGACACACCCCAGGCTGGAACTTGTCGGCCAACCTTAAAAATAATGTGTTACACTATCTACAAAAAGTCTTCCTACTTTTGACTAAATAGTGGGAAGCAGTTTACACACGAATATTTCATCAAAAGAGGCCTGCAATGGGTTTCTATTAACGTACCTAATAACCACTGAGCCAACTGTGAATTCAATGCCACCAAATGAGCAGATTTAGTGCAGCAAATAAATGTTTTTATGGTAGCTGAGCAAAGTGAATACAGTCTCAGATTCACACATGGTAACTGTACAAACCATGTATGAAGGAAAATAGTCAGTTATGGTGAAATGATTTGGCTGTTTACAAATATCTCCTCCAGTCTCCTCCAGGATATTAAAAAGGGAACAAACCATACCTCTCTCAAAACTGTCTTGCAGTCTTCTGGGTTGTAGTCGTTTATCTTCTTTCTGTAGGAATTATACAAGAGTGTAATGATAATTCAACCAGCAGCATGCATAAGTTGATTGTTTTCAAATACTACACAGTGTCTTTAAAACTGGTCCACTGGCAAAAAGTCCATTAAATTTCAGCTATGTAATTTTTCCCTTCTGGAAAGGTGATTGGATGACTGGCAATCTGAAACGTATATGTATTTTACCTGTTGGTTGTTTGCTCCATAAGATGAGTCCTGACATTTCTTCCCACTGGGTTTCAAATTTGTGTTCTGAAGAGCCAAAAACACAGTCATGAGGTCACGCTGATGTAGTCTCAGATACAAGTCTCATGTCAGGGAACGTTACATTACATGTCATTTAGCTGACGCTTTGATCCAAAGCGACTTACAATAAGTGCATTCAACCATAGAGAGAACAAGAACTAAGAAAGTGCAATCCCCTCAAATAAGCCAATTTACAATTTCCTATGGATAAATTGTACCTGTAACCCCACTTAAGTGCTACAAAAAGTGTTTTAGTTGAGGTAGAGTCTGAAGAGGTGTGTCTTTAGTCTGAAGATGTGAAGGCTCTCTGTGGTCCTGATGTCTTCAGAGAGCTCGTTCCACCCTTTAGGGGCAGGACAGCAAAGAGTGGTGATCTAGTCAAGTGTTTTGCTCTCAGTGAGAAGGAACGAGCGGTTTATCAGATGCAGATTGTGTTGTCGCAGTGATGTTGGGAGTCAGGGAGAGTTGGCTGTCGAGTGTGACGCCGAGGTTCCTAGCGGTTAAAGTGGGCGTTAACACGGAGTTGCCAAAGTTGACCGTCAGGTCCTGGGTCGGAGAATCTTTTCCCAGAAAGAAGTATTCAGTCTTGTCGGGGTTGATTTTCAGATGGTGGGCGGACATCCACTGAGAGATGTCAGTCGGACAGGCAGAGATCCGTGCCACCACCTGAGTGTCCGAGTGAGGGAAGGAGAGAGTTAGTTGGGTGTCATTGGCATCGCTGTGGTAGGAGAAGCCATGCGAGCGAATGACAGCGCCGAGAGAGTTGGTGTAGAGCGAGAAGAGAAGGGGACCCAGGACAGAACCCTGAGGAACTCCAGTAGTAAAAGGTTCCGACACAGAGCCTCGCCCGGTTACCCGGTAGGTGCGGCCGTCGAGGTAGGACGAGAGAAGGGAGAGCAGAGCCTGAGACACCAAGTTCCTGAAGGGAGGAAATAAGGATCTGGTGGTTGACTGTGTCAAATGCAGCAGAGAGATCCAGAAGGACGAGGACAGAGGAGAGAGAGGCAGTGTGGAGTTGCTCTGAGACAGCAAGGAGAGCAGTCTCTGTGGAATGGCCTTGAAGCCTGACTGGTGGGGGTCGAGGAGGTTGTTATGGTGGAGATAGGAGGAGAGTTAGGTTAAAGATCGCACATTCAAGAGTTATGGACAAAAAGGGAAGAAGAGAGACCGGTCTGTAGTTGTTTTCTTCAGAAGGGTTGAGGGTAGGTTTCTTCAGGAGAGGATTAACTCTTGCCTCCTTCAGAGAATTGGGGAAACAGCCAGATAACAGAGCATAGATGATGAGACAGGTGAGGAAAGGAAGAAGGTCAGGTGCGATAGATTGTAGAAGATGTGATGGAATGGGGTCAAGAGGGCAGGTGGTCGGACGGACAGAGGTTACTAGGGTAAGAATTGTTAGGAGACAGGGGGGTGAAAGAGGAAAGTGAGGGCGATAGAGGTGAAGTCAGTGGGTTTGAGAAAGGAGAAAGGAGCGTATGTCAGCTATGTCAGCCATGTATGTCAGAAGGGAGAAAGTAGGTGCAAGAGGTCAGATGACTTCTCTGTCTGATTGTTGAAGTCACCCAGGAGGATGAGCGGAGGGCCATTTTCAGGGAAATTGGACAGGAGAATGTCCAGTTCTCCAAGAAATGACCCAAGGAGCCTGGCGGACGGTAAAGGACTTACTGGCCGAGTAACTGTTACAGCATGAAATTCGAAAGACAGTGGGGTGGACGGTGGAAGAGGGTAGAGAGAAAAGCTCCATTTGGGTGAAATGAGTAGACCTGTGCCACCACCCCTACCAATTTGCCTGGGTAAACAGTCATTGTTGGAAAAACGGCAATAATGTAATGTTTTAGACAAAACAAGACCATGTCTGTATCGTTTGTACAATAAGTTGGGTGTATGACATGTCAGCTGAGATAAGATGACCGCTCAGGATATGAAATCTGGTGTTCAGAAGGCCACTCTGCGTCTCACGATCATCAAATGTATGTCTCAGGATAAAGAACATGACGGTCCTTGTACAATGAGATCCTTGTCTTCCGCAAAACCTTGCCGTTTATGATACCTTATCCCGGTATCTATGTGGGGGCTGGAAAAGAAAACCTTTGAGCAGGCTTGGTGCACGACTTCTATGTGTGTCAACGCCGTCTCCTGTTTGCAAACATTAAAAGTCCTGTTTTGATGATTTTACACCGGTATCAAGTATTCAACAGTCATTCATTGACGCTGAACAGGACCGTTGGCCAACTCGCTCGCAAATGTCCAGTGTGTTAGCTTGTTAGCTGTTGTGTCTGCTAGTGTTGCCACCAGAGGCAATACCAATGCTCAGTTTCCCCCTCGGATAGAGTTTTACTTTGTCTCTTCATCTCAACCCATGTGAGACAGCAAAGATCTCAGCAAAGTCAAGTCAAAAAGAAATACTTCCAACAAAGACTCACTGTACAAAACCTTTTCCTGTCTAACATCAAACAGTCTTGTAGTTAATGTAGCTTAAATGCTGCATTTTCTATAATGTTTAACATGTCTTATTTTCTTGAAAAGCCATTAAGAGTTCTAAAACATGGTGTTTAGTTAAAAGTTTTTTTTTTTTATGTTTATCATGTTTGTTGTGTCTTGGTTGTTGTTTCTTGACATGTGGACCCTCAAGTGCACTATAATTGTTGTAGATGAGAACTGTAACATGTGGCCTAATGGTCGGGTTTCTAACCTGGTTGAGCTCATGCTGGTTGAGCTGCTCCAGAGCCTTCTGCTGCTTCGGTTTGGCCCCGCCCTCTCCTGGATAGGCTTCCGTACCTGTGAGGCGGCGCAATTTATGCCTAAATAAAAATGAAATAATAATAATCATACACGGTGAATGCTCAACTGTTCTTGGTCCAGAAATAAATGTCCTTTTCTGCTCCAGAGTTATTATTAGGACTGTCAAAGTTAACGCATTAATCTTCGCGATTATTTGTGGCCGAGATTAACGTGATAAAATCTTTTAACGCAACTTTGTTTACTTCCAGCGTGCGTTGACCCCTGAAACCACTGTGTGCTGCAGTCAGTTAGATCAGAGAGTCCGAGATGGCAGCTGAAGATGAAGCAAGCTTTTTGCATTGGAGGTAAAACAAACACAGAACGGTGCAGAGGAGTTCCTCCACCTGTCAAACAGAAGCGTGATGAACCACGGACCACTTTACACAAGGAACATGTTGGTAGCTGCTAAGCTTAAAGGACAGTGGTTTGGAAAACGTCCCGGCTAAACGTGGCACAGCAAGGTGCACAAGGACAGCAGGAAGAGTCGCTAGTTCAACATATTGCACCCGGTGGGATTCTGCCTCAAAGACGATCAAATGAGTGTAGTGGAGTTTAAAAAATACAATTAAACAAGTTACTTTGATCTAGTCGAACTTTTAAATCATGAGTAATCTAGATGAATACATTTCAAAATGTGAGATTACTCAATTTTTTAAAAATCCATTGACAGCCCATAATAGTTATTATGATCATCAAAGATTGGTGAGCCTGATATCTAACCAGTCTTCTGTTTTCTCTGTGAAAAAAGGTGTTGTTACCGAGTGTTGTCTGAAGCTTTTCCTGGAGTGACGCCAATGTTTGCAAAGTCCTCGTCGCTGTCTGTGGACTCGCCTTTCAGCCGGCTGATCCATTCTCGCAGCGGCCTGCACAGGTGGATCACAACGTGAGCCATCAGAAACAGTCAGTCACTAAAACCAAACCATTGTACTGTGTCTTTTCAATCAGGTTAACATTTATCTTAGATTAAATGAAGAAGATACAAGGAACTTGGGACAGAACCAGTCTTTGGCTGGACTCACCACGACTCTGAGAGCCAAATGTCTGCATATTCTTTTGGTGCAAATATGTTAATAGGTAATATCAGTGCCTTACACACACGCACCTTATAAACGGAATGGCCATGAAAAACCTGTTGGGGGCGAGTCCGAGTTTAGACTTTGGGGTCATGTCATTCCTATGACAGGGCAGCTTCTCAATTGGAAACCATTCAATGTTCTATAAGAGAAGAACCACAGGACTGTGAGACCTTTGTCAGTTTGATTGAACTCTTCATCAATACATGCTTGAAGAGACAATTGAGTTTCCATGTGTCGTTTTGCCCAGCCATCCACCCATTCAAAAATCAATGGTTTTTGATTGAACATCCTGTCAAAAAGCCATATAATGTTTGATTTCAATTCAAACCAAATGTTCTTTTAGTTTACATTTATCATCATTTTCTAACCAAATGCTTCCTCATTGTCAAAGCTGTATCTCATTTGGTAAAATGAAGATGGGATAAGTGTAAAAAGGAATGCCCACCCTGATCTCTTTCCTTGTTTTTGGATTGAACTTAGTATCCTTTGACACTCCCGGTATGATGTAGAGCCGCACCAGCTGGTCAGTGATTTTCTGCTCTATGTACCGGTCTTTAGAGATTCGATTCTTGATGTCAAAACCCGTCTCCTCCAACACCTGACAAACAAGATTGAAATCCACACATGAACTATTTGTGACTTCTAATTCTTTCAGATTGTCAAGATGAACTGCAAAGAAAAAGGGGCTTACTTCACGGACTGCACAGTCATGAGGAGCTTCATCCTCGTTAACTTTCCCCTTTGGAAAGCCCCAGCCGGACTTTGCAAGGTAGCCTTGAACAAGCAGTGCCTGAAAATAAGACGGTGCAGCAGTTATCTGCAGCTCAGTGTTCGCTGTGATACCATGTCACGAATGGAAATGAACATATAAGCCAGAGATATGCTTTAAAACAGGGGGCTTCAACCTTTTTCAGGCCAAGGACCCCCGAACTGATGGCGAGATGGAGCAGGGACCCCCGATTCTACGGAGTTTGGTCCGCCATCTTTTATTTTTGAGCTTTGCGCTCTTCAGACGTGAGCATGAATGGATCTGATTGGCTGGTGCCTGTGATGAAGTCTCATCGACCAAAAATGTTGCCCCCCCCCCCCTGCAGTACCCCCCTCCTGTTGAAGCCCTGCGCTTTAAAAGACACAACAGAGGCGATCAGCTAATGCTGCAGCAGAACTCACGTTTTCCAGTGCTTCATCTAGAATGATTGCTCCAAAGGTAGGAACGCCCATCTTGTACTCCTTCCACTGTTCAAGGATCTTTTGAACATCCTCTCCATGAGGCAATAGAAATGGACAGTGGTGGAAGAGTTTGCAGCGGTCAAGGAATATGGCTTCTAATGGATCCAGAGACATCCAACACTAACAAATGAATGGTTCCTGTTCTACGGTTAAAACCACAGTGGAGCCATGAAAACCCCGCCGCCGCTGTGGGAACGCAGATCATTTCCTTAGGGCTTGTTTTTAATAAAACAACAACTCTAAAAAGGCAAAAACAAATACATTTCAGGGTTTAAAGGCCAGGCTTTAGTATATGTGCAGTACAGTGGAAATGATTTTAAAAGAGTATCCGGTCATTTAGCATCACATGTAAGGATATTTGCTTTGGCAAAGTCTCTTATTCCACAGTGAGGGGCTCCTGGGGTGTTCTGCATGCAGAAGTCCAGGTAGAACCAGTGGGCCAGCTCGATCTGGAAGCACACCCGGATGGCGTTGTCCCTCTCCTCACTGGGGATGTGCAGGATGAACCGGCTGCAGAGAAACAGGAGAGATGCAATCACAGGTCAAACTAGTGGTACTTCCCAGGCTCAAAGAAACGGAAAACTTCTCTTCTGGAGCATTTTATCATCCCACTGCAGCATCTCCTCTGGTCCAGATTACTTGCATACTACTATTTTCCAACATGTCTCAAGTCTGGATACAGAGGCGGACCCGTGCCATTCTGAGATCGGATTATGCCAATCTGAAAAAAAGAACCTGCCACTTTTCGATCTGGGTGCTACTGGTGAATTGTGCGTGAAGAAGACTCCCAGTTTATCGACACAATGTGGTCTAGAACACGGCAGTGGAGACGTGGTTTCTTGGTGTTTTCCAATAGAGAAAGCGAGCAAAGCTTCCTTGCTGCGAGACTTCAGAGTCTCTCACCGGCAGCTTGGCTGTGAAAATTCTCAGTGCATCATACATGTGTGATTGACTAAAAGACCAACAAATTGTAGCAATTAAATTGGCAGTCCGAACAGAATCCCCCCTTTTGTCCAAATGTGTCGGTGGTGGAAAGCTGCAGCCTCGTGAAAAAGTATCAATACACATGTTTGGGAGTGTTCAACAATACGCCACCAAAACCAGTTGTCTTGGTTCACTCTGAACCAAATGGTTTTCTACCCACTGACGATGTACAATTTGATGACAAGTACAGGAAGCAGCAGTGACATTGGTGAGTGGCTGACGGCGTAGCGCGTCCGTCCTGTGACGTATTGTTATTGTGCTTCACAGGGTTCGAATCCAGGTCGAGGCGATCTTTTAATAAATATATTTTCTTAAATATATTACTTCATACGTGGCAGTGATGTAGTGCTCACTTATACGATCGTAATGGATATGTGATGACTTTTGAACATTTTCAGCAATATGTTTGCGAATGTGTGACGAATCAGGTGACCGAGGCAGAAAACATCTGCCGCTGTATGGGGGAAACAAACACGCACGCGTAGACAAACCAGTAGGTTCAAAAACCAGTAGGCACGTAACACCGGTCCCCGAGCTTGACCGTCCGCAAAGTACGGAAAAAACATGTTATAGAAAGTCAATAACTTCATTGTAGTGAATGGAAGTTCGATCAAAATGGGCTCATTATTGTTGTACTACAGTAGTACTTTTGAAAAAATATGCTTTCAATATATTATGACTCATTATTTTGAATATTTATTGCAAACAATTTAATAGCTTCACTCTTGCAAGACCATAAGGCATTCCACACATGCCTCTGTTGTTGTTGTTGTTGAACTACAGCGGTTATTTTCATTATTATCTCATTTAAAATGTGGTGTTTAACCACTCCGAGGTTGTAGTAAAGCAGTAATTATTGAGATATCTGCATATAAACACTTCAGATTATTTGTTATTGGGCGGATTGGTCAATAGATTAACTGTTTAAAAGCGTGTGCTTTTACACCGACGAGCTAAAGTCTGAGTATGTGAACTTTACCGAACTAATGTTTCATGCACTGATCAACTTTTCTTCTACTTCTCCCGAAAGGTGGTAAACAACCACCCACCACACATACGTGGGTGTTTGTTGTCGATGTGTGTTTAGAGTTCTTGGTGGAACAGAACATGTTCGGAGTGAGTGCTAGCGCTAGCACAGTGCTAGCTTTAGCTGCTACCGTTAGCACAGGGGTAACCGACAAGGATTACACGTTGTGAATGCGTGATGGCGGGAGCAATAACGGGGGGAAAAGCACGCATTCAGCCGCTGAGTTAACTTGCCTGCAAAGGTCGTCCAGTACGCCGGAGGGGATCTCCACTCGTTTGTTTTCCATGTTGGTACAAAGCATCCCGACTCAAACTCAGAGCATTCGGGTGTTGGAGCCATAAAGAGCAGCCAGCTACGCCTGCATGTTGTCCTCGGTGGACCCGGGGACGGTGCCGGGGCCCCGCTCCACTTCAGCCAGCACAGAGCAACGAGGACGGGTTAAAAGGGCTCCGGTTCCGCCCGGACGGACTCAGCTGTTTATGCGGCGTTCAAGTAACGCGGCATGACGGGCGCGAGGGCGAGGGAACCGGATGGAACGCGCTCTGTGACGTCATCGGCGCGTTGCTCGGTCGCAGAGTCGGTTGTTGTGGCTCTGACATTAGAGCATCCAATCACCATTCAATCAATGGGATTTGGTTTAATGAACATATACCCAACACCGGACTCATTTCCGTTTCCGGGTACTGTATATAATATATGATTCCATCTACCGCACACAGTGGAGCTTTTGGAACATTTAGAATTGGTTGTCATTACGACTTCGACGTGGATGCGTTCGATATAAACACTATTTAAGTCACAGGTCTGGAACTTGAAAGCTAAATAAATAAATAAATTCAGACAGGATGTTTAATAGGAAGCTAACTAGACAGAACGCTGTTGGTGTATCTATATATCTATATAACTGTAATTCACCACTTTGTCGTCACTCGTCACTTTGTTACTTGTTCGTTAATGCACTTTATCCTTAATATATCTTTTTTTAAACTTTTTAAATATTACAATTTTTAACTTTATTCCCTTGTTTTATACTAACCCATAGCCTTATTCTACTAACCCATTGCATTAGCATTTCATTTGACTTTATTTTATTACTTGTGCACTGCTGTCTTGTCTATTGTCACATTGTCTACTGTCGCGCACCAACCTCCTTGTATGTTTGGCATATTTTGGTAATAAATGTTTCCTGATTCCTGATCCTGATCAGCACGTCTCTGTTGACTGGGGGCGGGATTTAACGGGTGTGTCTCTATTCCCTTCTTTAGGACGCATACGTCACTCGGCTGCGACTCGGGTGTCCCGTTCCGTGGTCTCCTCCGACCGCAGAGCGGCCGACGAAGATTTCTTCAGCACAGCGGGGAAACAGTTCATTTTTACGTACGTGATAGACATGACGTGTTCATATTTCGCTTCTAGTGTGTATTATTGTACTCCCAATAATAAAATGTTTGTTTGGATACTTCAGATGTTTTTATTTATCTCCCAAACACGCAATTTAGTGGAACAAACCGTTTTGTCGAAGTATTTTTCAAACTCAGTGATAAAGCGGGAAATAGCTCTCTCTGTTTCTTGCCCTTCCTCAAGCACATGCGATACAAGTTCACGTTCTACTGTTTTTCACTTGTTTCCACTTAGTTTCATTCTCCTCTTTTCTCAAACTGGTAGCTCAAGCAGAAAGCTGGAAGCTTCTTCGGTACTGGAGAGCATGCAAGCGTGACAATAAACAAGCATGGATCAGGGGGAAAAGAGTCCTGTCACACCAGTTCTTTTTGTAGTTAAAAATTTGCAGCAATCTTTTTTTTCAAGCCCCCAAATTGTACAACAGAAAATCAGTTCAATTATCAAGATGCCTGTTTGTCTGCAAGACAGAAGATACCTGAATGGGCGGAGCCACATTTCCTCAAAACCTCCGTTGTTTGTATCGCGGATTGATTGTTTCTCCACTGCTGTCCTGGTAAAGGCAGTGTTCTCACTCCCCCTCACCAGCACAAACTGAAACTCCGGACTACTTTTCACAGTAATAGAGTTTCTCCAGTAGTGGAGTCTGCTCAGATTGACTGTAAGAACGGACTTTAACTCAGGGGACGAGATCCCCACAATATCACAAATACGTTTTACTTTTCCTGCTGTAAGACCTGTATGGCTCCCCTCCAACAGGACGATGGACATGACCTCTGCTCGTCTTGAGCATTGGAGGAAGATCCTCTAGGAGAACCCCTGCATGAATTGTGGCATCATGCTCCACGCCATACGGTCAACTAAGCTGGCTGAAAGGAACACCTGAAGGGTGAGGCCAGCCTCCCACCATCGGGGCAGCTAAATCCAACCCATCCCACACGCTTCAAACATGTCTGAAGGTCCTTTCATTTCACACGTTGAGCACATCAGATGTCCTCCTGGTTGTTTCCAGAAGAGAGTGGTTCACACCCTCTTCTGACCCACTTCTGAGGAGGCGGAAAGCTACCGCACATCCTTTATCTTTGCCTGATAGGCAAACTGACAGCTGCCTCAACCGTCATTCCCCTGCACAGTAACTGCGCCCCCTGCAGCGATAGCTAAACAGCCTTAGCTTGGACAACGTGGCACAGACACAGGCCGATAGTAGTGTCACAAAAATGCCTCATGAGAGAGCTCCCATCTCACAGGGGGCGTTGTCACAACTGATGACAGGCTTTGGGGAAATGTACCTACTGGGAGAACGGAACTGGGTTGTGGATTTCCTCTCCCCTCACAAGCCCCTCCTGGGGGGCTGCACTGTACGTAATGCACAGCATTTGGGGTCTATTTGACTGGGCGGAAGTGGACCTTTTTGCCTGGAAGATGTTGATATACTGCACCCACTGGTTTGACCTGACAGAGACGCTCTGGCTCACACATGGTCAAAGGCTCTCCTTTGTGTTTTTTCTCCACCGTTTTTGCTGATCCTGCCAACTCAGACGAGGCCACAGACTACTGCTGGTGCCCCCCTCTATGGCCAGCCAGGACGTTCCCCTACTGCACAGACTCTGCCAAGGAAAGCCCCTTGCGGCTCCTCTCACAGTGGGGAGGCCAGGTCTGGCATCCAGACCCCACCCGTCTACAATTCAGAAGAACTTTTCTAAATGCCAGGGCGCCATCGACACTTCTGCTGTGCAAGAAAAAGTGGTGCCTGTTACCTTTTGACTGATGTCGCAAAACATGAACCCATGCAGTGCCCCATACCTGCTGTCCTTGAATGTCTGCAAATCCTCATAGATAAGGGTTGGTCTCCTTCTACCCTGAGGGTGTACTAGGCCACTATCTCAACGCAGCATGCCAAGGCCGCCAATAACACAGTGGGAGGCCACAGGCTGGTGTCCTCCTTTCTCAAAGAGGCGCTTTCTCTTTGCGTTTCCCTAAGGACTACTGTACCCGGTACAGGCCTTAAGGGCTGGAATCTACAGGTCTTTGTCAGCAGCGGTGAGCCTAAGAACGGCTGTGCTCTTTCAAAGCAGCACCTTTCCAACTGGATAGGGGAGGCCATTGGCTATTCATACAGGGCAAGTGACCACGCTTTGCCGTCTGGAGTGAAGGGTCACTCTACAAGGAGTATCTTAACATCTTGGAAGCCCTGAGTTGTGCCTATGGAGGAAAGATGTGCTGGGGCCTCATGGTCATCAAGGTGGCGAGCACTCAGCCAATGAGTGTGGTTTCCCGGCCAAGCACCTATGCTTGAGCTGTACGAGGTAGGCACTAATCTTCCTTGCCTCAGCATTGATCCATCCTGCCTCGTATCAACAGTTCTGGCTGGTGCTGGTGTAATGGTGTGAGGGATATTTTCTTGGCACACTTTGGGTTGTTTAGTGCGTATTGAGCATCATTAAAAATCTGCAACCTATTTTTGGCGCCATGCTGCTATGGAGCTTTTGAAAACCTCAGCAATCTCTGCCCGGGATGTGGATTCAGTCTCCTCCATGGAGAACGTCATTGTCCGGTTGCCCTCTCCGCCACTTGCCAATATCTCACACCCAGGTCCGCAGATCTCCTTCAACCGCACCAGCAACAGTCAGACTTTCAACGACTCTCCGTCAGAGGTTAAACCTCAGAATTGTTCTTCTGAGATTGACGCTGAATCTCAACCCCACTCTCCTTCCACGCACACGGAGAGATTGATCAGATAACGGTTTTTAAAAGTGTCTTCAGATTTGTGCTGATGCAGAGAACCCTTCCACCAATAGAAATATACAATGTTCAGCGTGATGCACAAATGGATAAAATGTGATGGTCACATGCTACAATGAGATAAAATGTATGAAAAAGACACAAACATGCAGTTTATTAACAGAATAAATGTATTTGTTTGGGGAACAATATGTACAAATCAAATAACATCAAAATCAAAACAAAGATAATACAAATGCAGTTCATTAACATATTCAACAAGGTTTTAAAATACTGCTGTACAAGGATGATTTTCATATTAACAGGTGATTTGAAGCTAAAATGCCTGCAGGGGCAAATTATGAAAAAATGAATGAAACACAGCACAGTAGCATTGCAACCGACTGAACTGGAACAAATCTTGCTTGTCCACCCTGTATAGGGTTCTCTTTACAGGTTGTCCACCCCGCGGATCCTCCTGGCGAGCTGAATGTCACGGGGGAACAGCGTGACCCGCTTGGCATGGATGGCACACAAATTGGCATCGGAGAACAACATGACGAGAAACGCCTCTGCAGCCTTGGAAGACGAGGAGGAAGAAAAGAGAGAAAAGAGAGTGTACAATCATATTTTCATTACCTATCACTTAAAAGTAAGAGTTACAGTATTCATAACACTGGTCACTTTTGTCTATTTTTATTAATATTCATGACAATACAGACCACAACAATTCTGCATCGATCTAGTGACAGGACACAATCAGTAACAGTAAGTAAGTAAGTAAGAGTAGAAGAGCTAGGAGTACGGAGCAGTAACTAACTAAACAGATCAGAGGCTTTCCCCGCCATTATATGTGAAAACCTTGTTCCTATACATTCAGCAGTGAAGTGGTTCACATGGATGCTGAAGTGGTTCACCGTTTTACATTAAATATATAGACTATATTTACACTGTAGCCTGCTCCCATTTATAGTTGTATGGTCCTTTACAAACACATGAATCTTTTGAAGAACCTCTGATACGATTGCTTGAGTTGGTGTTTAAGATAGTACGGTTGTTAGTGATGATGCTTCGGTTTGTGAAGTAGTGATCAGAACACTGGATAACTTATACTGCACGAGTTGTGACAGTTCTCATAGATTCTGCCGTTATTCACTTCACTTCATCGCAGATTTGTTTCCAGGTTCAACGTGGAGTCACGACAGAGCGAGTCTGCTTACCTCCTGCAGGGCCATGAGGGCAAAGACCTGCCACCGCAGATGTTGACCAGAGAAGCTCTGGCACACCTCTCGAACCTGAGACAAAGAAGAACCAAGGCTGCAGTCACACAGCTCATCACAAAGAAATGTCAAGCGTTGCACACATTCCTCAACCAAAGGAATGCGTAAAAAACACAGGTAAACACTGTGTTATTCCTGCTACGGGAACTTTGAATCATTACTTTGTGTTTCTTTTTGTGATCTAATTTTGTGGGTTTTCAATACATGTATTGGAAATCCGCAGCAACCCAAACAATTAAAAGCAAGATGAAAAATGTAAAGGAAACATCTACCCAAATACATCTGTGAATAATAGGCTAGAGCAGTGGTTCTCAACTGGTCTGGCTCCGGGACCCACCAACACCCCTTAACGACAAGCCCTGACCCAAATCGAGGAACATTCTCAACTTCTCAAATGTATTTAATGAAAATATGGTGCAGTTTGAACCCAAGATAGTGTGGAGACAGAATACGTATGCCAACACAAAAACAAGTTTAATGAAAAAACAAAACAGCCAGCTGTTAATTCTAATATTTATTTTCCCAGGCAAAGGCCCACGACCCACTAAAAACGGGTCCGCGACCCACCAGTTGAGAATGTGTTATGATTGAATTCAACTGCTAAATACTAAATTGCCGGTTAATTCGGTGATTCTAATCTCAAACGGCACCAAGCCTGGTCCAGCTATCAAGGTTTACTTACTAGACGAGCGAAGGGTCCCTTTCTGAGCAGGAGATCAGTGGTCTTTTGGTACTTGCGGATTTCCATTAGGGCCCTGGTCCCAGGTCGAAACCGTCTCTTCCTGGGAGACGCAGGCGGCTGCCCTGGGAGACAGACAGTGTTGGATAGTTTTTGTCGTGGCAGGACAGGGAAGCTCTCTTCCAGAGCATTGATCCTTGACGGGCGGCAGCAGGCCATTCATAGCTGGCAGTTTACTAATGAAACCTGTTGTTACGAGTTTCAGATTTTCACTAAAAAAAGTGGGACACGCTTTTAAATACCAGTTAGCTTAGTGGTCTGCCGGGTAGCAAGTAACTTCTACTTGTTTTAGCGCCAGTGTATTTATGTGACTGTAACGTTTATTCAAAGGTACTTTAATCCCTCTCACCTGAAGCTCCACTGTGTGTTTGGGACCGGGGGTTCGAACCAGACGTCTCGGGGGCCGCCAGCGGGGGACGATGCTGGGGGGTTTTCCCCTTCCGGCGGCTGGTAGAGGAATTGTGACGCATCGCATCCAAGAAGGACGATGACCACAAGAAGAAAAACACTGCATCCAAGGTCGAAAAGTGGAAGATTGAGAACATCACATACCAAACAATCACAAAACAAACCGTCATGTCAACTATTCTTAGGTTTTACGACAGAATGCTAGAAGGCAGTCAGCAAGTCCCCTGTTGGATTCGACTTGAAAGTGAAGGGATGTGTTGGACCTCACTCCTGCTTTCAAAATAAAACGCTGACTGTTCTTAACTAGCAGATGCATTAATAGTAATTTACAAAGATCACATTTCAATTTTCCGCAAATAATAGCTGATTTGAGACTTTATGGAATATCATTTGAATACATTTTAAGTAGTTACTAGGAGTATATCATAGTGAACATGCCCGTGTTTTACTATAATAGAAGATGTATAATAATATTACTGCAGCATTCATGTTTATGTTGCATTTCCCTGTTGGGGAATAGAGGATTGAACGAATATAATGTATTAAGTAATTGAAATTAGCCAAACCTGAAACAAAATGCATCAGTTCCAAAAGCAGCGAGGGGATGTGAATGTATTTGTACAGTATGTGTAACAGATTTCAAGGTGCATGGTTAAAAATGTAATTTATAATGTAACTATTTCACTTACCTCATCAAAGTAATGCAACTAATATATGATTACTTTTCAAACAAATGTTTTAAACTTGGCAAAAACTAAAACGCAAAACTTAAACCAGCAGACTAAAAGTCACCACACTGAACAGAACGTTATTAAGACTCAATGAATGGTAGCATATTCTATATATGTGCTTTAAACCAAACATAATACATCTGTAACCACCAACGTTTTGATTAGTAACTGTAGTGTTATTACATTCTTTTAGTAACTGATTTGTACGCGTGTTTTATATGTAGGTACAAGTAGAATATAATGTAACGGTAAATCGCCACGTGAAGGCCCGTGAATGCGTCATCCCACCGGGTGGACATCCATCTGCTCTCAAGCCGCTTCCACGCATCATGAAACGTTAAAACACTGAAGCAACCACATTGGGGAGAAAAGCAACGTTACTTCACGTCAAACTCGGCAGTGCGACCTGCTAGTTAGCGCTAGCTTTTTTGCTGCTTTTACAATAACGTTCAAATGCTAGGGTTGTTTTCAAAACGCAATAGTTATTGCAAACATACCGTGCACGAGAAGAATAGTTCCGAATCAAATGTGAAATCCTGGAAACCGAACTGAATTATTTTAGACAAGAAGTCGCAATAACAGTCAACTTAGATTCAAACCAAATTTCAGCGGCTCCACCAATCAGTAGTTCACGTTTCTTCTTCTGCTGGTTCCTCCTCCGCTTCACGTCTTCTTCTCTGATTTAAGGACAAATACCAAACCAACGTCAGGGGCACAGCGCCCCCACCGTACCGTTAGCGTCAAAACGGTATGAACTTATTTATGTATTCATTTGGTGTTTTGTTTACATATTATTTATTGTAGGCATATTGCCGCGACTGTATATTGGTTTTACTATATTGCCAGTAGATAGGAAGACTTTTTACGTCCTACTTTGTGCAGGGCCACATTTGCTTGTTTCAATCGCCCACAAAAAATCTTCTTTGTTTTGAAATACACACACAACCTGTGCCATCAAAAATAAATTATTGTCAAATCCAATATGCCAAAAATTCAGAACAGGTTCAATTAGACCACAATCCCCCAATCCTCCATGTTGTCAGAAAATACGTTAAGAAGATACTGATTATTTAATAAACATCAACTTTTATTGCATAACCTTTTCCTTTACATTAGTGATGCTTTTCAGATGCACAACAAGCGGCTTTCATTTTGTTAATACATTGATGGATTACAACATATTGAAAAGAAGCCTGTGTTTCATTCCCTGTTCATGAACTGAACTGATTCGTCGACCACATCCAGAGAGAAGGGGGTCACAGTTTTAGTCAGGACGGCCGTGGTGCCGGGCTCATACCTGTACTGTCCCTCTCTGAAAAGACAGACATGCAGGGTGACTGGGACCGGATTATGAAGTCATGTTAGGGATTTGTTAGTTAGAGCTTGTTCAACGAAGCAGCTGAGACCATTCTATTTCAACCACACCAATAAATACAAGTCAACAGAACAGAATATTTCATGGCAAAAACACATTATAAAAGATGATTATTACTCACCTTTTGCCCTTCTTCGCGGGCGTGTCGTAGGCTCGCAGGTACTCCACTCCGGCCTCAGTGATAACGCACAAGTCCACGTTGCTGCCTGAGCCCAGGTCACACAAAATCCCTGCAGTGATGGCGTCTCGTACCAGCTGCTTTGCCTTTTCCAGCTGAAAGGGAGAGAGGAGGACCAGAAGGTCAGGGTTAAGGAGTTATGGTTGGTACTAAACCTTGAATAAGAGCTAGCATTCGCTAGTAGCCATAATGGGAAAGGAACAAAAAGACAAAACATCCGATTCTTTGATGCAGATTCCTTTCATGCAGCATTTAACAAAAGCTTTTGCGCATTACAAGCCAATCATGCATTGATACGCTGATGGTAATGGAGGTGTGCTCACCTTCACACCCCATAAATGTATATATATGCATGTATGTATGAATATATTAGGGCTGGAAAGGTTAATCACAAATTCACCTCAGAGGGTTTTACCATCTGTACACTCAGACATCCTCTGTACTGGGAGACTAACTCAGAAAAGTGAAAAAAAAAAAACCTGAATGGAAACTGGACCCGGCTGTTATATCAGTCAAAGCAGAAGATCCACTTCCGGTATCAGGATTCATGTCACACATCATCGATGTGCATGATGTGAACAACATACCGTCCATATATATAACGCATTACGTTCAATCTGTCAGGATAGGAAGACAGTCAGCCTCACCCCCATGTTTGGTTTGAATCTGTCCTCAAACACAGACACAGCAGCTGCAGCTCCAGAACCTGGAACCACAGTTAAGTGTTTGATACTGTTAAGTCTGGTCTTGAGCTTGGTCCTGAGTCTGATTGTATTCAGCCACTCCATTCAGCCTCCACACACGACATGCAGCACGTACCCATGGTGACAAAAGGCAGTTTGTCGTAGGAGCCGTGTGGGTAAACACTGTACAGGTGAGCACCATTCACATCGACTCCTCCGACGATCAGAGAAGAACCAACGTGACCCTGGTACCTGCAAAGCAAAACAGACTACAACATGCTGCTTGCTCCTCCGTGGGAGCAACGGGCCCAACTGGACGTGACAAGACACGTCAGTAGACCTCAAATGGAAGTTACAGATGAGGAGCTGACCATCACTATCTCAGTTACACTCACCTGAACAGCATCTGTTTCAGCTGTCGAGTTACCATGGCGACGAGCGGGGGCCGCCCAGTGTTGAGCATGTGCAGCTCTACGTTGGATGCCATGATCTGAGTGGTGATCTCTGCGTCTGCAGCCACGCCAGCACCACAGCAGCTACGGAACACATGGGACATCTTTTCACAGTAGAAACCGTGGACAGTGTCAGGAAAATGTCACCGGGCCAGAAAGGTCTTCTTCTTTTTCTTCAACTCTGTGGGTGGTCAGTTAATATCTTACCTCGTCAAATCAGATCACATCCTTTCCAAAGCTTTCTTCATCCTTTATATACATTATTAGTTACATGAAACATTAAGTCAGTTAATTTCTTGTGAAAGTGAGACTTTGCTGGGTGGTGAGAGTTAACCACAGAGAACAAGCATCTTCAGTTTTAGGCCTTAATCTTCAAAATCTTTTCATGGTTTATTTTAATATTTTTTATAAAAGCAAATGTCAAACAGAGGAAAAGAGAATAGGCATGAGATACATGTGCAGGTTTGGGCTCATCTGAAAAGCCTCATGCATCCAGCAGGCTCCTACATGAAGGATTGAGGCTCCTCACAGGGCTTGGATGACACAACAACAGAGCATAAATGGCCTGCATTTCAAAAGTAGAACTTTCAAACCAAACTAAAGGTGACTAATGTACACCAGAGTAATAAGACACTCAAGGAGGTGGAACAGGATCCACTCACTAGATCTTTGGAGCGATGTAGTGAATCTTCATGCAGTTCTTGTCGGCAACCACCATGTCATCTGTAGCCCTGGTGTCTGCTCCCAGGATCACGCCATCCTGACACACGACAATGCACCCAGAATGCACCCTGTTATGCACATTTCATTTCAAGTAATGTTCTAAAAAACAATCTGCCGCTCTTCCTGTGTTTCTCACATAACCCAGATGCTCACCTTGTAAACAATCCCAGCAATAGTGGTCCCTGTCTTTCTGGCACTGGGAGCTTTGTAGCCGGACTCTGACAGACTGCACTCCAATACTGCATTCCTGGCAACGAGGAATAAACAGGAGGCTCTCGTATTAGTGTTGATTTACTCCCGGACACCCTGTTATAGGCGTACAGCCTTAGTTACATGTGCGTACAGCCTTAGTTACATGTGCGTACAGCATTAGTAACATGTGCGTACAGCCATAGTTACATGTGCGTACAGCCTTAGTTACATGTGCGTACAGCATTAGTAACATGTACATACAGCCTTAGTTACATGTGCGTACAGCATTAGTAACATGTGCGTACAGCCATAGTTACATGTGCGTATAGCCTTAGTTACATGTGCGTACAGCATTAGTAACATGTACGTACAGCCTTAGTTACATGTGCGTACAGCCTTAGTAACATGTACGTACAGCCTTAGTTACATGTGCGTACAGCCTTAGTTACATGTGCGTACGCGTTAGTTACATGTGCGTACAGCCTTAGTAACATGTGCGTACAGCCTTAGTTACATGTGCGTACAGCATTAGTAACATGTGCGTACAGCCTTAGTTACATGTGCGTACAGCATTAGTAACATGTGCGTACAGCCTTAGTTACATGTGCGTACAGCATTAGTAACATGTGCGTACAGCCTTGGTAACATGTGCGTACAGCCTTAGTTACATGTGCGTACAGCCTTAGTTACATGTGCGTACAGCATTAGTAACATGTACACACAGCCTTAGTTACATGTGCGTACAGCATTAGTAACATGTACACACAGCCTTAGTTACATGTGCGTACAGCGTTAGTTACATGTGCGTACAGCCTTAGTTACATGTGCGTACAGCCTTAGTTACATGTGCGTACAGCATTAGTAACATGTACACACAGCCTTAGTTACATGTGCGTACAGCGTTAGTTACATGTGCGTACAGCCTTAGTTACATGTGCGTACAGCATTAGTAACATGTGCGTACAGCCTTAGTTACATGTGCGTACAGCATTAGTTACATGTGCATACAGCCTTAGTTACATGTGCGTACAGCATTAGTTACATGTGCGTACAGCCTTGGTAACATGTGCGTACAGCCTTGGTAACATGTGCGTACAGCCTTAGTTACATGTGCGTACAGCCTCAGTTACATGTGCGTACAGCCTTAGTTACATGTGCGTACAGCCTTAGTAACATGTACGTACAGCCTTAGTTACATGTGCGTACAGCATAAGTAACACGTACGTAGAACCTTAGTTACATGTACGTACAGCCTTAGTTACATGTACGTACAGCCTTAGTAACATGTAAGTACAGCCTTAGTTACATGTGCGTACAGCCTTAGTTACATGTGCGTACAGCATTAGTTACATGTGCGTACAGCCTTAGTAACATGTAAGTACAGCCTTAGTTACATGTGCGTACAGCATTAGTAACATGTACGTACAGCCTTAGTAACATGTGCGTACAGCATTAGTAACATGTAAGTACAGCCTTAGTTACATGTGCGTACAGCATTAGTAACATGTACGTACAGCCTTAGTAACATGTGCGTACAGCCATAATTACATGTACGTACAGCCTTAGTAACATGTACGTACAGCCTTAGTAACATGTACGTACAGCCTTAGTTACATGTGCGTACAGCCTTAGTAACATGTACGTACAGCCTTAGTTACATGTGCGTACAGCCATAGTTACATGTATCTACAGGATTAGTAACATGCACAGCCTTAGTTACATGTGCGTACAGCCTTAGTTACATGTGCGTACAGCATTAGTTACCAGAACGTACAGCATTAGTTACATACATACAGTTACAGGATTAGTAACATGTACGTACAGAATTGGTAACATGTCCATAAAGCCTTAGTTACATGTGCGTACAGCATTATTTACCAGAACGTACAGCATTAGTTACATACATACAGTTACAGGATTAGTAACATGTACGTACAGAATTGGTAACATGTCCATAAAGCCTTAGTTACATGTACGTACAGAATTAGTAACATCTATGTACAGGATTAGTAACATGTCCAGAAAGCCTTAGTTACATGTGTGTACAGCCTTAGTTACATGTACGTACAGAATTAGTAACATGTCCATATAGCATTACATTACATGTAATTAGAGCATTAGTTACCAGAACGTACAGCATTAGCTGCATGTATGTACAGCCTTAGTTACACATCCCCAATTCCTACCTGCTCTTCCTATTAAGCGGTAGTAGCACAACTTAGCTCTTTACCTGCGGCTGTTCTCAAAACAGAATCCTCCAGTCACCGAATCATAAGACTTCAAAATGTTGGCCATCTTCCCTGTGAAGGATGAAGACGAAGCTTCTGGGCTGAAAATAGGATGGAACGTTGAACTTGAGAAGAACCTTAACTTGAACAGCTTTTGTCGTTCTTTTACTTTTACTTTCACTTCACCAGCCTCGCTACTGCTTAAAGTGTCCCTGCTACACTGGGACAGACAGCAGTTGATTACACCTTTCTCCCAATTCTGATCTTTTCCTGTTTTGTTTCCTCAATTTGAAACAAAGGAGTAATGTCCAAGTGTCTTTTTGTAATAATTTACGGAATAAGATTATTGTATGAGAACAAATTTGCAACCTCTTCTTACAACCTAATTTGCCCCGAACAGACTATGACCTTAAAACAAAAGGCATAAAAACATAATATGACAAAAAGTTTCCCTTTTTAAAACAAACATTTTCAACATTGCTTCCAATAAGCATCAGGTTACTGCAAGGGTTAACTCTGAACCCGGACCAATGAGAAATACAAAATGACTCTAGTGGTAAACTACGGCATTACATTGCAACTCAAATGTATGAATTTATGTATCAGTTTAATAGTCTATTTCTGTATTTTATTACTGATAAACCATTTCATTTTTATCACTCTGTCGTACAAGAGCGATGAACACATCAACATGAAACAGCAGGGATCGAACCACTGATCCTCTGATCGAGGATGAAACTGGGTGTCTGATTGACAAAAAGATGAAGGGTCGGTGACACCATCTCATAGAAAAGTCATTTTGGAAAAAAAGATCAGAGTTAAAAATCTATATGTAGTCAAATAAATGGAAATAATGGAAAACAATCAGTGGCACAATATGACACCGAGGACTGATCTCTAATATGATGTCCATCTAGTAAATGATGATCCAATTGGTCAAATAAATCATAAAGCAGGGAATGCCTTAGGACAGATGGTTGACAGGTACCAGAGCTGTACACGGCGTCCCTACATCAGTCCGGCAGTCAAAATTTGGTTACTTCTGCTCACCTGTAGGCAAAAAAAACCAGAAAAAGTTATACCTCTTTTTTTTTATTAAAATGATTACTATTCTTGATCAAAGTATAGGGGAACCATATTGTTAATTGTCATACTCTTCAACCATTCATACCTTTAGTTTGACATATTGGGCCTATTCTTTGACATTCCGGTAGTTCTTAATTACAGTCTATGGTCCTGATGTTCATACTGCATGCAACAGTTTGTACAGTAAGGAGGTTGAAGTGTCCAACAGAAGGATACTTCTATTATACTCATTAGCTTTATTTTTGTGCTGGAAGTTACTTTTAACCAGCACGGATGAAATGCAAAAGGTCAATCAATTCTCTTCCAGAGAGAGATGTCAAATCAGAGGACGACTCCATGATGCAGGATATAGTTTTTTTTGGAAACAAAATTTTAATTCAGTAAGTTCAGTGTCAAAGAAATAAGTGGAATTCCTGCATTCCAATCATGGCCACTTTAAGTTATTAAAATAAGGATCCTGTTTTTAATATTCAATTCTGATTTTAGTCAGTAATTCGGACTATGAAGACATTAACACAGAATGTAGTATGCCACCATGATGGATACAACTCAAAAGTCTGAGCACAGCTAATGAGGTTGGGATTGCCCCCACACGGTTCAACGGCAGCTGAGCTTTCTGTGTATGAACACAGACAGATATCTACATACCTGGCCAATAAAGCAGACTCGGACTCGGGTTAAAGAGTTACAATTTTCTGGATTTATTCTGAATGTCAAACACAAAATCTTTGTTTAACAATGTTCCTAAAAACAGTAAATTCTGTTTACGAAACAGTTCACATGAAGTCTGTGGGGATTGGATCTGTCTGTGTTATTCCACTGAACCTCTGGCAGCCATAAAGCGGAGCAACAGTGCAGGAAGAAGGCACAGAGGCATAAATTCATCAGCTGATTAGTTCATAATAAATCAACAAAATATCCGTCCATCAACAACTTAATTTCTGTTAATGATATTTCAGAATTACAGAGACATCTGTAAAAATGGTGATTGATGTCATGTGCGTGAGCATTAATCCACCACAGGACGAGCAATCAATAACACAGGGAGAAGACCGGCTCAGACCACCAGATGGAGCCCGACGGTGTTGCACCAGGTGCACGGCTCACTCACTCAAATGTCACTCGGGTACACTAAGACTGGGCATCCTATTTAAATCACTGACAACAGCCCTGTAAAGGCTGAAGACCTTCACAGTTTGGCTCTTGGTGCTTGTTCCAGCAGTGTCCTCATGTCCAACAGAGCACCCTCCACAGCCTGGGCCAGATGTGCTGCATCTGTGTCTTTAGAGGTGTTAAACGACGACACAGCAAAGTTGATGTGATCGTTCATAGGATTGTAGCACACGCCGTATCCGTCTGCTACAACCGGGCCGAAACACATGACGCAGTCCGTCTGGGAAGGTACCTTGTGAGGAAAAGACGATGTAGTTTTGGTAATGGGGTTAAATACATGAGGGATATCTACTGTTCGTTTAGGTCTAAGTGTTAGATCATAGGAGAAAATTCAGTTGTGTAGCTCACCTCGCCTTCTATAAGAATTCACATCTCATTAATGCACATTGCTAACTTTGTTATTTGTGCTTCCTTTCCTCACAGGTTTCCATAGATCTACTATTTGGACCCTGTTCCTGCCTCCTGCCATGGCCCTGCTGACAACTGCTGCTGCTGCTATCACTTATAATTAGTCACATTACTATTGCTGTCATCATAAACCCACATTAGCGACTTTGCTTCTTTCCTGAAGTCTCTGTGCTTTCCTTCCCCACAGAGTTCTGTGGATGCTGGTGACATCAGATGGTTAGGGTTCATCTGACAGTGGTTCTATCTGTAGTAAGTCTGACCATGGTTTCGCCTGATGGCGGTTGTCCAGGCAGTGGTCCTGCCGTACACCTGGCTTACTACTCTCATTATTTGAATAATTTCTGTCATAGATATTGAATGTCTTGTACATCTCTTACTGCTTCCGCGACCCCACCCCAGATAAGGGGAATAAGATGAGGACATTTTTTCCATATGGATCATACCTGACTCGTAGATAACTTGTAGTGTAATGCCTTGGCGTAGGCGGTGTCAGTGTAGATATCAGGTATGGAAAGGTTGTTCTCAACAGCCACCATCTTGAGGCCCAGGAGGTGTCTGTCTATGGCCTGGCCACTGATCGCCTGTGGGGAAGAGAGTTCCTTCATATGTGATGTTTGCCACCAAATGTTAACTACTGAAGGTTTGTACCATTCCTTACACACACACACACACACACACACACACACACACACACACACACACACACACACACACACACACACACACACACACACACACACACACACACACACACACAGTACAAAAGTATAGATTATCATCACAATCTGCTCATACTGGATACTCACCATGGTAGTATAGGATCTGTGTGCATTTACAGCTTTCACCATTAGATCAACCTTTTCTGTGTTCTGTGATAAAACGAAAGGAGACGGCAACGTTAGATTTCAACACATCTACATGCACTTTATTTTAGATACGTTTGAAGGGTGACCTGAAACTTTATGAAATCATGGCTCAGCGGTCGAACAACTAGGAGTTCTCTTTGAACCACCGATGCTTTAGGCCATGCGAAGGATATGACGCTGCCGTGGTGTGCACGTTGAGTCAGAAGCATCTCCAGAATGTGTGTTTGGGCTGATTTACAAAGTCAGACAGCGCATCAGTTTATTGCCCAAACGGTGGCTGTAAAACACGAAAACGTCCCAAATGTTCCCTCCCATCAGACCTGCTTGCTGGGGTCATCGAAGGCCTTCACAAAGGTAGCCGAGGCACTTGAGGCTGATCGGATGGTGTCGGTTCGGCCCAGTCTGAACATACGCAGGGAGGCGCTTTCATAAGTGGCACAGCAGCACTTGTGCATCCTGCAGAGACAAGAGGAGAAATGTGGACCAATGAAGGCAGAGTGGTGCCAGCGAGGCGCCGCTGATGCTCTCGCGCTCTATTCAATAAAAATGATTAGCAGGTGAAAGTAAATTCTAACACTATCATGATTTTCTCAAACATTAACTTGAAATTTGGTTTTGGAATTTTGGTGAAAAAGCTGAAATTTTTTTGTTTAAAGATGTTTTTTAAGGACAGAAATATAAAATAGCCCATAATTAGAAAGAATGATGTGCTTTTTAACTTTCTAATACCAAGCAGCGTATAATGCACCATTCACACCATTAATAACCATTCAATAAAATATTTAATTCATAGCCATTTGGAAAGGATTCACAGTGCTTCACTTTTCGTTATGTCACAGCCTCATTCTAAAATGGATTTATGTTTTCACACACAACCCCATAATGACAACATGTAGAAGTTTTTGGGGAAAAGAATGAAAATATAACATGTACATAAGTTTTTACAGCCTTTGCCGTGACACTCAAAATTGAGCTGAGGTGCATCCTGTTTCCACCGATCATCCTTGAGATGTTTCTACTACTTGATTGGACATGTTTAGAAAGGCACACCCCTGTCTAGATCAGGTGTCACAGTTGACAGTGCACGTCAGAGCACATACCAAGTCCAAGGAATTGTCCGTAGACCACCGAGACAGACCATGAGGAACAATATCCTCTGGTCTGCTAAAACAAATATTATAACTTTTTGGCCTGAATGTTGGGATGTTTTTCAGCGGAAAGAACTGGGAGACTAGAAAACCTCAGACGGGGGCGGGGGTTCAGGTTTCAACAGGACCACGACCCGAAGCACACAGCAAAGACAGCAAAAGAGTGGCTTGGGGACAACTGAATGTCCTTGAGTGTCCCAGCCAGGGCCCTGACTTGAACCCGATTGGAGAGATGTGAAAATGTCTGTGCACCAACGCTCCCCATCCATGATGGAACCTGAGAGGTTCTGCAGAGAAGAATGGGTGAAACTGCCCAGAGACAGCTGTGCCAAGCTTGTAGCATCATACTCAAGTTCCATCTCATCTCAGTTCACTGAAACCAGAGTCGCAGCCTAACTGTGATAAAACGTTTGTTTTACATGCAGTGCTCTATTTGGCCGTTTCTAAGAGTAAAACGTCCTCATACAATCACAGTCCCATTCCTACTCGACCTCTCAGAATCTCACCTGTAGTAAGCTAGTTGAAGCGCCATCTGTATGAAAGCGTCAGGGCTCATCTTGTGGGCCTTTGGAATATTTTTTCCAAAGTGTCCAAATACCACGACTCTCATATCCAGGTCTTGGGCCAGTCTGTGTTGGAAGACATGCGAGTACAGTGAGGACGTGGGTGTGTATTCTACTGTCCACTGACCGTCATATTCACATCGGCCCTCACATGTCCATGGCATGCTTGGCCTCCTCAATGTCCTTCTTGATCTCAGGTGTGATGTTGAAGTGAAGTTTCTGGGGCATGGGCAAAGGCGCCGTGGGAGACGGGGTCATATCTGGCTTCCTCCTGTCATCACAAACAAGAAAGTTACAACACGTGAGACGGGAGGAAAAGCAAGTGGTACTTATAACTGATCAATCCGTCTCATTGCTGAACTTTCAAAGACGCTCTGACAGGAGCCAAACAAGTACATAATGGACACAGTCCTTGAGCTACTCACGTGTATTCTACAACATGGTCAATCAAGGCCACAATTGGGGGGCCCTCAGCTGGGGCGTGCTCGTAGTTAGCGCCACATGTCCCGTCTTCTCCAATAATAAACTGAAAGAAGATCAAAAACATTTAGAAAAAAACACCTCAAACAAGGATTCGCTTCAAAGCCTGCCTAAGGAATTTGTAGTCAAGGTCAAGTTTGAAAAACATTTCCATAATGGTCGGTTCATAAAGCAGGGCATACAGTGAAAAGCCTGGCTGCAATGGTGCCGGCACACTGAACCCGGACCACAGGGTGTCACACAGTGTGGAATGACTCAAAGCAGCCGGTGAAACGCGGACGTGACACATCGGGCACGAATGAACTCACAGAGTCGTCTTCTTTGTTATTTCCGTGAATGTGCAAAAACGTATTCATAGATATAAAAAAACGTTCCATGACAGAGGTGAACATATTTCTAACCATGACAATAGAGCCAAAAGTAAAGTAAGGCCCTGGGTAGATGACTGACCACAGGTATGAAGGTTTTAAGTGTGCTGGAGAAAGAATGAACGCAGTAATTCAGTCTGTAACTACGTCCATATCTTCTACTCTAAAAAAGGGATTGTTGGTGGTGTCAATCGGTCACGGTTTTGAATGCAGACATTACTAGTCTGTAAACATGTTTGGAGGTTCATGGGTTCATGGCTCTTTTATGGAACTTAGAGGGATGAGACTGGGTTAACTGCTCAATGAAAGTCCTTGTGGGACTATATTATATTCAATGTGGGTTTATTGGCATGAATGTTAAACAAAACACAAGATGGCCGAAGCAAGACTCCAAATCCTTCCTCTTGTACTCGGAAATAAGCATAAACCACATTAGGTAGGAAGAAACACACAGGCATAACAACGTGATTCTTTCATTAGTCCAGGTATTACCAATTACTGCAGTGTGGGTGGGTGTGTGTTTGTGTGTGACAGAGTCACCTGCAGCGTCTTGTCAAACCAGCGGTTGCCACTGTTCCACTGGCTGCCTCCTCCATGCAGCATCTGGACGGCAGCAGAGCTGCGGTACTCCTCATCGGTCACTGGAGGCTTCGCTCCATCCAAACACAAAGTGAAGATGCTCCTTTGGATAGCGGACACTGATTCTTTGTTGGTCTTATCTGGGCACACACACACACACACACACACACACACACACACACACACACACACACTAATGTAATAAGGCAGTGACAATTAACTTCAATTGACATATCTTCACATACGAGTTTCATCTCTGTGTTATTGTAGTTAGTACTTCAGTGTCCAAACTCTTGAGGTGCAACTGCATTCAGCAATTAACAGCAACAATACGCCATCATTGATTTGTGCAAACTTAAAAGCAGCCTCTCTGGTTTAATTGACAGCTGATTGGTGACTAATTTAGAATTAGGATGCGATGTGAGGATTCTAAAATTGACTGGACAGAAATTTAAAGATGTGACCGAGTGACTTTGTGTAATCAAACGTATACACATATTGTTTGAGCCTTTAACCGGCCACTAAAAAGCCAGCTTCTTGTTGGAGACCCTGCTCAGCGGCCTACTGGCTCACCCTGGGTGAGGGTGACGTAGGCCCGGCCCCAGGTGTCCCGATGCTGGGTGGTGAGGATGCCGACGGGTTCCACGCCGGTCCGAGGGGAGGAGGCACAAATCCGCTCCAGCTGAACACGGAGCTCCTCAGCCGTCAACGGAGTCCCATCACTGTTGTACACCTCCAACGCATAAAACTGATTCCATATGGGGGAAGCACAGAAGCTTACATTTACTCAACAGTTTGTCACTGTTGTCATCAGCTGTAATTCATTCATTCGAGACTAAATGATAGCGCTTGTTGTCCGGTTAGTGTGCTCCCTCATATCAGAACAAGAACATGACGTGAAACTTAAGCAGATTTTTGTTCCAGGCATTTTTTAGAAAGCATACAAACATGCTGTATGAAACTGTCTTCAGATGAACTGGAAAAAATATCTCGAAATGTTCTAGTGGACCCCAAGGTAGAGCTGACATGTACTGAAAATCTCAGGAGTCCGTCGCCATTATAACCAAGCAAGCTCAGTTATCAGCTAAGCCTGGGTTTAACTCTGAAGATAACAACAGTGTAGATCACCACGGTAACCTATGCAGATAACAGGATCGGTTCAGAAAACAACCCGTCACCTGACCAATCTCATCACTGGGATCGTCCCTCGTCCAGCATATTAAAGGAATGCTGCTTTCATATCAAGTGATCAGTGGAACTATTGCCATTTAACTACTGAGACCAAGGGTGCATCCTGTAGCATTAATGTCAGGTAAAGTTCAGCTCCTCACCTGAAAGTTGTGGACTACCGTGATGTGTTTAGGAGGCCTGGAAGTCTTGGCGTGGTTCACCACGGAGTCTCTCTTCAGACCAGGGACTCGGCAGGACGACAGCACTTCGTAGTACTGGTTCATACACAGAGGCTTCCCTCCCAGATATTCCACCGGTAGTGTCTCACTGCAAACATACAACAAGTGCACTCCAACACCGACTGAGCCACAATATCATGTCCTTATACAATGCAAGTTAACTGTTGATTAGCATGTGACAACGCAGCTTGCTACGGATCAACCGGCCACACGGAAAGCGCGGGTGCCGCCCCCCTTGTTCAATAGTCGCTGCATTGCTTCAGGATTCTATAGAGGGCTCTTTTGAATTTGTTGCAACTTGAGACGCATTCAATATCAATGAAGTGTGAATAAAGAAGCACTCAGCGTGCTGTTCAGCAGAGGGAGCGGGGCGTCGGGGTGGTTTGCTGATACAGCCTGCTAATGCTATGTGAACGCTGAATAACATTAAGCCAAACATTTCTTCACGTCCCTTGAGATGAGGAGATTGCCTACAGGAACAGAACCCCTCTAACATTGCTCACTGTTCAAATGTGAAGTCCTGTTTAACACTAAGTAGGCCCCTGCATACTTATTTTACTTTGCTGCATACAGACAGAAAAAAGGGTTATGTATCATTTGACAAGTCATTGTCCGCACGATGGGTTTACTGGAGAATGTTAACCACCAGCTGGGTCGGTTTCACAGAGAGCTTTGGAGCCTTTTCTAAATTATATCAGGATACAGACACAATTCCAAATCAGTCATATCTTAACATGATAACAAATATAGAGCTAGCTGGCCCTTAGATGGGAGACCAGGTCAGTACCTACCCTACTGGAACGTAAGATGGAGATAACTATGCCTCGATCTTGCTGTTCATGATCGTACATCTTTGCTTGACATGATTTTATTGGGCCAACAGTGGAGGCATCTTTCTACAACAAGACCAGGAGGTACAGTACTCACTTGTCAATCATCGTTTTGAAGTCCAAAACACCTGCTATCAGTTTGGCAGCAAACCTAAAGAGAAGGAGGATGATCAGTTTTCATTTAAAGGTTCACTTTTATTTCAATGTTGGTTGAATGATAATAAACAGAAAGGATCATGCTGTATGGAAAGGACAAAAAGTGCATCACGTGGCGGTGATACGTATGAAATAGACACTGCATTAAACTAGTTATTTAATCAAATAAAATATGCAGAAGTAATTATGGTTGGGTCAAACCATTGCAGTGAACAGTGTGCTTCCAAACTGGATCTGACAACCTGTGTAAGAGGCTTTATGATGCCAACAGCAACGCACACTGCATCAGTGCCCAGGGTCTGAAGGAGGCTTGTCAAACTGCTGAAAACAGGTTGTAGAAGGTGATCACCTTATTTGTCCCTGCTTATCGCTGAAGTTCATGCGGGGCAAGACCAACCCGGGACTTGAATGAATCACCACAGGCAACCGGTAATCGAAATATGCAACCTGCACCCACCACTCTGACAACTACGGAGAGACAGACAGTAAAAATGGCAGATTGTTTATCAAACCAATAATCAAATTATCTTGAGAGGGAAAGCAAGCCAGCTGTGACAACAAGAAGACATTGTGTTGTTTTGATTTAAAGTCTCACCCAGTTTTCAGTCTTCTCTGCTCTTTTTTCCAGGCCTCTCTGAAGTCTCTCTCCAACACCTCCTGCCTTCTGAAACTCGTCCACCAGCTCTTTAGTATGCTTTAGCTCATCCACCTCCACGATGGGCTCAAGGGCACTGACATATCGCTCGCAGGTCTGCTGCAGAGGGGGGACGGGCAGACTGGGCAGTCCCTTCTGGTGGGTCAGGTATCTGCCAGAGACTCGAGTCACCGACACAGGCTTCACCAAGTGACAGGGTTTCATTAAGCCACAGGGTTTCGCCATCCCCACCTTTACCTGGGAAACAAACGAGTGAACAAGTCCGTCTTTAGTAGTGTAATGGTAAAAATATGTTATAACATTGTTTTGTGCTAAAGCCGTGTCTCAAGTGTCCTGTATTTGACCCTGATGTGCAAAGAGCAGCATGATACAAAATGTTAGTTTGCAGCTGTGTCCTGAGAAGGGAGGACGGTTGACTCGATCTCATAGAAGCTTCAAAACAAAGGACTCCTCTTCATGGCCTTGGTTGATATCTTATTCTGTACGAAAGTTCTGGATCCAAGTTTTACTTTTATGTCAAGTAATAATGATTTGCAGCGGCCACTGAGGAGGATCTTGTGTGTGTGTGTGTGTGCTACCCTCAGCTTCACCTGGGTTCTTATCTCAACCTGCTTTGCAGCTTCTCGTAGCTGGCACGGAGAATGTTCTTCACATGTGTATAAAAACTCAGCGTCTTTAGTGCTCGGAGACACCATTTCCACAGAGCACCGTGATACGTGCCTGTGTATTTGACCTCCTGCTTGCAAGCAATAAATGGACTTTTTACAACTTTGATCATTCATAAAGACTATGTTTTATCAGACAAACCATTCTCTTCTACCGAGCTTTTATTGAAATATTCCACAACAGTAGTTTCACCTTGTTGAAAGAGTGTGTTATATTTCCTCCCCAGTCAACTATGTACACTAAGCAAGCTCTTTGATACCATTTAAATCGAAGCATCGGTTTTCGAACGCGTCCCAACCATTACCAGAAGGACTCCATTAGTCACAGTAAATCTATATTTTTAAATGCAGGCCATACATAAATCCTATAAAATGTGTCTTTCAAATGGGGGGGGGGAGGTGTTGCATAGCTGGAAAAGTGTAAGAAATGATTCAGCAGCTTCCATATTCCTAAATACTGCTCCAATATTGTCCAAATCATTATTACATTACAGGTCATTTAGCTGACGCTTTTATCCAAAGTGACTAACATTGCATTTGTAACCCATGGCTTTTTACATTTTTGCCCGGGAAGCAATTAGGGGTTAGATGTTTTGCTCAGGGACACTTTGACATGGGACAGCCAGGACTCAAGCTGCTGTACTAATAGCCTTTGGTTGAAAGAAGAAATTTGGGCTGCTTTGATCAACTATAATAGACATTAAGTTACTGCACTTTTTGGTGAGTCATTTATCTAACATTTAACTTTTTTTTCATTTTTCATGAAACAACTCAGTTGAATTTTTTTCATTGATATAGATCCAAGATGGCGGCGTTGATGGCTGCCACAGTGCTTCGGTGCGCTTCGTTTTTTGTTGTTAATTCAAGAAGTGGACTAGTGAGGCGCTGGAGGATCTTCGGGCGTGCTTTGACTGCACAGACTGGGATGTTTTCAGGACTGCTACTGACAGTCTGGATGAGTTCACAGAGGCTGTAACTTCCTACATCGGCTTCTGTGAGGACAGCTGTGTACCATCATGCACCAGGGTGAGTTACAACAACGGAACTCAGAACACTACGCCTGCAGAAGGATCAGGCATTTAGGAGTGGGGACAAAGATCGGTACACAGAATCAAAAATAGTTTGGCAAGGCGGTGAGAGATGCTAAACGACTGTACTCTGAGACAACAACAACAACAATAGTTCTCAGCAAGTGACTCTGCTTCAGTTTGGAGAGGCCTCAAACACCTCATTAACTACAAGCCAAAAACCCCCCACTCCATGAATGACCTCCGCCTGGCAGACGAGCTGAATGAGTTCTACTGCAGATTTGAAAGACAATGTCCTGATCCATCCCCCACAGCTCCACCAACATGCTGCAGTCCCCCCCCGAGCCCATCAGGTGCTCACGCCTCTTCATCTATATCACCTTCCCCTCCCCCACCAGCAACGACCCTCTCTATTCTAGAGAGAGACGTTAACCGGCTCTTTAAAAGACAAAATCCCCGTAAGGCAGCCGGTCCGGACTCAGTCTCCCCTCACACCCTGAAGCATTGTGCTGACCAGCTGTCTCCGGTGTTGACTGACATCTTCAACACCTCCCTGGAGACATGCCACGTACTAGCCTGCTTCAAGGCCTCCACCGTCATCCCTGTTCCCAAGAAGCCCAGGATCACAGGACTCAATGACTACAGGCCCGTCGCCCTGACCTCTGTAGTCATGAAGTCTTTTGAACGGCTAGTCCTGACCCACCTGAAGTCCCTCACTGACCCCCTCCTGGACCCCCTGCAGTTCGCCTACAGAGCCAACAGGTCTGTGGACGACGGTGTCAACATGGCCCTCCACTACATCCTCCAGCATCTGGACTCCCCAGGCACCTACGCCAGGATCCTGTTTGTGGACTTCAGCTCTGCTTTCAACACCATCATCCCGTCTCTGTTGCAGGACAAACTCTCCCAGCCGCACGTGCCCGACTCCACCTGCAAGTGGATCACAGACTTCCTGTCTGACAGGAAGCAGCGCGTGAAGCTGGGGAAACATGTCTCAGCCTCTCGGACCATCAGCACCGGTTCCCCCCAAGGCTACGTTCTTTCCCCTCTGCTCTTCTCCCTGTACACCAACAGCTGCACCTCCAGTCACCAGTCCGTCAAGCTCCTGAAGTTTGCGATGATACCACCCTCATTTGGACTGATCTCTGGTGGGGACGAGTCCGCCTACAGGTGGGAGTCTGACCATCTGGTGTCGTGGTACAGACAGAACAACCTCGAGCTCAACGCTCTAAAGACAGTGGAGATGGTTGTGGATTTGCGGCGGAACAGCGCCCCACCCTCCCCCATCACCCTGTGTGAATCCCCCGTCACTATTGTGGATTCCTTCCGTTTTCTGGGCTCCATCATCACCCAGGACCTGAAGTGGGAGCTGAACATCAGCTAAAAAGGTCGCTTCCAGGTCTCTGAAGCGAGCTAAAAAGGTCGTAGCCAACCCCTCTCGCCCCGGACAAAACCTATTTTTGCCCCTTCCATCTGGCAGAAGGCTGAGATCCATCAGGACTAAGACCTCCCACCACACAAACAGTTTCTTCCCGTCGGCAGTTGGGCTCATCAACAGAGCCGGTCCCCCATTGTCTGACTCTGACATTCCACCGGTCACTCTCCTTCATACTGCACATGTCACTTTAACTGTCATTTCTCACTCGTCACTCGTCACTTTGTCACTTGTTCGATAGTGCACTTTATGTTTAATATTTAACTTTTTAAATATTTCCAATTTCCAAATTTTTTACTTTATCCTCTTGTTTTATACTAACCCATTGCAGTAGCATTTCATTTTATTGTATTACTTGTGCACTGCTGTCTTGTTGTCTATTGTTACACTGTCACGCACCAACCGCCAAGACAAATTCCTTGTATGTTTGACATACAAGTGTTAAAGCTGATAAGCATGACAATCATCGTGGGGTGTGTTGTTGTTGTGGGCATGCGTGGTGGGGTTGTTGTTGTTGTTGTTGTGGGCATGCGTGGTGGGTGTGTTGGGTCTGGTTCGGACCGGAAGCCGAGTTCTGGTGTCTTGTAGTCTATGGCCCACAGTTTAACCCTTTTCACGGTTCATAAATACAAGCGCGACAAACAAGTTGCGGTCTCGTAGCTTCCTTAACGAGAGTCGCAACAATATTTTAAAAGTACTAAAAAACAAATGCCAAAGTCGACCTCACAAATTCATGGGAAAATTACGTCACATTCAAAGGTCCCTATTGCACGTGCGATTAATAGTGTTCTTCTTTTCCGCACACCTTTGTCCAAACTTTTGACTGGTACCATATTTGAACGGTATCCGTCACTCGAGGAACCAGCGAACGCTAGTGTCGTATAAATTATTGAAATGGTCTTCAGTCACGTTGACGTTACTCCGAGCAAGTGCATCTGATAAATAGCAACAACAACATTCACTATCATGTTAAGTGTGTGTCCTTTCTTTCCTGTCTCTAGTTAAACCAAATCTAGTTAAAATACGCTGCTAGAGTCTCGGTGAAGCTGGTCCTTGAGTATCTTTAGTCTAACCGTAACGAAACTCAAACTCACCTTTGACCTGCTTAGCTTGCTAACGTTAACGTTAGCGTAGCAACCCTTGCTAACAGCTAGCAAAGCTCCGCCATGTCCTTGCGTCAATACCGTTAACTGATACGTCAAACTCATTACGTGTCTTTTTAGTCCATAGTTCTGCGTCAATTGTATACAGTTCGATGACCTTTGTTCAAGTTGGCTTTTGGCCAGTGTAAACACGGAGAATCAGCTAAAGGAGAGTTACTTACCATCGTTCTCCTGCAAATTCCCCACATTCTAGCAAGAAACGCCCCCCAGTTCAGATCAGTACGTGCTCAAAGTTCTCTTTACGAACCCAGCGTCGTGTCAGAGCCAATGACGTACTGATTAGAAGTCAAACCTGAAGACAGGCTGTGAGCACTACCGGTGTCAACAAGGTCTGCAGGTCAGCTGCTCGGCGGAGGCTGTCACTTATCGATGGAGCCGTGCAGCGTTTACCGCGACCGTAGTAGTTCAACGGGGTTTTAACATGTAAAGTTATCCTAACATATAGTCAGCATTCTGATAGAGTGAAGCGGAAACAGGGCAACGTGCGTTTGGCTACATTACTATCTGATACCGATGGTATGTTTTTGTTGATCCCTTGGCTTAGACTGAGAGAAAATGAATGCACGGCAATGGAAGACAGCAGTGTTTTGAATAAGCTCTACGGTAATTCACACGTCGACCAGCGGTGGCAGTAAAGCGCCGCGGCCCGTTCAAATGTGCCTGAAACCCGCGAAGAAGAGCGTTCTCCCCACCATGGCGGAAGCAGAGCAGCAGTCAGGTAAACCGCGGCCGACAGCCGTCGCTCGCTTTGCTCGCGCGGGCTCTTCTGCTCTCTTGCTGGGAAGGTGAGCAGGTCAGCGGCGGAGCACCGCGCCGTCAACCTGCTCTACGGCTGGTTTATCCGCTGAGGCGTGACGCCGCGGTCCTCGTGGACCGACGTCCCCGACGGTCCACCTGGAGGCACCCAAGTTGCCATTTGGTCGTGTTCTTCTCTTGTATACCAACTCGAAGTCTGCTCTGTAATGTTTAGTGTGCAGTTGTTGTCACTCCGTCAGAGGATTGACAGGAGGCGTTAGCCAGCGCGTTGACCGTTCGCAGTGTAGCACCATGTCCTCCTCATCGTGGGAGACTGGATGGGAAGTTGTGAGTTCTTCGACCACTGGTGCAGCGATCTGCTTAAAGGTGTAACTGCGGTCACGGGAGTGCGACATGAACATCAATTGTAGTGCGAAGTTTGAGTCAAGCTCAAATAATACTCAATCCTACTTTTCCAGAAGTGCAATTTAACGTGTGCTTCGTTTCTGTTTTGTAGACACGCCCATTTTAAAATCCGGTTTGTATTAGACACTTTCTTTGAAAAATATGTAGTGGAATAATTTAATAATCTCAGATTTAGTGAATATTGATTTCAGTTAAAAGTTATCTCCGGAAAACCATAAGATATGTTTCTTAACTTCTGTTCAACTATTTAGGATCCACTCCCGAGGATGAAGCATGTGCAGTCCCAGACAGCATCACCTTCATGGTACCCAAGAAGGAGATCAGCATGGTGTCAGACATGGGCAAGTGGAAGCGATCTCAAGTAGGTTGGTGCATCAGGTGCAACGTCTTCTCTTTTGGTTGGACTCTCCATGCCACACAAAGAACCTGCATGCGTAATGTCAGAGATGTGAATATTTGTGTCTGATAGTAGTCCATCACATTAGAACATGAACCTTATCTATGATCATTATCCATTTAGTGGAAATATTCCGTTTGATATATTATCATTGTTTTTGTTGCAGTTGGTCTGCAAATTTGAATACATGTCTCCCTCTTACAGGCGTATGCTGACTACATGGGTTTCGTTCTGACGCTGAATGAAGGTGTGAAGGGAAAGAAGCTCACATGTGAATATAAAGTGTCAGAGGTATGTCGTCTTTCTTGCTTGCATGCTTATTGTTGGAATTATAAATGAGGAAAAAATAATAATACTCACATGTCCATATTCTATTCAAGTACTGAATTATTTGAGGATCAAACATCCTTCTTTCCATCCTTTCATCTCTATTTTCCTCTGTATGAAGGGAGTTGTATATTCAGTACACAGTGGAACTGACCGTTCAGATACTTTGAGCTTGGTAGCAGTAGTTTGAGAATGAATTAAGGTATCTTCACCAGCAGCCATGTCGTTTCCATCCATCACCTTGTGGTGTGGACAAGGACACCGTCCTCATGGACACATGCTCGGGTGTTAAGTCGTCTTGTCTTGTTCTCTGCCAGCGTTCATTTAAAATATAAGCACGGCTCATGAAGCTGTATTTGTGTTTCAGCCCAGGAGCTGCTGTTCTCCTTCAGAAGAACTACATGCTCTTACCTTGTAACAGAAACATATTTCTATATGGCTTTTGAAATTCTGCTATATGCAACACAAACTGATTGCTGAGGATTAACCTCGTGAGGCTCAGCAGAGTGAATAAGCTGCTTTATCGTTTGCTCCCTGTCATGATCTGGATATATATAACTTCAAGTGATACTGCAGTTACTGTTGTATTGTGTGACAGACAGTGGAGAAGTTACTAGATCTTTTGGACACTCTGGACCGATGGATAAACGAGACCCCACCCGTTGACCAGCCATCCCGCTTTGGTAATAAGGCCTACAGAAGCTGGTCTGCCAAACTAGACCAGGTTAGTACACACACACGCACCCTGTATCTAGTTCTCAGTTTGAGTTCATGTTCTCAGTAAGAGAGTCACATGAAACTGTTCTTATTGTGAGATCTATGCCTCAAGGGTCCGCAGTATCAGCGGTGGCCTTGCGCATCGTTCTCTCATTGATTGTCTTCAATGTTGCCCGGTCTGGCAGATGACAGGTCCACAGGTCAATCATTTTGATTTCGAACCAAGCACTTCTTTAGGAACATTTCCAGGTATTCTCTGAAAATGTAAAGTCTCTTTTTAACCAGTGTCTGATTCCACACTCCATAAAGCGCTCCACATGGGACACTCCTACAATGTCTCAAACCGGCTCCGCAGCTCCCAGCTGATGCTTCTGTGTTCGTGCAGGAGGCCGAGGCTTTGGTGGCAGCAATGCTGCCAGCTGACAGATGTGCTGCTGCTCCAGAGATAGCTGTCTATCTGAAGGAGGCTGTGGGGAACGCCACCAGGATCGACTATGGAACAGGTAACTGTGCCGCTTATTGCACTATAATTCTCGACCGAGCACTGATGATACCATCTAATAAAAGCTAAACTGACCCACACAATGCATCCAAAAACGAAAGACGATTGTTCAATAAAAAGCAGAGCTTTGTGCCACATTGTATTATATTTAGCATTTCTCATTTTGGTGTCCATGCTCTTGCTCTTGCAGTAGAACCACAGTACAGTCCTCATTTAGAGCTTAAGCGTCTCCTATCCAACATAACTGATCACAACAACAGGTAACTGATACTATATTCGGAGGGGCATTGCTTTGGTTGCCTCTATTTGTCAAGGCTGTGAGCTCCAGAAAATGTGCAAGATGACCTCTGAAGAGAAAATGTTTGCCAACTAACTGTTTAAATGTGATTCATGAGAATGTAATCAGATTTGATCGCCTGCTTAATGACCACCGTGCGTTTTTTTTTTGGGCCCATCTTAGCTCTTCCGTCAGAACCCTGGTTGGATGAGTCGTGTTGATACATGATCACGTAGCTGCTGTACCTGTTTGAATCTCTTCCCGCAGATACTACAGGCCTCGTGCTAGATCTGCTCTCTATCGTAACCTCTCCTCTCTCACCGATCCCACCCGCTCCACACACGTCCAGCACCTCGTCACAGGAGGCCTCTGGAACTGCCAGTCAGCTACTTGCAAGGCAGACTTCATCTCCGGCTTCGCTATCCAGCAGTCGCTCGACTTCCTCGCTCGGTACAATTCAATATTGTTGTCCTCTACCGTCCGCCAGGCTCCTTAGGTCATTTCTTGGAAGAACTGGACATTCTCCTGTCTAATTTCCCTGAAAATGGACCTCCGCTCATCCTCCTGGGTGACTTCAACATCCAGACAGAGAAGTCATCAGACCTCTTACACCGACTTTCTTCTTCTTCCGCTCTGTCACTCAGTCCCTCTCCTCCTACTCACAAAGCCGCTAATCACCTTGACTACATCTCCACCAGAAACTGCTCCACCACTAACCTCTCTGTAACTCCACTTCATGTGTCTGTCCACTTCTTACTCTCTCCCACTCTCTATAACTAATGACCCCATCGACTGACCCTGTACCTGTTCTCTCCCTCCTCTCTGGCCTCCTCTGTTCTATCAGCTCTCCCTTCTACTGACTCCTTCTCACTCTTGCATCTGAACGCTGCTGCAGAGACTCTCCTCTCTAGACTCTGTCTGCCCTCTTACGACACAACGGACTGGCAAATCCCCTCCGGCTCTGTGGCTGTCTCAACCGGTGCCATGCTGGCATGGTGACTCTCATGGCACGCAAGGAGATGGTGTAAATCTAAACGACCTGCTTGAGTTTCAATCTCTTTCAAGCTCTTTCTACCAATCCAGAATCGAATCTTCATTTTCTAACCCCAAAAACTCTTTTCGATCTTCTCCAACCTCCTCGAACCCCCTAGACCTCCCCCCCCCTCCACCCTTCTTCCGGGTGACTTTGTCAACTACTTTACCAAGAAAATAGCTGACATACGCTCCTCTTTCTCAAACCCACCTCCTGCTTCTTGTGTCCCAATGACTTCACCTCTATCGCCCTCACTCTCCTCTTTCACCCCCCTGTCTCCTAACCAAATTCTTACCCTAGTAATCCCCCACCAGGCAGGCTTCAAGGCCATTCCACAGAGACTGCTCTCCTTGCTGTCTCAGAGCAACTCGACACTGCCTCTCTGTCCTCATCCTTATGGATCTCTCTGCTGCATTTGACACAGTCAACCACCAGATCCTTATTTCCTCCCTTCAGGAACTTGGTGTCTCAGGTTCTGCTCTCTCCCTTCTTTCGTCCTACCGCGACGGACGCACCTACCGGGTAACCTGGAGAGGATCTGTGTCGGAACCTTGTCCTCTTACTACTGGAGTTCCTCAGGGTTCCGTCCTGGGTCCCCTGTCTGACTGACATCTCTGCTCACCATCTGAAAATCAACCCAGACTGAACTACTTCTCTTTCTGGGAAAAGATTCTCCGACACAGGACTTGATGGTCAACTTTGGCAACTCTGTGTTAACGCGCACTTTGACTGCTAGGAACCTCGGCGTCACACTCGACAGCCAACTCTCTCTGACTCCCAACATTACTGCGACAACACGATCCTGTAGATACACGCTCTACAACATCAGGAGAATACGTCCTCTTCTCACTCAGGAGGCAGCCCAGGTACTGATTCAGGCTCTTGTCATCTCCCGCCTGGACTACTGCAACTCGCTCCTGCAGGTCTCCCTGCTACCGCCATTCGACCTCTGCAGCTCATCCAGAAAGCAGCAGCTCGACTGGTCTTTAACCTTCCTAAATTCTCCCACACTACTCCACTCCTCCGCTCCCTTCACTGGTACCGGTCCTTGCTCCTAAATGGGGGAACGAGCTCTCTGAAGACACCAGGACCACAGAGAGCCTTCACATCTTCAGACTAAAAACACACCTCTTCAGACTCTACCTCGACTAAAATACTAACTGTAGCACTTAAGTGGCGTTTACAAGTAAAATGTATCTATAGCAACTTGTAAATTGGCTTATTTGAGGAAATTGCACTTTCTTGTTTCTTGCTCTTCTGAGTTTGTATCCCTATGGTTGAATGCACTTATTGTAAGACGCTTTGGATAAAAGCTAAATGACATGTAATGTAATGTGATGCTGTGGCGTATCAGATTTACCACAGGGACACCAGGAGGTGCTATTGTATCAAATGTAGGAGGGATTCAGCTCTTTGTAAAGATATCAGGCAGTTAGTCCTACAGAGGTTACACGTTCAGCTTCAAAGGGTACTGTGTTTAAATGTCCCATGTGTAAATCTAATGTAAAGCCATGGGGGGGCCACAACGATTCCTTCAGGGAAGAAGACATGTGCACTAAAGGCACTTTGGTTGGGCAGAAGTTAAAGCTCCCTGGTCTGCAAACTACAAGGGAAAAAACCAGCTGATGGTAGAAGTACCAGCTGAAAGCAGATGGAGTAGCTTGATTATGGCTTTTGTTCATCACGTTATTAGTTGAAGCAAACCGGAGAGCAGTTCCTGTGTGAACACCTGTGATGTGTGTGTGTGTGTGTGTGTGTTTATCCTCTCAGGTCATGAAGCTGCCTTCGCTGCGTTCCTCTGCTGCCTTTGTAAGGTTGGAGCTCTGCGAGTAGATGATCAGCTGGCTATCGTTTTCAAGGTGTTCAACAGGTGAGCTGGTGCTCTGCGCTCACACCACCGAGGCAATGATGCAGACTGACCTTTAGTGCAGGATCAATCTCTGTGATAGTGATGTCCAACAACGACTCTTAACTAATAACCCCTCACTTAGTACTGTTCAGGCAAAAGAAGAGGGAAGTGGGAGAGTATTGAGTAGTCGCTATTGGGACCCTGCAGCATCTTGCATTGTGACTATCGTGTGTTTCTGCAGTTATCTGGCAGTGATGCGGAAGCTACAAAAGACTTACAGAATGGAGCCTGCTGGGAGCCAAGGTGTGTGGGGACTAGATGACTTCCAGTTTCTGCCCTTCATTTGGGGCAGCGCCCAGTTAGTAGGTAAGATTGTACCGCCGGTTCCTGGAAACATGTTGCTTTGCGGCCTAATTCAGCGTTTTAAATCAAAATGTCATTGCAATGAATTGTGTAGGAGGGGAGTGAGACAGGGAGAAAAGGTGATCGTTGCATTACAACATCTTGTGACGAATGGACTCGAGTCTTGGTCGATCTCGCTTGGATCTCTGCTTTCCCTCGTACTTCTCATTCCTTCACTCTAAAATGAAGTTAACAAAGTTACTTGATCTTCTTACAGGCAATGAACAATGCATGATGATGATCTGTCAGCATTGGAGATCAGTACTGCAAATGGCTGTGTACAGTCGATAGAACATGTTGGAGCCTACAGAGGCCGTTGGCACTATAGGCTCCAAAATCACAATATTGGTCGGAGAAATTTCAATTAAATATTTGACTAGTGGAGAACATGTGCACTTACAGCTCATTCTCCCTTCAGATCACCCAACACTGGAGCCCCGGCACTTCCTTGATGAGAGGGTGGTGAACGAGCACCAACAAGACTTCATGTTCCTGGAGTGCATCAAATTCATTAACGAGGTGGGCTTATTCGGTTTATTTCTTACTGCTTAGATGTTCTCCTATAGTCAGCAAGGAACATGAGTAATAGCTTTTCTGTGAAGTGGGTGACGGGACTGACTTTTCTGAGCATGATGGCCTCTTGATCCAGTCGACTGTCTCATAACGGCAGAGTAGAAGAGTACAACTGCCTTTAATCAAAGCTTTGCACTATTGCCGCGCCAACCACTCCAGTCCATCCCTGCGCTGTAACAGGAGTGCTGCCCTCTAGTGGACAAAAGCTTCAGATTTTTTTCTCTCTTCATCTTTCCATCACTTAAAAGTACATGCCAGTAGGGTTTTTATAGTAAATAGAATATTTATGTTTACAGTACCAGACAGAAGTTTGGACACACTTTATCATTCGGTTCAATGATAAAGTGGGTCCAAACCTTTGACTGGTCCTGTATATTCAGAATGTGAACCCTTTCAAGTGGACGTTGTTCGTATTCCGCTTAGTGGAGCTCAGCTTTGTCCAGGAAAAGGAAGATGGGTTGGGTTGGTGTGTGCCAGAGCAGGAACCAATGGCTTTGTTTTTGGTTTGGAAAGGAAAAGGAGGGGAGGGAAGTAGAGGAGGGCGTTGTTGGAGCCGCTACATCCTTTGCCTGCTTCCCCCTCAGAAGCCCCATCGCATTCCCTCCTCTTCCCCTTTCTCTTCCTGCCCCTCCTCCTGCCGTTTGACCTCTCCCTCCTCCTCACTGCCATGAAAGGTCATGAAAGTGATGCTGCAGTCGTGTCGAGAGAGGAAGGCCCTCAGCGGTTCTCCTTCTCCTCTTTGGTGTGAGTGAGCTAAAAGACGATGAACAGGGCTTTTTTTTAATGTATTTTGAGAATCATTCAATTCTTTATTTCACTTTCCTACATACATGCTCTGTCTTCTTAGCAACATTTTTCGAAATCGTATCACATCGTTGGCCAATGACCGGCTCTGCTGTGTAGCTGCATGAAAAGTTCAGCTGGTCAGCTGCTGAAACTCCTGCAGGTTTTATCTGTTGTCAAAGCGTTTAGTTGGTAAGCTGCTGTCACTGACGGTGTTAGTCAAAATCAATAGACCCCCTCGACCCACCCACACGTGGTTACGTATAGTGGATGGATTGAGAATCGTTTTGGTGGATAACGGGACGTTTATTCTTTAGCTGAAAACCGTTGACCCCCACCGACAGGGGAAGTTAATGGGAGAGACCGGTTCATTTGGGCGAGTTCCATCCTAAAGCCACAGCAACATTACTACAGCTCAACAGCCCAGATGCATGATGTGTACTGTTGCTCAGTGTTTAACACTCCACATGTACAAGTACTTTCCTCCTATTCACACACACACACTTTTTTCTTATTCTATACAGAAGGTGTGTGTGTGTGTGTGTGTGTGTGTGTGTGTGTCTGTGTGTACATACATGAGTCACTTCCTTCCCCACATGCTGCTGTGAATCACTCCTTCCTCCAGGGAATAGCTCTGTCTCCTCCCCCCTTTCCTCCCTCCCCCATGCCCCTCCCCCATGTGTTCTCAGGCGAGGACCTGGAAAGTGTCTGGAGCAGTGTGGCAGGGGGTGGAAAAAGGAGGGGGTTGTTAAATTGATGCCCCAGGGTTTGGGTTTGGATTCCCCTGCCTCTTGGGGAAAAATGGTGGGAAAACCATCAATAGTCCTCACTTCATTCATACGTTGGTGGATCCCAGCGTGTTGTTCTGCTACATATTCTGATTAGCGGTTTACTGCCTGTAAGGCATCATCTTTATATGAGGTGTTGGAACCAAACATTCTGAAGTAGAAGTAGTGAATAAAGAGAAGTTATTGGTGATTGATAGTCCAAGTCTTCCACCCTCGTACCATCTTTAGGAGAACCTTTCTAAAGATGATAAAACGGTAAACAATTGTGTTTGCAGAAACCGTGACCAATTGCAATGTGTTAATGGAACTTTAAAGTTAAAATGAAGAGAACGGATGTTCCTGTTTAGGTCAAAGGTGATGTGAGATTGTTGATGTGGAGATGAGAACAGTTGTATATTATTCCAAAATCTCAAACCTAAACTTTCTTGTTTGTCTAATATAACCAACTGGATTGCCTATATAATCAATAGTTGATGTTGGAATATAATTAGGCATCATTTTGTGACAAGTTGGACTTTGCCTGCTTATGTCAAAAGAAGAAAAGTTTAAAAGATGAATTTCATTGTCATCCATCACCAATCAAAAAGTTAAATTCCATAGTGTGGATTAGATGCGCCAAAGTGTCTCACTGGTTTCTCTATTCTTAGATGAAGACCGGTCCGTTTGCTGAACACTCCAACCAGCTGTGGAACATCAGTGCGGTTCCTTCCTGGTCCAAAGTGAACCAGGGCCTGATCCGAATGTACAAAGCAGAGGTATGCTGGCTTCTCACTGTCCAATTCCACCGCGATGTTTTCAATTCCATATCCTGACTAGTGCTCCTGGCAGAAGATAAATGACAACTTGCATGGAATACTCTGCAGTTTACTTGGTTCCCTTAAAGGTCAAAGGTTGCCGATCGCTCAATGTGACAAAGTGTTAACAAACCAGGTGCTCGCCGTGCCTTGACTTAATGCTGATGTCTCCGTGCTGCTTTGCCCGCTATGAAACGCTAGCATTGGGTGTTAGCAATGTTCAGCAACATTTTCCAAATGGCGCCAAATAGCTAGTAACAGTGTTAAAAGTAAACTAAGGAGGAAAAACCTGAAACATGACTGTTTTTGCTAGCATGTAGACTGTTGAGAGGACTGGAGAAGCTCAACAATTCACTAATTAATCCGACTGACTGGTGACCCCCCCTGACCTTCTACCAGTCATCAATTTGGGATGTAAATTCCAACTTTTGGTCAGATTGCCATGATTTGCCAACAAGTCAACTTAGGCATGTTATCGCTGTCCCCGTGTTCCGTGTGAGCTGCATTCACGCCGAATCAGCCATTGGAATGATCCGCTCAGGGGTGTTGCTTTGGTGCGAGAGTTCCACTTAAGTGACTCATTTCTGTGCCAAACGGGACGTTTTAACAAAAACTACATGTTTTCTTGGAATCCCCTGCAGCCTTCACCGCCGCACCCTAAACTACCCTAAACTACCCGCATGCACACAGCGCACGGCAGGACGATGTATTTGGTGTGAACGCAGCCCTAACAGACCGCTTCTTTGGCCAGTGAAGGAGAGTGGCAGGAAAGGGTTAATAAAGCAATGGACCGAGTGTGTGTGTGTGTGGAGGGGGGGTTTGGGGGGCCGTCTAAGCCTGTTCTCCCCGCCTGCATGCCCACATCCTGTGTTTTCCAGAGCAGCCTGTGAGCCTTCCCGAAGAGCTGAGGGGCCAGGCTGTCTGCCCTCCCTCCCCCTCCCCCCCCACCCTCCCTCCTTCCTTCCCCTCGCCTGCCCCTCCTCCTCCTCCTTAGCCGTTCCCTTCGTTAAATCCTCCCCTCCCTGTCCCGACCTTCCTACGAGCCTGGAGCAACCATCAGCAGACTTGCATTCCTCGCTCCCTTTCTCGGGCCCCACGCGGGCTTTCAGCCGAGTGGAGGAAGAGCCCAACGCGCCCGTCTGTGTGTGTGTGTGTGTGTGTGTGTGTGTGTGTGTGTGTGTGTGTGTGTGTGTGTGTGTGTGTGCGTGTGCGTGTGCGTGCGTGTGTGTGTGTGCGACAGGAGGCAGTTCTGGGGGCTCGTCACTTGCTCAGAACACACACGCCGATTGTGTGAAATGACACATGTTCAGGGTAACAATGCTACACAATATGTCTCTTCCATACATAAGAAGACCAGCTCGTCTCTGCCTATCCAGGCCCTGTGTGCGTTTCTATTGGTCATGTTAAATGTTAAATCTATTAAAACACTTACCGGATACGGCCGGTGTTATTCTTTATTTTTGTATAAGCCCAAAAAGAACATTAAGCGTGAGGCTCATTGGGTTTTTTTTTCAGTAGTCTGCACAACGATGGAGCTCTGCAGCGCAGAGGAGCGACACGTATCCACACTGATGGTTTGGGTCTGCTCATAGGACTTTCTGACCCTAAGAAACCGGTAGAACATCCATTCAGCGCTTGGTGGTCTGTGTTCTGAAGGTAAAAAATGCCAACGCGTACAGGAAAAATGGACTGGATGGAGTTATTTGATCAGTGGGGTCTGCCTTAACCTTCGTACGCTATTTCGATAGTTTAATTGACTGACACGTCCATTGTAACTGATGGTTATACATGTTCACACTAACGTTCTCTGACGCATGGATTTCCCCACCACCGTTCTGCTCCGATCACAGCAGATAGTTTCACTGCGCAGACAGACTGAGCACAATAGTTCAATTCTACTGTGCTCCCCCAGGAAAGTGTCCCAACCCCCACTGCAGACAGGCGGGTCCCCGCCAGCACACAGGCGCTTCTGAGCCTCAGCGCCCTGAAGTGAGTTACCAGCTAGTCCACGGGAAGTCACATGCTGCTACGTCTACTTATATCAACCGCTCACGTTACTGCAAATTATGCAGTTTGTCAACATTTTTGTTATGTTGGTTTATTTAGAAATGATCAAGATTCCGTCATAACTAACATTACTATCTCCCCTACAGATTTACCTTTCACACGTGTAAAAGTAGAAGTCTTTGCTCCGGACCGAAGACAAGCAGAAGTAAAACTGTTCAGTCCATATTTTTTAATCTCAAAATTCTTAATATCCTAATAGTTCATGTAATGAAATATGGCGTTGTGCATTAATACAACATTGGGGCACTTGGGGTTTCAGGAGTGACTGTGACAGATATTCAATAATGAGAGAAAGGGTGAGCGAAAACCTGCATCCTCATCCGCCAAAATGTGCCAATAAATCCCACCCGTGTTGCGTGTAGAGATTTGGCTCCGTGGTGGAGCGGCTTGTCCTTCCTCTGCCAGTACATGTTGATGTGTCCTTGGACAATACACTTCATTCCAAACAGTTCCCACAGGCTGTGTCTGCTCTACTGGGTGTGAATGTTCGCTGTTGGTGGGGAGGCGTCACTGTGTGTGCTACCGGCAGTGAATGATGACGTGCAGCGTTAAAGAGCTTTGAGTGGAGGACTAGAAAAGAGAAATACAAATACGTTTACTCCCTTTTCAACTGCACACACACACACACACACACACACACACACACACACACACACCGCTTTACCGCTTTTGTCCAGGTCACCAAAACAGTATCACTTCTGCACAATGTTGAATGCTGTGTTTGATCATCTCTGGGTACATTTGAAGATGCACTGCTGCATCATAAGGTTTGTAGTAAGCAGGAGGGCGGCTGCAGTAACGATAGCCGCACTCTGTTTGAAGCAGACTGTCTCTTGCTGGTGTTGGTAAAGCGGTCCTGCTCTTTTTCTCTCTTTCAGTGTTTGGAGAAGTTCCCTGTGATCCAGCACTTTAAGTTTGGTAGCCTGCTGTCCATCCAGCCGGGGAAGACTTGACGCTCCGGCACGCAATGGAAAGACCAAAATCCCGACATTTTTCTCTTCCTCTGGTATTTTCACGTGCAAATAAAACAGTAGCAAAAACCAACCACATGTAGTTTGACACACGGTTTGCCACGCGTGTGGTCAGGAAAGCTTCTAGGTCATCCACGACTTAACGTCACAGCATGTTGTGGATGACCTTTTATCATTTTAGAACCTCTTTGTTTTTTCTATTTTATTTATACAATGGATACAGCTCGGAATCCGCCTCCTTTCTTTTTTAATATATATATTTTTTAAGTCTACTCATGCCTCCTCATGAGCACAGACTTGTTTGACTTCTTCAAACTGCTATGGTATAGATGGTGATTCACCTGAGGATATTTTTCTACTATTGCTTTAAATGCCAAATGTATCAATATTGAATTGATTGATCAGGTCCATCCCAACCATCGGAGTCACCAATAATTTACACACGAGTTTTATGATACAAAATATCTTGACATTTTCAAAGTCTTGCTCAAAGAGGACCGTAGAGGATTAGCAGCTGCTCAAAGTGTAACGTATAGACTTTGGTCGGCTTGGTTACCGTCTCCTCTGGTCCGTCTTCCATGGTCAACTTTAACTTTTTCCTCATAATTCTCAAAAACCAGGTAAAACATTGTACTTCAAAACGGTGTTAAATTCTGCACGTGATACATTTGGCACCATTTAAATAATATTGCATTTGTTTGTAATGTAATAACCGAAGCACCATTATTTTCTGTTGTTGCAGACCTGGTTTAATAAATTTCTCATCTATTATTTGGTGACCCAACCGTGACCTTTGTTGTTTATTTCCATGTTCCATTAAAGGTATCCCATGTTCAGTTAGCAAATGTCCCACGCTGGCACTCTCATTGCTCCCTGCTCCTTTCAAAAGTACTGAGATTGCATTCGGGTTCTGCACATGATGCCTTAAGTAAGGAATGCGTCCTCCTTCAGTCTAATCACATGTAAAAGGCTTCATTTTGGGAAGAACGTCTTTGCTTGAATTCTTCAAAAGAGGACCCATTAATAGATTAAGATAAAGATTTTTAACCTCGTACCGTCAGCTTAAGTTTCTGTGTATATGTTTACTTGTTGAGGCCCATTGTTTTATTGTAAATGGTCTGGTTTGCTTGTGACCCAGAGATGAACCCGGCAGTGAGGCAGATGGATTGGAGATGAGAGGAGAAAGTGTTGAATATTGTATGAGTCAGGACACTTTACACTACTCCTTCATGTGAGGAGGATTTTTCAATTTTCTGTTGTGTGTCTGTGAGTTGGGGAACTCGAGTCATGTCTAGGTTCTGAAACGTGCAACAGTCACTTCTTCACGCGGACAGGACGGGCTGGAGTTCCCTCGCGTGCAGATGTGGAGCGGACGAGCACTGCGTCAAGCCACTGCATTTTTTTTTTTTTTACATTTGTAGACCAGCAGCTGTCTCCCATTTCCCTCACCATTGAACAAGGGGGGCGCACCGCCAAAAAAACACAGGGTAGGGCAGTCCCCCCCCCCGACACGTGCGTGCATACAGACACGTGCGCCCCCCCCCCCCCCCTCTCTGTTCACCCCCACAAGGTTGTAAACCAAGGGGAAACACTGAGGTCAGGAAGACGCTGTCTTGTCTTATGTATGATGTCATCAGACGAGCTGCTGACTGGGAATAAAATCCTCTTCGCGCCACAGTCACCGGCTCTTTGTTCACTCCATAACCAACCAACCAACCAACCAACCACTTTTTGGGATGTCATTGCTGCACTAAGTTGGCGAGAGTACACATACTGCGAGTTTAGCTTGGTGAGCTGTCTCCAGTGTGTCGGTCTACAGCGTTTATGTGCAGAAGAACCTGTAGAATACTGACCCATGTGGCTGTAACCGTGCATTCAAGTGCTCAAATAGAAATGAAGGCTGCATCTAAACCACCAAACAATACAGAGAGATGCGTGATTAATCAGCAACATTTACACTGATGTCTGGAGGGTTAAATGTTAAAATGCTTTAAACGTTTGGTTGCTGTATTGTCTTAACAAAGTTCCCGCAGATGACCCCGGCTTTTGTGGTGGATGAAGGCAACTCATAAAATGACGTGACCTGCGTATGATGTCGCCCTGAACGGAAGGGAACAATGGACTGTGACTCCCACGCTGGGTGGGGGAACAACTCTAAAGGCAAAAGCTCAATCTGTTGGGCTCGTATGGAGGAATGTATGGAATGGGACAGCTGCGTCGACACGTTCCCACATGTCTAGGCTTGAAATAGTGAGTTTCTGAAATGGGAGGCAGCTGAATACCTAAGACGGTAGAAAGCAACTGTGCAAAGTAACTAAGTACATTTACCAAGTACTGTACTTTAGTGACTTGAGTATTTGCTTTGACTTTCTTCTTTATTCCTGATTGAAATATTGTACTTGCTGCGCTACATTGATCTGACGTGTAGTTATTTAATCATGAACAATGGATCATCAAACATTGAACCGGTTGCTCCCATCATGTTTGCATGATGTAGAAGCTATTTTACTTGTGGTGGTGTTCTTTCCATATGGTTGCATTGAGGAACAATGGATATGGTTTCACTCCACTTTATTGAATCAGGTATTCACCTCCTCACTACAGCCCTGTAAGCCCCGATCAATGAACAATTTCCTTTAGTGCGCGAGGAACACTATGACCTAATTACTTATTATGATATGCAAATGAGATACGGCTATGTGTCCCCAATATGCAAATGATAACAACCCAGTTTTCCATATGCAATATGCTAATTAATATCCAAAGGAGGGGTGGTCTGTTTTCCTTTAATAAGGTTTGTGTGTTTCATTGACATGCAGTCATTGTATGGTGTATTTGTCCAAAGCTGAAAGAGGAATTTTGAATCCAATCCTTTGCATTTGATGGGACCGCTAAAAAGTGTGCGGGCTCACCAATCGTGGAGGACTGCCAATCGTCACTTCTCCCCAAAAGTTGTAATCACGATGGTGCTGGTTGGAGCTAGTTGGTAAGCACACATGATGATGTGTCTTACCAATAGAGAGGGGATTGGATTTCGATATAGACGTATGAAGAATTATATTGTTTATGTGGGCGGCAAGCAATGACAGCAAGAAGGTCCTGGTTCCACTCCGCCCAGCGGCCCTTCTGTGTGGAGTCTGCATGTTCTCCCCGTGTCTGCGTGGGTTCTCTCCGGGTTCTCCGGCTTCCTCCCACAGTCCAAAGACGTGCTCTGGGGATCAGGTTGATTGGAGACTCTAAATTGCCCCGTAGGTGTGTGAACGGTTGTATGTCTCTGTGTAGCCCTGTGATTGGCTGGCGACCAGTCCAGGGCAACCCAGTCTCACAGCAAAACGTGTAATAGCTACGTTTGCAGAACGTGGTATTCTCACGCTTTATCCCCAAAATCGTGACAATAATACGTTTTATTTCGGCCCATTCATTTACATTACCTTGCAACTACGTCACTAGAAACTAATAAACGGAAGGTCTTCTACATTCTCTGATATATAACGCATACTTCTCGCTAGAAATGCCATCGAAATGCATACAAATGCTGATGCTTTCTTAAAATATTGTGTATTTCACAGATAATAATAGAATATAATAGAAGTACTTTATTGATCCCCGAGGGGAAATTCAAGATCCAGGGAGCTCCTGACAATATACAAACATAATATACACATGCAGTTAAACTATTAAAAAGGGTTTATCAAAGAAAAAATAAAGTTAAAACACACATTAAGAGTTCAGGGTGGGGTCGGGTCGGGGGGGGGCTGTGCAAAGGCTAACATAGCCAGTAAACATGGCTCACTAGAAAACTGAGTTTTTCTAGTGAGGTACCTTTGGTTGGCGGGTTGACCGACAGTCCGCCATTTTCTTTTTTTTAGCTGAGGGGAAGTTGATAGTCACGTGACCTAGTTGCAACTATAATGTCGTATTCTCACGCTTTCTCCCCAAAAGCGTGAGAATACGACGTTCAACAGCGTAGCTGTTACCCGTTTTGCTGTGAGACCGGGTCGTGCAGGGTGAACCCCGTCTATCGCCCCAAGTTGAGTGGGATAGACTCCAGCCCCCTGTGGCCCTGTGTGCAGGATAAGCGCTGTGAAGATGGATGGATATTGTTGATGTATTTTTTTTTGTTCAATAGGGAGTTGACCAAGGTGGAAAACTAAAGAAAACGCAAGGATTTGTGGGTAATTTTAGGTTCTTAATCAGGCTCTGTGTGAACCTGGACGCGGTCTGTATCAGAACCCCCCACCCCCAGACCTCCCCTCCCCCCGCAGACCTCTGGGTAACCTGGCTGACCTGCCTCCCCCTTCCAGAGCACCTCTTCCCCACCGTCCACCCCCCTTCAACACCTCCCTTCTGCTGCAACATTTGGCCCCCTCCCCCTCTGCAACCCCCCCCCCCCCCTTGCATCTACCCCCGGTCCTGACAAAGCAGGCCTCCCTTCCCCCTCAGACTGCACCTCTCCCCCCTCCCTCTGTTGTCTTCCTCCCAGCCACCTCAACAACACTAGTCACCCCCTCCCCCCTCCTCCCCCCTCATCCCACATCAGAGTGAGTCATGCTTCAATGAGTATTCCTCTGTTTCTTTCTATTAGATCCATATATCAAATGCTTTGGATATCCTGAGTTTTGTGTGTGAAACATGTGTGTAATATTTCAACAGAATCAAACCAAAATAAATCACCACGTCCTAATAAGGAAGATCAATAAAAATCACTTGTATCAAACACTTGAAAGGTTTCGATTGTGTGTGTCTTCCCTGCTCCAGAGGGAGGAGCTCTGTGTTCGCCGTGGAAACGTGCTTATTGTCCACACCGTGTGCGAGTGGCACCGCGGTTGGTTTCTGATATCATGTGTTTGTTGTGTTAGGTCCTTTACTTTGAAGCAGAGGTGTTGCGTGTTGCTCTGTAAATCGCTGCCTCGTCCCGTCCATCACACCCCACTGCACGTTCTCATGGGTGGAGGAGCTGGAGCCGCAAATAGCCCATGGAGCTGGAGGAGCATCGGTGGAGTGATGCGTTAGAATGGAGACGGAGACATGAAGTGGAGGAGAGAGGGGGAGGAGGGGGGGAGGGTGCCAGAGGCCGTGAGGGAGGGCCTGTCTGCGATGGCTCTGCATACACCGCCCTTCTGATATGTCCATTAATTGGTTCTAAAGAACACCACCAAGTGGCACAGAGCAGAGATAACAGGACCCAGACATGAGCCCGGGAGGGAAGGGACGTCTCACACGATGCAAGTAGGTTATTCATCTCATTTGTTAGGGACTGATACAATAAACATGCACTTTATGTTAAAGCAGGAGAACCGTCGTTAAGTGGTCTGTTTTGTTATGAGCAGGCTGGGGAGTAAAAAACAGCATTCACCACTTTATCAAAAGTGAGAGATTGATGTTTTTGGAGATCATACTGCATCCGTTGAGGAAGACCATGCAATGCAGTGAAGAGCATAAATCATTGATTGATCATTGACACTCATCACATCTCATGTGTGCAGACTGTAAAGCCCTCAGAGGCCAAAAGGTATTTATAGCGATTTTGGGCTGTCCAAACTGAACAACAATGGAATGATATGTGGACATGAATTAAGTTCTTTAGAATACTTGTTTTTTTTCTCAATCTACTCTACTAATCTACTTTGCAAGGCAAAGCCTAAAAATAGGTAATGTTATATTCAAATAGGATTTTGCCCCTTTCTAACTGCATGAGTTATGCATACCAACTACTTTTAGGTGGCTGGTTGTGTAAATGGTTGACTGTTAATTTTCCCCAAACAATTTGTTAAAGGGAAAGTTTTTCACCCAAGAAAATGTGTGTATTGGCTCTCTGATGAAGACTTTTGGAGATCAGTCACATCTGTTTGCAGAACTGTGAAAGTCTGGACTGTTTCCCTGTTGTCCCCCTTTATAAATGACAGATTTCCAAACTTTGGAGATAAGGAATACACACCAGTGTGCCGGTAAATGTGTGTGTGTGACCCCAGTCACAGGCCCACTCTGCAGCTCCATAAAACCACAAAAGCCAAATTTACAGTTTGCACTTTTTATTAAGATTATACATTTTAAACAAATATTTTCTGGAACAGTTTTACCCGGTGATATACAATTCAGTAAGCACAAATATACAAGAATAAAGACAATGTGTAGAGAATGGCTGAATACTCTCTTCATTTTGGTACACATAGTGCTCATAAAGCTACTGTGTGGATTCTCGGCGTGTGGCTACATCAGGAGTTTGCCTTTTTAAAACAAAAGGGCTGAAGTCATTATTTCACAAAACACCGTAAAACTCACAAAACCACAACATGTTGGAATTATGAATAACTTTGAGCAACAACCGTGATTCAGATGGGGGGGGGGGGGCTACCAGCACTGCTCACTACCTCATACTGGGAGAGCGTGTTCCAGTGCGAAAGTGTCGGATTAAGTGATGGGAGTTGGAATCTGTGCACCTCAAAGTCTTCACTCAAGACAACAAAGTCTTTCCAAAAGGCCCGTCGGCCCAGAACAGGAGAGACGTGTGTGTTGGCGGTGTGCGTTTGTTTTAAGGCATCGGAAGTGATTCCATTACATCGGTCCCATCGAGTGTCACCTGCAGACATGCATCTCCTGCACACAACCTCACCGTGTGACGCAAACGACCATCTCCCTTTTCTTTTTGAAGAGCGTCTCTTTATCCTGCAAAAATAAAGTTTATTAAGGGGAGGCCAGACGCGGTTGTTTAACGCCCCCCATCAGAAACAAGTGCGGGGGAAGTCAAAGACACCAATGGGCCGCACTGGCATATGTTATTTATGAGGTAAATTCTTTACACTTCTATCCTGTTACAAGTATGTGAAACACAATCCGATGCTGAGAGGTAAATGGTCCATTCTAGTGTTTTATAGTAGCGCATGAACACTAATGTTACAGTCTGGCCAATTGGGATGTTGAATATTAAGGAATTACAGTCCAATGACATCTGCTACTGACCTCCTGCATGCCACTCTGGTGGAACACTGACCTCCCCAGTCACACGCTGTGCTGCAGCACACCGCTCGGCCCATTGAGGGTTCTCCCAGTGAGCTGCAGGCAGACCCCCCCCCCCCTCCCCCGGCGGCCCATTTGCATTCTGTAACGTACCAAGAAGGCTGAAAACGTTCCGTCATGGACACGTTCACCAAGTCTTCCATGGTCCTTTTAATGGCACATCTGCTGAAGTGGCAACATGGGAAACCGCCTGTGTCATCAGCAACATTCCCCTGAGTGTGGCCAAGTGTTCCCCGACGACCTCCTCTAGTACTTTAATACTTCACGATACGAATGAACCCGGTGTGTCCCCTGGAATAAAGGGTGCGAGTCAGAACGCCACGATCGCTCGGGTCCATGCCCCCAGACTAGCCAGGACCTGCTTGCTACAGATCTGCTCCAAGTCCGCCTGTCTGCTCAGCAGCCCCGAAAACCCCGAGCCGAAGATGGAAATGAGGTTGGAGATGTTGGACGTGTCCGTGTAGTCTAGGCTGTGGTAGGAACAGTCCTCGCGCTTGGCCCGTTTGCGCGCAGCAGTGAAGTCCGAGATTTCCTCCACGTCGGATACGTAACAGCCGGGCTCAACCTTGCGCTTCTTGGCCGGGGTCTGCGCGCCCTGGCCGAGCGGCGGCGCGTCGCAGCAGCAGTCCTGGTGGAGGTAGCCGTTCTCCACGGTGGTCACCACATGCGTGTCCAGATCCAGCACCGTGGTCTTGTTGCAGTGCGCGCTGCCGCTGGCCGGGAGCTGGTCGCAGTGGGGCGCAGGGGACGCCTCCATGCAGCAGCTCCGGTAGTACGAGGGATCTGGTTCCCGGGTGTCCTCTTCCAGGGAAGCGCAGCCGAACACAGCGCTCGCTGTCCGGGCGTGCGCCGCCGGCTGCGCCGCGCCTCGGTGGCACACCGAGCCGCACGGACTCGCCCCTTCGCCGCAGCAAGCCGTCCGCGCGTGCTCCTCGTCGTCCTCCGCGTCCAGATCCAGTGGGTCGAGCTCCTGGATCTCGTTGCAGACCGTCATGACCTCCTCGTACTGCTGCATCCTGTAGATCTCGGCGTACTTCTCCTTGATATAGACCTGCCTGGCATTCCTCAGCACGTAGGACACCAGCAGGTTTTTGTGCAGCTTGATCCCCCCTCTCTGCGTCCTGGAGTTGTGGATCTTCATTAGGGAAATGGAGATCAAGTTTTGCGCGTCCGCCCCGCATTCCATGGTGCTGATCATGGTGATGTCCCCCCCGGTCCAGCTCCTCTGAGACTGTCGGATATCTCGCCGGGATTCGCTTGGTTTCAGTCAGTATGTGTGGAGGCGCATCGGACAGACTGATCCGCCCCTCTGCGAAACCAGCAATTATTTGCAGATGGCCCGAAACCGGAACGCATATATAGTCAAGACGAAAGGCCCGCCCTCTTCAGGAGGAGCCAATCAGCTGACTGGGATATTTTGAGTGGCAGACTGGCGCGCTGGAAATATGTCGTTCTCGACCAATCAGCGTCAGGTGGTCCCTCGGTACTATTCAAATTCCACCCAGGTTGCCCATCAGGAGGGTCCCAGTTGCAGAGTCTCACAGTCTTCCTGGGACTTCCAGTTATTAAAACAGTTATTTTTCCGGAGAAAACCGAGATAAATGTGTGTCATCGTCAGCCGAAGGCGTCATGTGGCCCATTAGCTGACTGCTTTACAAAGACCTGGAGGTTCGTACCTGCTCTGTTTGAAGGGCAACAGCACATTCCCTCACTCACCTCCTGTATCTACCTGTGCGGATAGTTTCAGTTGAATTTGTTTGGGCTGTGAGAATTCTGCCTCCAACTGAATCAAATGGAAGTCGTTCATGTGTGGTGATGGCAGTATCGTTGCCCTGGTTACTCTCGCTAATCCACAGCCCACTGTCAACGCTCTTCATCTGAATTCACTCCCAGTAAAGACAAATATTAAATGATTAACTTGTCCATTTCAATCCACCTCCATTGTATTCGGCTGGAGGCCAAATCACAGGGACAAATGTCCCAAAGGGTATTTCTTCATTGACGATGCATGCGTACAAGAAGGACCTCGGCGGCTGAGCGCTGTCCATTAGTTGGTCAAACGGCTCCCAGCAGAAACAGGTCGCTGTTTCTGCAAAACCTCTACAAATCCAACCTGTACTTCCTGCTCCAGAACATGATAGGGGATGTTGCTATGGCCAAATTCCAATGTCCAACTGTCCCGCCCCACTGTCAAATCCTCCAGTGTCTGAGGACATCTGCAGACTTAGACCAAGGGAACACATGGTAACCAGTGTAAGCATGGACACGTTCAAAAAGGTAAACAAAGAGGAGGGCGCATGTGAGCTCATTTATTACGGATTGAGATGGAAATCAGAAGAAATGTATGAAATATTTAATGTTGTCATTGAAACTGTTATGACAAAATCAAGTAAATAGATCATTTCAATCTATTTGTGACCTTATGAGGAAAGAGCCTGGAAGGTATTTAAATCAGGAAGTGAAAAGTATCAAATAAATACTCATAAATGTGAATCCTACCTTTTTACGTGTGTTGTCCCGTTTGTATTTACACCACGTCGGGCTCTTACAGACTCGCACACTGAACCACGTACCAGGTGGCGTCTGAATGGGTCCCTGAGGGCTCAGGGTTCAGGGGTCACTGGGAGGGGCCCTCTGTGTCTGCTGGATGTGTGAGTGTAAATGGTACAGCGTGAAAAGGTGGAAAGGGCTCTCGGCTTCTAAGCGAACCGTGAACGCAGAAATGTATGATTTTATGTGATGTAGCATGATTTACACAACTAAACTTCTAATCAGTTAATCTGCTGATTGTGACAAAGATTCAGGAAGTGATCTTATTGACCAGTATTTAATGCTATGTATATAACCTATTTATCCAAACTCAATTCAATTTATTTCATTTTGTATAGACCAAAATCACAAAGTAGCCTCAGAGGGCTTTACAGTCTGTACACATGTCCTTTGTCTAAAAACTCCCCCAAAATCAAGTCAACATATCAGCGCAGTAAAGGAGTCAAAAGCTGTTAAAACTGCTGTGCTGGGATCTAAATGTGTACTTTGTCAGTTCATCATATCCAATAAAAAGTGTGTGACAGCCGTCCACAGTAATGAGCCTAGAATCATACACGCTGCACCTGCGTCTCCAGTCATCTGAGCATCCAAAGAGGCCTTTGTTCTCTTCATCATTTGTAACATATACATATATATATATATACCTCCTAAACAGAGTACTGCAGAATGACACAATCCCCAAAACTGTCCAATCAATGACGGTCTTTCTAACTGTATGTTAACTACTGGTGGTTGATGAAAAGAGACACTCACCCGAACTAAATTTAAAATTCAAAGAAAATAAAGTCAAATTCAAGTCAAAAACAAGTGAATGCTGTTTTAAATTGTTGAATTGAAGTGTGTTTTGAAATTCGGTGTCGTCGTTTTCTTTTCCAGCGCACCTCTTTGCTTCAGCGTCCAGGATTGAAAGTGTCTAATCATGTTGTAGTTGCAATTCATGAGTAGATTTAAATGTAACTGACTTGAGTTCATGTTGATCAAATTTAATCAAATTGAAATTGTATTGAGGCAGACTGTGTAGTATCAGCAAATATGTTGACCAAAGAATATACATTATGAGATGTCATGAGGAAACTCAAATGGTTTGACCCCCTTCTGAGCATGCTGGAGGAAACCTTTGATGTAATAACACACGTATGAAGGAGGATTGAATAAAGGATCGTTGGGTGAATTAAAGAAAACGGTCTGTTTCTTTGTGTACGAGTGTACACTTCACTAACTCACCAACTCAGTCCCCTACAGCAGGAACCCAGTATTGCAGGAGCCTCTCAGGTTTAATCACTGGATCAAATGTTTGCATGTGAGTGCAATAACCTGAGTTGAACCTGTAGAGGCCAGTGCAGCTCTAGTTTTCTGCCCTTTGTGATTAGTTGTTCTGTTATAGTTTCCAAGTTGTCATTCTGAGGTGTGACATTGGCTCCACAGTCTTCAACAGCATGTTTATTTTCATTACAATGCGTAACTCTCTCTAAATAAGACCAAGACCACGCCGAGGATCGGCTGACAGGCACCTGGTTGTAATGTTCTCTATGAATGATGAATGTATAATGCAGAGCAGCACACACTCATCTTTTCTTCCAGAGGAGGTAGCTGTTCTCCAAGCAGGGCGCAGACCAGCGGGTTCCCTCAGTTTAATGTATAAAGATCCCGGCTCGCCAGATAAAGTGTTGTTGGAGGAGCTGGAGCTCACATTCAGCATTAGCAAAATTCTGCTCTTACTTACACGCTAAATTCTGTACCTAATTGATTTCTTGAAGAACGCTTTCAGTACAAAAACCTCTTGGAGAATATTTCTATCAACTAGATAAAAAATAAGACGACAACAAAAGAACACATTAATACACAAGATCTATCAAATGTGGAGGAAAGCCTGGTAACGATACAGCTACGTGATCTTTACACCCCAATCTTGAGCAAGTACCAAAGGAGTAGATCTTGGGAGCAGTCTGTATGTTCATTCCAGAGCTGGAGTCAGGATATTGTGAGCCCTGCTCAGCACAGTCTGGAAGCTTGGCTCAGTCCAAAGTAAATATAGAAATATGGGGAGAGACTCGTGTTGACATCCTCACCATGGAAGCCAACATCAGAGGTTGGACTGCTGTGCTGCTGAGGGGAGTGGAGAGCCTCGGAGCACCTGTTGTCTCTGAAGGCTCTCCTTATTCATCTGGAGAACAGTAGTGCCAGCCTCATGCCCAGAGGTGGACCATTACAAGACCAACGGAGGCTTCGTCCTGACGTGGCCAAGTAGCCATCACAACACTGCATGGTTCTTCCTGGCACGCAAGACAATCCACCCCAAAATGTAGCTTCACACCTTTTTGTGACTCTACCATGTCCTTCTCTTGCTGCAGAAGATGAAGCAGGAGCACTTGTTCACTCTGGACCATCATCTCCAAGCCCATCTATCCCCATCTCCCGGACATCTGGGGTTCCTTTAAAGGGGTGTGCTTGCTGGGCAACAGAGGACTGGTGAGAAGAATGGGGTGTGTGTAGGTTGTTTTACGTCTAACATCTATGTTCCTTAGCTCTTTGATGACGCAGGCAATGCGGTGTGCAGCGTGTGCAACGCTCGTCTTTTGGCCATGACGCCACCCAATTGAGGTTGTTTCTATCCGGGTTGGCGGACGCCTCCTACCTCTCTGATGTGCAGCCAAGGTCATGTGATCTGTAGCTGTGATCTGCAAAAGCTCCAAAGCCTGGTGAGGGCTGCTTGTCTAATGAGCTTCTCTCAACCCACTCTCCCTACAGAACCTTTCACGGAACGTTGGCAAGGAATGGGGAGGTTTTGCTGGGTGCATCAACCCATCGGCTGTGATATCCCAGAAGCCAAATACACCGTCGCCCGCCTGCACCTGTCAGACACAGCTCTTCAGAGAAAACAGAGCGCTCGGTCTGCATTGTTAGAAAAACGAAAATGTGACAAATAAATGACAATAAATGTGTCTTATGTGTTATCTAGATTTCCAGTCAGTAACAACTTAACCTGAGATCCTTACGGGGTAATGCAGGAAACGTTACAGTAGAATGTTTGTTGAGAACAGCGGTACAGTTAGATATACAGTTACATACAGCTTTGTCCCATAAAAGTAAATCCAATTAAACTAATATTAAGTCTATATTTTCGTGAGATGTACAGATTTCATTCCATCATCTTGCTTTCCTTTCCCCACAATTCGTGCATTATATTGTGGTCTCTTTACATATCTGGTCTTGTCTCAGTGTATCTACACTCTTTTTATGTTCTCCCCTCATCTTTTTACCCCCCCCCCCCCCCCCTGCCCAATTCTCTCCCCTGGATACTTCTATAATCCATCTGCATACTGCAATGGCATCCTCCCTGGCATCTTCACTGACATCCTCACTGAGCTCCTCACTGGCATCTTCATTGACATCCTCCCTGAGCTCCCCACTGGCATCTTCACTGGCATCCTCCCTGAGCTCCTCACTGGCATCTTCACTGGCATCCTCCCTGGCATCTTCACTGGCATCCTCCCTGAGCTCCTCACTGGCATCTTCACTGGCATCCTCCCTGGCATCTTCACTGACATCCTCCCTGAGCTCCTGACTGGCATCTTCACTGGCATCTTTACTGACATCCTCCCTGAGCTCCTCCCTGGCATCTTCATTGACATCCTCCCTGAGCTCTTCACTGGCATCTTCACTGGCATCCTCAATGACATCCTCAATGGCATTGTCTTGTCACCGGCATCGTCACCAACAATCTAACTGGAATCTTTACTGCCATCCTCACTGCCATCCTCCCTTCCCACGCTTGGCAAAGCAGGTGCTGTTTTTTGCCCCTTCCTGTGTAAAGTAAGCCCTGGAAAGTTTAATTGTCTGTCTCATAGCCATGGAGCTAATCTTTTGGATATTATTGTAAGCCTCCCTGCTTCTTTGTTCAATATCTCCACATTTTTCCTTGTGCAATCTATTTCTATATCTTTTGTGAAAACACATAACGTTTTATTTCTGCCCAGTTTAGAAACTACGAATATAGTTATTGTCCACTTGGGGAAAATGTAACAAGCTTTAAAACACCAATCATCTCACTATAATTCTATAAATTGGTGCCAAAAATAGCTAATTTACATCTTTAGAGCTGCGATACTTAGTCTCCATCAGGTCATTGGTAAATCTCTGTCCCTTTAGTCGCAACAGTTGAAGCAGTGACATTTCAGGGTTGAACAGCGAGTGTCTCACTCAATGTGTACAGACAATACGAAGCAGGTAAACACCCTTGTGGTTTACTGATAACCAGCTCCAGCCACTGAGCACCACAACTTGTGCACAAGTAATTACAGGTATTTCATATATTTACAGTAGTTTAACCCATATTTAGATAAGATTATTAATTGGTAATCTAGTCATTTTTCACAATTCCTACATTCCTATTTATGAATATGCTATTCCGCTAATATCTTCAGTCAGTAAACAGCAGCACAATGCTCACACAAGCCCAACCAAGGAGTGTTACTATGTGAGCAACTCTATTGATGGAAGGGAAACCACCACAACCCAGTGCGGCATGGCACAAGCTGAACAGAGGCGGGAGAAGGATGAACACATTATTAGAAGGAGAACTGCAGTATCAGCAGGTTGAGGTTTAATGAACGCCAGCTTTATTAATCACATTTGCTCATTTACTCCCTGTGTGGTCCCAAGTTCAACTGTTCCCACTTGATCACACCTCTTAACCCGTTCCAATGATTTCGACACGGACATGATTTAGTGTAGAGTTTATCCTTGAATGCATCAGTAAGTTTTAAGCTGCCTTTTTCTTCCCGTGTCACATTTGGAGCTCTGCGATGACCATTTCTGTGACCAACATTCACCCCGCAGTGAAGAGCTGAGAACGGTTTAAACTGCCATGCTTAGCCATTTTTTTCATCTTCTCAATGTCTCACATGAACAACTAAGTCACTGAACACTATGGATTTTATCAAGAGGGAGAGAGAATGTCTGAAAACGAAGAAAAGAAAAGAAGACGCATTTGTTGGGGACTATTTACTGCATGTGTTGCTCTAGTGAGAGTTTTGGCAGCAGGACGGTGAATCGGGAATCAGGAACATTTATGTGGGACTCAATAAATCTCAGTGTGAGTGTCGATGGTAATAAGGGAACATATACTAAGGAGCGTTGATGTGTTTTAATATATTTAGGAGCTCAATGGGCTTGATGGTATTGTTCTTTCTGTGAGTTAAAAAGGGGTGATGGAAAGCTGTGGTTCATTCCATCTGATGTTGTATTTTGGGCTATAAAAATAAGTAAAGTAAAAAATATAGTTATTAATCATCAATCTGTTAGCATTGTCATTTTAGCATGTTGAGATTAGCGTTTAGCTTGAGAGCCGCACACATCTGTCAGCATCACTTGTATCACTAAACCCTTTTACTCTTCTCTGTTTATGACTTTAATTCATGGACAATGTGAATGGTACATTTAAAAAATGTGTATTGCATGAACACACAGAACATTTAGAAAGATCTTGATAATGGACTTACATTAAGGTGGTTTTGTAAATCAACATTGTACGTACAGGCTGAGAGAAGTTCTTTCTCTCCTGAAATCTATATTCAGAATGACCAACTCCAGGCAACGAACACTGCGTATCAGCTTTGTCTTTCACTGTGTCTGTCTGACGTCCATTTCTTATTTCGGCCTCTGTCTTCCCAAGTGACTCTTGAGCTTGCGTTGTCCTTGTCCCCCCTGTTTAGAGAAACAAACCATAAAGTTTTCCCTCTGCTTTCAACAGGAAGAAAATCTGTTTTCCATTTTCTTTTTTTCTGTCTGGGTCCTGCTGTTTTTCTCTCCCGCCCCTTCTCCCCCCTTCATCTTCCCCTCCTCCCTCCCTTTCTCTGCTTTTGCTGGCTCTGCTCTCATTCCTGCCTCCTCCCCCCTCAGCTCCTCCAGTCCTCTGTCTTCCCTCTGGAGAATAGGGGTCATTGCACAAATGATTACTCAGACCCCCGTTGCCATGGCGATGCTGCCACGTAACGGGCGACCGGCACGGAGCGCAGCAGAGAAGCCGATTAGTAAGCGGGCGATGGAGGAAGCGAGCGCCGCCTTTGTGTAGCTCCGCTTCGCCTCTGTTTCTTTCAAATAGCTTGTGTCCTTCCGTGTGTTTTAAAGCCGGAGGAGGGTGGAGGGGGAGACGGAGAGCAGAGGAGCAGGAAGGAGCCTGCACACATTCTGCTCACCGCCCTCCGGCTTTGTCTCCTTCTCCTGCTCGCCTGGTCTGTCTGAACGAGGCCTGCTGTTGGTTCAGCCCAGCAGACTCTCTTCTGTTCCGGCCACAGCCCAGAGTTCTCAGATGGAAAACGTGCGCGTGAACAACAACATTTTCAACAACAAAATATTTTTTCGTTCCGCACGACAAACGAAGGCGATCTTGCTCGTCATTGTTTAGGAAGTCCCCATCCGTCCTTTCTGCAGAGGGAACTATGGAAGCCCATGTAAGCCTTTTTAAGGTTAGACTCACACGAGATGAGAAAGAAACCTGTGCAGTCTAAGCATGCAGAAGTGCTTGACTTTGTTTGGACATATGGTTCCTGGACAGAGGATGTCGCATGTGTACAGACTGTACATTTTTAATTCAGGGCAAATCAAAACAAAATAAATTGACTTGAATTGATGGAGATGAACAGTCTCATAACACATGCGTCCTTGTGAGATTACAGCCAAAGGTCAAATGGGACAAAGATTGTTAATAAAAGTGTTTTCTTTGATTTGGAAAAATTAAACAAAGTAAAGATTGGAAGCATGTTGCCGTCTCAGACTTTAACGCGACAGAATTGAATAAAATTCAACAATACCTTAAACTTAAGTTGGTTTCTAATGTGTTAGTTTTTTCCCTTTGATTGTGTTTTGTGTTGATTCGTCTACCTGAAAGAGACAGTGACTTCGTTCAGACTGTTATCATCATCTATATCAATATCAGACGACGCTAAGTTCAGCAAATGTTATTTTAAGTGTAGAATTCATGCAACAATGAAATCACTAAAACAGAACAACAGAGAATTCTGCATTGTTCAAGTATGTGCTTGCATGTGGATACATTTAAAAAGAGGACATTTGTAGGCTGCCCGGGTCACTGGTCCTTGGTGACATTTCTCTTGTATCTGTTGCATCATCATAGTGAGGGAGGCGATGAACTGTACTATCAATGTTAAGTTTACCACAGTATGTGAGTATGTCCCGTCAATCAGGTGTGGAGGTAATTATCAGACAAGCAGGACGGCGTTATGTTGATCTGCTTTAGGGCCTTTACACAAAGGGACCTTCAAGGGAAAAAGAGGACAAGGAAAAAAATAGACAGAAGCAGAATATTGGTAAATGAGGAAATGTTTGATGACTTCTGACATTTTGCCCATTTTCATAATGGAACATTTAAACGTCTTATTTCAGTTGGGTAACTCACAGGAGAGATTATGGGACAGTGTGCTTCAGTGTAGTGCTACTGCACACTGCACTGTACGGTACCGCAGCCCTCTAATGTTGTCAATGTCACTGAGAGCATCAGTTTTCTCTTAATTTGCTTTATTTAAAAGCATTGCGTTTGTTGCTCTGTTTTACGGAAGCTTTTGCAAATGACTTTGACTTTTGGTGCATTGTCAGTTGACATGTGGGACGTAAGGTACAGGAGGAGGAAGAAAGAACATCTCACATGTGTGATCAGTCCTGGAGGTGTGGCTAAAGTCAAAGGTCATATTCAATTCATTTCAATTTATTTTTCTCTGTAGCCCAAAATCACAAATCATGTGACATCTTCTGTCCTGTAATCTGCTCGTCGGCACAGGAGAAACTCGCCCCAAATGGGAAGAGTCTCTTAAGAGAATAATGCTGCTCACCAGACATCGTAGCTCTGACCAATATATGTTATCAAGCTGTATTATGCATATGCAGGATTCATCAGAATACTACAGACTAAAAGCAGTGTAGCTCATGAAGTGGACAATAAAAGTGTGTACCACTATCAGAGATGAGAAGATAAAAGGAAGTGAAACAGTGAATGTAAAACAGAGATGTGGCGTGAGGAGAAAAGTGCAGATGACGCTCAATGTTCCTGCAAGGATCCACATCGCACAGCAGGCGTTTCACATGTGCTGCTTAGTGTGGCGTATTTGTCTGTGTGTGGTTCTGTCAGCTTGGTCCCTCAAAGACATTTTTCCCTGCTTTTCTTTTCCTACAGAGAGAGAGAGAGAGAGAGGGAGAGAGAGGGAGAGAGAGGGAGAGGGAGAGAGAGGGAGAGGGAGAGAGAGAGAGAGAGAGAGAGAGGGAGAGACTGGAGCCAGCAGTCTGGAACGAGCATGACAGAATTTGAATTATAGAAGCAGCAAAGAGGAGAGGGAGCGGGGGAGGGTGTTTCTGTGTGTGTGCGTGTGTGTTTCTGTGTGTGTGTGTGTGTTTCTGTGTGTGTGTCTGTTTCTGCTGTGTGTGTGTGTGTGTGTGTGTGTGTCCGTTTCTGTGTGTGTGTGTCTGTTTCTGTGTGTGTGTGTGTGTGTGTGTATGTGTGTGTGTCTGTTTCTGTGTGTATGTGTGTGTGTCTGTTTCTGTGTGTGTGTGTGTGTGTGTGTGTCTGTTTCTGTGTGTGTGTGTGTGTGTGTATGTGTATGTCTGTTTCTGTGTGTGTGTGTGTGTGTTTATGTGTGTGTGGTCTGTTTCTGTGTGTGTGTGTGTGTGTGTGTGTGTGTGTGTGTGTGTGTGTCTGTTTCTGTGTGTGTGTGTGTGTGTATGTGTGTGTGTCTGTTTCTGTGTGTGTCTGTGTGGCAGAGAAACAGAGGGAGAGAGAGAGAGAATCATTGGCAGTGTAGTCTACATGTTTAAATGCTATCCATAGCGTAATGTAGCATAATGATGAATTTATATCTTAATTGTTAATCTGTCAATGTTGTTAAGATGTTTTTATTTACCATGTATACAGTCATAGTTTAGCATGCTTGCTCAATAACGGTTGCTTATTAATAGTAGACACATTCCTGCTGAGTTATGCAGCTATCTGGTCGTAAAGCAGAGTACTGGACAAATTGCATTTATTACACTTGGTCTGGGGTCTGGATATCTTAAGCAAATTTCATGTAATTCTATCCAGTATTTAATCTACTGACTGCTTTGTAAACATATCAGCGTAACTACAATATGCTCGTGACATAAAAGGAGCAGAAGCACTGCTTATGGCAGTAGAGAGATGGATGGAAACAACAGATGCAGGATTTACCCCCAGGAGAACCGTGTCCCAATGTGTCGTTGACAACGTGACATTAAGTGACACACAGAAAGCAGTTTCATTAACATCAACCTCGTGGAGTATAAATGAAATGCAGAAAACTAGAAACGCATGCTGATGGCACACACTGAAATGATGCGGTTGTTTCAAGTTTATGTTCTTTTGCAAAACCTTACAAATTGTTCCTTGTCTGAACTTAACTACCCGTCCAGAACGGAGGCTCGAGGGTCCGTTAGAGCGCCACAGTTTGAATCCTCTCAGTGCTCCAACAACATGGCAGTTTGTTGCCCAAGTGATGTTGTTGTTGTTGTTGTTCTTTGATAAACTGACGACAACAGGAAAACTAAGTATGAGCCTTACATCCACATTATCTATAGAGAAGACATTGCATCTTGTAAAGTTAATATAATCTTTTTAGCCATTAGTTTAAAGACACTTGTGGGCTGCATTGGAATAGTCCTTTTTACTTATGAAGGTTCCTAACTGAGTAAAATGACCCAGAAGTAGTGTGAGAGCTGTTCAAAGTCTCCAATGCTACGGAAAGGAGCTTCAGGGCTTCCTGATTTAGCTCCTATAGCGTAGGAACTACTGGACCATTCTTTGCAGCTGCAATATTTAAATAATGACGTGTCATTCGGCCGTTCACGAGAAATAACGGAAATAACCGAGACATGCAGACATTTTGGGTTTCTCTGTGCACCAGTGCCAGTAACCGTTACAATCTTTGGAGAAATTGTAGCGTGGCTGCTGCAGACTAACGTCACTAACATGCGTCTCCCGTCGCCTCAGAACCATGAAGCTTAGTGAAAGTGGAGTCAGATTCCCTAAACACCGGTTTTCCCGACCATCTTTCCTTGACCCTTTGACATAATAGACGTTAGGAGGTCATTTGTTGGACTATACGAATCCAGCCGAGGTGTCCAAAGGCAAATGCTCCTGTGTGTTCTGCAGCTTCTCTAACTGTGTTGGCCGGTTGTTTGACTGCATACGCTGAAAAACAGACTGTTGTTTTATGTGAAGACTGGTTGGTTTGATTGCATGCAGAATCTCAGAAGTTCTCAAGGGGACATCATTGCACATTTTTTTTGTGTTTGCTTCTAAATTGAAGGAGAACCAACACTCCACTCCAGGCTCTTTAAGGAGCAGAGCAGCGCGCCTGCCGTCAATTCCGGGACGCACACACAAGAAAAACTCGGGTAAAGAGTTTTGGCTGGAGCATGTTAATGATTCCCAGCGCCTGAGGATGGAAGCTGTCCTGAAGAGCGGCGCTCCATCAGTTGATCCTTTTCTTATCCCTCCCTCCACACAGCAGCAGGGGGAACATCTCGTGTCTGGGTGGCTTCAGTCTTTTAATGTTCTTTGAGCTTTTCTCAGACTCCTCTTCTCACCAGAACCATTGATGGTCGGTAGTTCGGTACCAAAGGGTGTTCTGTGTGGTTTTAATGACCAGCTGTAGAGCCCTCCTGTCCTGGACCGTGAACATCGCGTAATAGTTTGTAACGTTTCCAGTGAGGAGGCTTTCTGTTCTGTAGAAGTTTACAAGAACAGGAGAATAAGTACGGGAATTAAAGCTTCTCAGGTTTCCTTTAGAAATAGAGCTGTTGACATTTTGTCTTGTCCAAGAAGCGGCGCTAATCAGGTTGTCTCGTGTCCATGTTGTTGTTTCATTTTGAAAACCTTCCCCCTGTGTGCGACTGTCTGCCCTGCCCCTGCTTGTTTCCACCTGTCCCCGTTACCCCGTGTGTATCTATTGTCTGCGTCTCCCTTTGTCCTGTGCCACTTCCTCTTGTCCCGTGTCACAGAGAACCCGTGTGTACCGATGTCCACTGGCAAGCCTTGCTTGTACCTTATTCTGGCTCGCTTTCTGTTAATTCCTTTTTCAGCCATATTGTTTCTTTTCTAGACCCTTTTTGCTCTTAGATTTAGTATTGGGTTGTTTCTCCTACCAAAAGTGATTTTCATTTGCTGCCTCTTGTTAATAAACCTTGATTTTGAACATCGTCTCAGGAGTTCAGGGCCATTGTCCGCTCGTGACACCTTTATTCACCTGGATGGAGATGATTCTGGACCATGTCAGGTTATGTGTGATCTTCTCCTTTTTTGTACACTCAACAGTCAGCTCCTTGTTTATAAGGTTGACAAACCGCTGGTGGGGAAAACAATAAGAGCCATGTTGCAATAAACCATAATTACCCTATCGAGGTACTAAGTCAGTGTTGTGTGTTTGGATTTAAATAGTGATCTGAAAGACAAATGAGTGTTATCATTAAATATGCTGTATGTTTTAACACAGATCCTCTTTCCTTGGCTTTTTAGAAAGAAATACATGTGGGAATGACAAGTGAAGAGGTAAACTATTTCCCCCCCCATCAGTCTCCACATTATGTATACCTCTGTATATCTGTCTCACACTCTTTGTCATTCCTGACACCACAGCAAGACGGGTCACACTGTATTTGTTAGAATACATCAGCAACAGTAACATTCTGCAACCCATCAAAGTGCTGTGATAAAACCAGCCCAAAGATATCACCTCACTGAACACTGCCAGTCAGAGAGAAAGAGAGGTGAGGTGTGTGTGCTGTAGAGGAAGGAACATTCCAGAGAAGTTACAGACAAAAGGAGAAACTGAGAGGGACAGACATCGTTGTAATGACTGCTTGCAACTTGATACTCCTGCATACTGAATACTCCACAGAGGGCTTTTTCCATTACTCCAGAACGTTGCAGCAATTTAGCTGATCCAGCCCACATTTTCCTCTCTTTCTTTCTTTCCTTTTTGCACTCCCTCCCTACCTCTTCTTTGCTGTTTTACACAGGACACATAGTGCAAATGTAACCTTTTGCAAGCCCAAACTCCCCCCACCCTCCATCTCCAGGAAGCTGGCTCGCCACTTTGCTGCCAAGAAATATGAAACACTGGCAGCCTGCCCGTTTCATCTGCAAGCCCACAGTGGGGAGGGAGGCGGGGGGGAGGGGGGAGGGAAGCAGCAGGGGATGGAGGGAGGGGGTGGAGGTGATACAGAGGAGAAGGAAACGCTGAAGCTGTGCTTGCCACGAGGAGAAAAAAAAATCAAAAGCAGAGCAGAGAGAAAGAGAACTGCAGAGAGATAAGGATGCATTTTACTTGCATGAGAAGGAGCCACATTACTGACTGAAGATAAATCGTATGGAACGTTTTCTTACCTGCAGCAAACCCCACACAGCCACTGAGGAGCAGACGCCACACACACGTATTCGTATTCGTATTAATACTGCATTGGTAATAATAATAACAAAAATAATGTGGAATATCAGCAGTCCATTCATGGTTTATGGTAGGAAAAATAAAACCCTAAATATCATTCAACGTGAGCAGAAAACACAGTTTTTATAAGTGAGTTGCCAGCGTCAATGAAGTCGTAGGGAATATAAAATGTCACCCTCCTCTAGTTGTCGATACATTATCGACTCACTGCTCAGCCATTCTGGATAACTCACACCACATCCGCCTGTCCATGATAATCACTGATAAAAGCTGTCTGGAAATTCGGCCCAAATGTAAAACGTAGGTAACATTGTACCCTTCATCTGGAGAAAGGAATAGGGTTCCGGTTAAAAGTGTACATTAGTTTATGACATTTTGGCACAAAGGTCCATGGTAGGCTGATGGTGATAGCGTTGGAACAGCCCATGTCAAGGATGTTAAGGAAGTTAAGTTGTGGAATCACAGAATGTCCAGATATGATGCGGCTATCTTACAGTTTTTGGAGTCGATCTGGATGTTAAAATAGCCGACGAGGGTAGATGGTGGACCAGAGCTGGGTCAGAAACTCATGTAGGTCACCACTAAGGAAGGTAGGGTTGGGTTTGGAGGGTGGTAGGTACAGGAAATGACCAGAGAGTTTGAATGTCAGGTGTTTTACTGCAATGCTGGTATGGATGAATTAGAGCGTGGAAGCCACGAGACGGCAGGCGAGCTGGTAGCTAGAGGAGGGCAGTCATGGGGGGCAAGGATGTTGTATTCATTCTCCAGCTGGAAGTTGAGGTGATGAAGGGAGACGGGCGGCTTCCCTCTCCAACTCTTGTGAGCACGAACCAAGGACCAGGGTTTATGGTGGGATGGAGTACGGCTGACCCGGGTTAGGGTTAGCCTTGAATCACAGCAGTGAGTCCTCGGGGCCTGTGGCCGGGGGAGAGGCATCAGCAGCAAATGGCACCAGTTGTATTGGTTTTGGCCAGATGGAAGGTAAGAGTGTCAGAGTTGTTTTCCTTTCAGCAATGTGATTTTATGCTGTTCAGCTGACAGTTGGATGGAAAAGTCAATGGAGCCATTGTAGATGTGGCTGCTGGGGAGGAGACATACAAAGAGGAGTAAGAGGGAAGGGCGAAAAGTGCATACAAGTATACCAGTTTAACAGTTTAGTGGCAGGTAGACGGTGGTCACAGGAACTTGGACCTGGTGCAGATGTAAGCTTCAGCTTTTTACCTTTTTCTGGATGGAGACAAATTGCATTTGCATCCCACATAGTAAGCTTCACAGCTAAAAACAAGGCAGTTGGAGGCGGCTGTGCGATCTGACGTACATTAAACTTGTGAGCACACACGCTGCCTCACGTCTCGTCTTCTCAGAGTGAGTACTCTTGTAGGAGTACATAGGAAAAATGTCATTACTGCAGTCCAGCCTGGAGGAGACCAACAGTTTGTCTGTGTCTGATACAATAGATTTTACTACATGTCTTTATGGGGTAAATTGTTGTTCTAGTTGTACTTGTAATGCGAAGTTGAGTTTCTAATCCAAGCAGGGTTTCCAATCTTGTCACTTACTGTCTGGAACGGCAAGATCCATTTGAAGTGGATCTCCTATCGCTGACTTTTCGATTCTACCCCAAGGATCTAAGCTGAGTGCTTATGTAAATGCAGACACTTTCAATGTCAGTGTGTCACCGATACACAGATTTATTTATAGGGTTGATTGTTGTCACAAGAAAGAGAAATATATCTTGGGTAATTATTCGTATATACAGTGCTGTGAAATAGTTTTGCCCCTTCATAGTTTCATATTTTTTGTCACACTTAAACAATCATCATTTTTCTAAGAGACAAATATAACCTAATCACATAAAAGCTGCATAATTTAACTATATTTAACTAATTTAACTATAACCAAGAGTGCTGAGAGGAGAAATCAGGTATGTTGTGTCTTTCTGCAAGCTCTTCCTGTGTTTGGGATTTCTCAGAATGATGCTCTTCCTGTCTGTTGCCTGGCAACACTGAAGGACAAATAGATGAGGTGATGAGTGAAGGTAAGGCTGAGGGATATAGGCGGATAAAATGGAGAAAGGGAGTGTGTGTATTTGTCATGCATTTATGTTGATAATTGTATACTGTGAAGTTTTGAACTTCGGATCAAGGAATCCTCCTTTTACTCCTCCTTTTACCAAAAAGAATCAACTGGTTAAAATGATCAAGAAGAATTTGAAAAGAATTTCATAACAGAAGCAATACAATTACAAAATGAAATACCATCTGGCAGGGTTGTCCTGCATGCTTTGCTCATGAACAACCTGACAGGAGACAAAACTACCAAAAAAGCCTCTTTTGGAAGAAAACTGTGAGAAATCCATCAAATAAGGAATAAGACTTTCTTCCCCTTGGCTCTAACGCTACATTGTGGCAGGTGTTATGTGTACAGTACTTAAAGGACTTCAATGTCTAAAAATTGTGTTTAATTCATATTGGAGTTATTTAATTTAACATACTAATGTAATGACTAATAACACAAAAACTATAATTCTAACACTAATCATTATCACACATGTTATAATTGCCACCATGTGCTCTTCTGCTTAAATCCCTAACAGTACAGGTGGACATATAGCTGCTCAAGATCATCATTTGTTGTGTTCTTTTGAGGGGTTCACGCTTTTACGTTCACTTCAAATGTTATTTTTCATTACAGCCAACAGATTCCACTGATTTATTTCATTTAGACCACAAAGGCAGAGAAACCTTAACATGGATGGACCAATAAGAAGTTATCATGACTCCCCCCCAAAGATCGCACAGTAAAGCGCAACAAACTGCTTAATTGCAACGTTACATTCAAGCATCATCACAGATCTCCTCCACCAGCATTATTCTCTCTAACATTTCATTAATGGTCCATTAAGTAATTTACGTTCTGGAAAAATATCTGCGGAATCAGCAAACTACTAGTTTATCGAAATTGACGTTGTGATTGATAACGATAATGTACATTAATTGATGATTTATAACATTAAGAACCACAGATTTGATAGTTTTCTACCACTGCAGTGCTTTGTCAGGTCTGCAGCTTTAAGTACAATCTTTATCTTGACTTTGATAGTCACTAATAGAAAGGTGTTTCCATTGTACATGTTCTTTAGATTAGTTAATTTTGCATTGGGGCCCTTTGGTCCTCCATGTCCTGTTCTGGGGTCAGAAATAAAGAGACCACTGCTCAGAGAATATGTCATGCAATTAAAATCTCAAATTGCAGAATTTTCTTCCATTCTCACATCTGGTCCATTGAAGGCTCCGTGTCTCTTAAGTGTGAGGATGCAAGAAATGTCAGAAATGACAAAACAAATCCCAAGAGCAAGAGAGGAGGCTACAGGAAAGAGAAGGAACCACCAGAGGAGACTATGTGCACTCCCGAAACTAGACAGGGAGAGAGCAGGAGGTTGGAGAGGAGATAGAAGGATCAATATCTAATTTCAGTGCTAAGTTCACCGTGGACAGTTTCCCAATGAGACTGGGAAAGAACATGTCTCTCCCCCTCTCTGCGTCTGACGTTCACTATGTACTGCCTTGGACTGTTTTCCACCAGCTAATGGCGTCTCTGCCGAGACAAAGAATGAGCAGCACCTCCTGTATTTCCACGCACTGCTAATCACAGTGAATCAAAAGGGCTGCAGTGCTGTGGGAAACCTAAGCCGAGCTCACCGTGTCGATTGGGTTAGGAGTCTATATCATGAAAGCAAATCGTATGGACATGAATAAGGACATTCAATTGCATTTAGACAGAGTAAACGGGGAGAAGGTTGGATGTGGCACATACCATATGACGGCGATGTCACAGGTTGGGTTTCAAAACTTTAAACCTTGATTACTACTTTTCTGAAAATAAACCAAAATGTTGACTAAGTTACCACACAGCCAATGTGTGGTCAGCTATATAGTTTCATTCATTCTATGGTTACTTTTCCTGGTGTGTGATAACTACAGTGTCAAACGATCTCTCTATCTGAAACTATATGATCGTGAGGCATGAACATTTACATCTTCAGCAGGAACCGAGGGGCTGGAAGGGGGGGGGGTCATAAAGTATAAGGTCATTGGTTATTTTTTTTCCATTGTCACGTTTTATTGTCAATTGGAAAAAATAATACTAAAAAAAACAGTACAGTTGGTGATATGTATTACTATTTAATAATAAAAACAAACATTTTTCACTGAAGCTGTTTTTGTTTGGGTCAGGCAGGCGCTGAGTCAATTTATTTCTACTGTGTGCCTCTTTGCAGCCTGAACCCAGCAGTGAGAGCGGGACGGGGTTTACCTGAAATATTTATGAGAGAACGCACCAGAGCAGCGGCGCAGCAACCACATCCGAAGCCTCGCTTTCTCTCCCTCCATCTCTGTCCTCTCCTCGTCCCTCCACGAGTCTCCTATCCACAATCTCTCTTAATGTGTTAGTAAAATGTGTTTTTGTCTCAATTATTTACCCAGATCCACTCTGGTTCCATTTATCTCTTTCCACTCAGACTTCTCCTCACGAGAGGAGCGTATTCCAGCGGCGGCGAGTGTTGTTCTGCTGGTTGTTTACTGTGTGGGCCCGGCCCACGTGGGCCTGTAATGAAAGTACCCTGTTCAGATTGGGACTTCTCACACATGACACAACCTTGCAGACAGAGTCTGCTTGCACTGATCATAGTGATTTTATAAGCTGTTTAGATAAATCTAATAACTGTACGAAATACAATATTCACTTCACTCAAATGTTCCAATCGAAGATCTTTCCAGTACACATCTTCATTTGGGAGGGTTTAATATATTACAACCTGCTCTGGATGTGCAGGGCGTAAAACGGGCTGAGAAACACTGAAGACTTGTGCTACAGTCCCTGTTTTTATATTAACGCTGTTTCAGATGGCAGAGAGTGAAGAGGGCTGCTCATAGCGATGAAGTTCCCCCACAGAGCTTTATAGCGTCTTTCAGCTCGCGGTTTTGCTTCACGTTCTCCTCTGTGGTCCTGCATGTCTTTGTCGGGCTCCGCAGGCTCACGTGTTCAGTGGAAAGCTTTGACGAAGCCTCCGTACACTTTGTGCTGAGCAGCCAACAGCATGCAGAGTCTGAGGAGCATGCAGCGGCTGAACGGACGGATCTTCACCCAGGAGTACAGTACAGAACATTACATTCATGAAGGACAGGACACTTATTAAAGAAATACTCCCACGATGTGATGTCAGATAACATTCCCTCGCATCAGGACTTGCAAACTAGGTGGAAGCCTTTACCTCCTGCAGGGTTTCCTCCGCGTGATGAGCCAGTGAGTCGGAGAGGAGAGAGGTGGATGAGGAAGACCTCGTAGGACTCCTTATACCTACAATGAGAATCTATTTATGTCCCCTATATCTTACAGTCTAAACATCTGCTGCTGATTAATGTATCACACATATATTTGAACTGGGTGAATGTGGTGATATTCACAGTTTCCCGCATTCATTACACACAAAATAAGGGAGTGAACATGTGAATGTGGAAAATGAGATGCAGCCCGAGACTCCAGGCTGTTTCCACTCAAATAGAAATTCTAAATTTACTGAAATCTTAACATCTCAACATTTTATATTCCAACTGGAGGTCTTGCCTCCTTGATGAAGCCTGATGACAGCCCACTGATCACCACCACCACACACACGGTTATTAGCTACGCTGAGATACCTGCTAATAAACTGGGAAACAGCCTTGTTGCCATGGCTACCCTAGCGCACGTGTTCACACAGGAGAAGTTCCTTACCCAGTGTTCACATAAGCTCCTTTCAGTGTGCCGTTGATGTTCCACACACGGAGCCGGCAGGATGTTCGTCTCATCTGTGAGGAAATCAAAATCAACAGCGGAGCGAATTAAGCTACTATTACACCACTGTAATTAGTATACATATTGCATGTTATTAGTATTATTATAGCATAGAGACACAGTAATATTGACCCTTATGTACGTACATTATGATTCCTTTTGAATGAGGATCTGTCTCACTTTCACATATCGACCTTTCGATGCATCCTCACACAACATTGACCATATTCTTATACAGCCTACGCGGTACATACTTGCTCTCTCCCTTTCCTGCAAGCAGCATATACTGCGCGGCCCATACGGGCATGAACACATCTCCATGGTCAAATCCTCAAGCTGAGCTCAATGGATGAATCAGTAGCGTGACTGATAAAAAAAGATGTTCCAACCTACAAAGCGCTGGGCACACTGGGGAAGTTCAGACAACATCAAGAGAGTTAAAGACGAGTATGTAAAGTGTGTAATATGTACATAAAGTCACACGGGATCTGGCTGCTCTGTGTTCTGGTTCCACTGCACGAAAGAACAAAAGGAACTCGGGACACACGTCTGCCTGTTACTCTGAACCTTTAATATTGGTTTACAGAACTAAATGATAGAGACTGAACAGAACACAGTTGGAAGCAGCGTCTCGGGGAACAAGGAGGGACTGCAGAGTTTGTAACTCTGACACAGACATTCTTTATGTGAAAAGGTGGAGAGTTCGGACTTGTTTCCACCTCCCAGTGGTCCCAGTGGTTCCAGCGGAGGAGACGCCGTGGCAGTAAGAAATTCGACACACAGTTGCTTTAAAAAAGCTCAACGTCAGACCGAGTAATTGTAACCCAGGCTTCTTCAGGAGCTTCCAGTCATATCGAATGGCTTTCGTTGGCAGATGGAATGTCCTCCGAGGACAAAATGAACTGTAGTCAGAAATATGTCTTAATAGACGTACGTTTGTTTGGTATTCCCCTAATGTGTAACAATCTTCTCACTTGCGCGACAATTGTTTAGACTAATGCAACCAATGTGAATGATGAATGAGAGTGGATCAGTGTTTGTAGAAAGCACACACACACACACACACACACACACACACACACACACACACACACACACACACACACACACACACGGTGACATGTCACATATCCGTATAGTTTCACAGCCACTGAGAGGAACAGCATAACTTCATCTGAGGGGAAGCTGTGTCTCTGTACTGTACTGCCCCCCAGCGCTCTGCGTGCTGCACTGAAGTGTGTCCTGTGCACAAGGCAAGCGCGTCAGTCTGAGAAGGGAGTTTACTTCTATGCTTTTCCTCTTTCTGTGCACATTTTCTCCCGAATCAACAAACAGATTCATTTATAGATCAGTGGGGAACTAGGCTCAGTTTCTTAAACCCTGTGTGTGTTTTAATTATAATCTTGATCCAGCAAAAGTGAAGAGACACGGAATCAGCCCTCTGCGTGTAAACGTCTGAATGATGCACTCTATTGACACAGAGATGGGAAAGTGGCAGGTTCCTTTTTCAAAACGGCATAAACTGATCCTAGAACAGCGTGGAGCCGCCTGCTCATCCACATGCAAATGAAAATAACTTAGCAGAACACGGCGACTTGAAAGTAGCACAGCGTCTTAAATAAAATGATGCGTCTTTTTATCTCTGCAATTGTGCAATTGACGATAAGGGGATTCTGTATTTGCTCATTTAGTTTTGATAACGTGCCGCGGCCGGTCTGACTAACCAACGGGAACAACGTGTGAGCTACTCGGCTCATTCCAAGCCCTCACCGGAAACTGGGTTCTCGGTTTGTTTATGTCCGCGTGCACGGTGACACGTCCGTCCGTGTCTGTTGTTTCAGCGTTGCCATGGCACCCTGCGTCACGTCATGCGAACAACACGTCAGTCAGTGATCGCGTGTAGCACTCGTGAACAGCGGTCTGATTCAACGTTCCACCAACATGATTCATTCACGTGCATGTGTTTTGGAGACAAAAACAAACACAACTACATTTCCCAACACGGCTCGAGTCCTAAACGATCCTCACGATTGGCACGACAGCAACACGCACCTGCGCGCGGCCGCCAGCGGGGGCGCTGCGGTCACGGCTCCTCGCGAGCAAATAAGGAGATGACGTCACGCGTGCTCTCGTCGCCTGGTGCCGAGTCTCTCAGGGAAGCTGGAGAAGTGAAGCGGGCCGGCCTGCGGGGAGGAAGAGGAGGAAGAGGAGGGCGAGCGACCTGCTGCTGCTCACGCAAGGCGAGAAGTAAGAGCGGTCATCAAAAACGCGTTCAGGAAGTTTAGTGCGTCACCTTCGAAAAAGAGCTTTCACCGGCTAGTTAGCTGCTTGGCTAGAACTAAGTTAGCACGTGCACGTGGAGTTACGTCCCCAAGTGGCCGTCGAATCCAGGCTGTTACTGACGAACTGTATTTCAGTAGAATAGAAGAGTAATGTTCACTTGCAATGGTGGGACACATGTGTTAATGGACCCAAAGGTTGTCGAGAGATACCGTAACACGTTGAGCTTTAACGCCTATAAATAGAGCTAACGTCGCGTGACAGGCGGTCCGGCGTGAACGTCCATGACGTATTAATATGCCTCTGTCCTGGTCACGTGAGGGGTGTGTCTGTGTGTGTGTGTGTGTGTGTGTATGTGTAAATATACACCCTCACCGGCCACTTTAATGGGTGCACCTTGCTAGTAAAAGGTTGGACCCCCTTTTTCCTCCAGAAGTTCTTTATTCTTTCTTGGTGCGAACTTTCAACAAGGTTTTGTAAACATTCCTCACAGATGCTGATCCCTATTGACATGATAAGGTCACACAGTTGCTGCAGATTTATGAATCTTCCACCACGTCCCAAAGCTGTGATGCTTTGGTACTTTTCATCACATTTCACCGTGTTATCTGTGTACCAGGACGGGATGGGGGACATAGCAGATGGTGAGGGAAGCTTCTACTCCAACGCGGAGGACTACTGGAGGGAGGTCCCGCCCACAGTGGATGGCATGCTGGGAGGCTACGGGAGCATCTCCAGCATCGATATCAACGGATCCAAGGCCTTCCTGCAGAAGTTCCTTGGGGTGAGAAACCTTCTGAGGTTTCAGACAGACTCCCTGTACAACAAAATGCTTCATTTAACTGATATCAGATGTACTTCAAGTTGTTCAGCGTTGCAGACCAGCGGAGAAACAACAGATGAAAGATACCACATATTCAAATATCAAGACAACGATTTGCCCGACAGGTTTTCATCAGTGTACATTTGACTGCTGATGCTACATTGTTATCTACCACACTTCAGAGGGAAATGTTGTTTACATATATGAAATACAATGCATTGTTACACATTTGACCACTAAACCCATCTATACTATTCAAAATCTACCATTATTCAGTGTTTTTTCCCTGCATGTTCTCCTACATGAATACAGGGCTGTTACAAGAAAATGAGCCGTTTTCCTGTTTCAGAACCGCTCGTGTCGCTGCTTCTATTCACTAGCGACCTGTTGTGTTTTTTATTTTTTGTGCGTAAGGACGGGGACGGGAAGACGGGCACGGACTGCGCTCTGGATTGTGGCGCAGGCATCGGTAGGATCAGCAAACGTCTTCTGTTGCCTCTGTTCAAGACTGTGGACCTGGTGGACGTGACTCAGGAGTTTCTAGACAAAGCCAAGACGTACCTGGGAGAAGAGGGAAAGCGAGTGGGGAAGTACCTCTGCAGCGGCCTGCAGGACCTCGTGCCGGAGAGTGGACGCTATGATGTCATCTGGATCCAATGGGTCATCGGTGAGTCGGCCACAATGTCTGTCATCAGGAGAGGGGGGACACAGAGTATGTAACATGCACGTTTGTCTTTGTTTTCAGCAAGTATGTTTGACTTAAATCAAGATGATCTTGCAGGTTTTCCCACCTACAAAGAATGTAGGGGTCTGTCATGTTGATCATCGGTACTCTTCAACTGAGTGACGGAATCTAAAACAAATCCAGAAAATCATATTGTATGATTTATAAGAAATTATTTCACATGACTCAAGTATTTGATCTACCAACCAGTAAGAAAACTGGCTCTCACAGACCTGTTAGTTTGTCTTTAGGAAGCCCTCCTGTTCTAAACTCGTTACCTGTATAAAAGACACCTGTCCACACACTCAATCAGACAGACTCCAACCTCTCCGTAATGGGGGAGGCCAGAGAGCTGTGTAAGGACATCAGGGATACAATTGTAGACCTGCACAAGGCATGGATGGGCTACAGGACAACAGACAAGCAGCTTGCTGAGAAGCAACAGAAACAACTGTTGGCGCAAGTATTAGAAAATGGAAGAAGTTCAAGATGGCGGTCGATCTCCCTCTGTCTGGGGCTCCATGAAGGATCAGCCCAGAACTACACGGCAGGACCTGGTCAATGACCTGAAGAGAGCTGGAACCACAGTCTCAACTAAAACCCATTAGTACCACTACGCCGTCATGGATTAACACCCTGCAGCGCACACAAGGTTCCCCTGCTCCAGCCAGCGCGTGTCCAGGCCCGTCTGCCAATGACCAATGACCAGTTTGACCCCCTGGATCAGCGGCCGCGCATGCGTGAGGACGTTCTGTAATTCTCACAATAGCGAAGTCATCTGGCGGGCCGTCCAGACTCCGGCGATGGGCCATTCCTTATAAGAGGAAGGGGTATCAAATCCTCTGATTAGTTAGAACTGCAAAGTAACAATTTCAATATCTTTTTGAGAAAAAGTGTACGGTTAGTGTGACCATGTTGAGTACATTTATTAAGCTATATCACCTACGTATCATTATGCTGAACTGTGATATTAGGTTCTGAAGACAATGAATCTAAAAGCTTTCCTCCTGATTTTGTCCTTCAGGCCACCTAACCGATGCCCATCTGGTGGACTTCCTGCAGCGATGCCAGAAAGCCCTGCGGCCCAACGGCCTCATTATCATCAAGGACAATGTGTCTTATGAGGGCGTGGTCCCCGATGAGGTGGACAGCAGCGTCTGCCGCGACCTGCAAATAGTTCATCGTCTGGTGGGCAGAGCAGGCCTCCGCATTGTGCATGCAGAGCAACAAACTAACTTCCCAAAGGAGATTTACCAGGTCCACACTCTGGCTCTCAGATAGGACCTTCCCTCCTCCCTGGGGTGCTGAGGGGGTATGCGGTATTTCTAACGCGTTTCCTAGTTTGATCTGCCGTCGCTGTTTGTTTGACGCTAACTCTGTCCGTCGGCCTTTTACTCTCCTCCAAGTGCTGAGTCATCTCTTCTGACACACGAATCGTCCCTCGAATTGATTTCAGTTCAAGATGGCTGAATGGAAGCATGCATTTCTTAGGTCAGTGTGATGTTCGGTGGAAAGGTCCAAGTTCACATCGCACAGCCAGCCAATAGAAACTGGTAACGGAGTAAAGCTGGTAAAAGTCCTTGTCCTCTTGCTGTGTGATCATCAGACCTCAACCCAACTGCACAACCTTTCCAGAGCGCTCAGTTGGTCATCAGGGCAGCGTCTGTAAACTGAAGGCTGCTGCATCATTTCCTGCTTCTAAATGTCACTGGTTTCACAAGCGGAGCACTCTATTCTCACAAAGACACACCTCCAGTGTTATGGACATTTTTGATGGACATTTTACAGTTTATTAAAGACCCATTTGCAGATTCATGTGTCTACAGAAACAAGTATTCCTTCATTTTTAATTTTCGATGTCTCGATCAACTTTCTGGGCCCTGAAACATGTTGATTAAATAATTAAAAAGCTGACTGAACAGAAGGCGGTGAGAGACGACGGAGATGGAGAGATTTTGAGGTGTACTTTTACCTGTAAACCCGTCTTTTTGCAACCTCTGCTGTTGGGTGACAATGTCCGCTGACTGAGCAGCGTTCCAGCCACACGGTTGGAGACGATGGCTGCTGACTAGCTGTCAGAGGGGATCCGTGGTGAACAGTGGGACCACCTACTGATGCGTGCAACCTGCTTAAATGACAAACCATCCTGACTATCTATGGATCTAGGAGAGTTGCTGACCCCCTTTACATCATCTTGTGGGTAAACCAATAATTTTAAAGATAGTTTGATAAATGACTTTTATGCTAAATACTTAATGAATGGGATCGAATGAAGGCATCAGGCAGAGCTAAGAGACATTATTTTATTATTTATAAATTGATTAATATATAAATTCACCTTTCATATTCAACTCAATGTACTATCTCAACAGGAACATGCAGGCTTCATGTGCCTCAAATGTGTACAGTAGATCAAAATGGTTGCTTTTGCAGTTTTCCAATTTGATTATCTCCTGAGATGTAGATGGATTTGCAAAATTATTTGGCAACCTAAAAAAATCCTGCAACCCATGTGAGTTACTGCAGTACACTGCTGAGGTGTTAAAACTGATAGTTAGCCGGTGCAGCGTTTCTACCCTTTACAACACTTGTTCGGCTGTGCAGGAAACACGCGGTAAATCCTCTTAACTGAATCCAATGTGTATTCCAGAAATACATCGTGGGTCGAGTTAAATTTAGATCTAGAGATATATATAGATCTAGATTCCTGGATATCTATATCTTGATATATCTAGATATCCAGGTATCTAGATCTATATACCTATATCTAGATCAATCTTGATAGAGCAATCTAGATACCTATCTAAATTGATCTCGATAGATCAATCTAGATTCCTATCTACCTAGATAGGAATCTAGATACCTGGATACCTATAGATCGATCTAGATATCCTGGTATCTAGATCGATCTAGGTATCTAGATCGATCTAGGTATCTAGGTATCTAGATCGATCTAGGTATCTAGTTCTATATATACCTATATCTATCTAGATAGATCTAGATGCCGATCTAGATAGATCTAGATGCCGATCTAGATAGATCTAGATGCCGATCTAGATAGATCGATCTAGATAGATATATATATATATATATAGATCGATCTAGATAGATCGATCTAGATATATATAGATATATATATATATCTAGATCTAGATCAATCTCGTTAGAGCAATCTAGATACCTATCTAAATTGATCTCGATAGATCAAGCTAGATTCCTATCTATCTAGATAGGAATCCTATCTATCTAGGATCTGGGTATCTAGATCTAGATACCCAGATACCCAGGTATCTAGATTGATCTAGATACCTATCTAGATTGATCTAGATACCTATCTAGATTGATCTAGATACCTATCTAGATTGATCTAGATGCCTATCTAGATTGATCTAGATGCCTATCTAGATAGATCTAGATACCTCTAGATATGTATACCTATATCTATCTAGATCGATCAATCTAGATACCTATCTAGGTAGGTAGGTATCTAGATCTATAGATCCATCTATAGATATCTACCAGGTATCTAGATAGATCTAGATCTATCTAGATATATCTAAATACCTATCTAGATATCCAGGTATCTAGATCTATATATATATATACCTATATCTATCTAGATACCTATCTAGATAGATCTAGATACCTAGCTATACCTATCTAGATACCTCTAGATAGGTATCTAGATACCTATCTAGATATTTAGATATGTATACCTAGATCGATCAATCTAGATACCTATCTAGATAGGTAGGTAGGTATCTAGATCTATAGATCCATCTATAGATATCTACCAGGTATCTAGATAGATCTATCTAGATATATCTAAATACCTATCTCGATATCCAGGTATCTAGATCTATATAGATATATATACCTATATCTATCTAGATACCTATCTAGATAGATCTAGATACCTAGCTATACCTATACCTATCTAGATACCTCTAGATAGGTATACCTAGATCGATCAATCTAGATAGGATCTAGATCTTTATATCCAGGTAGATCGATCGATCTATAGATCTAGATATCCAGGTATCTAGATATCCAGGTATCTCGATCTATCTAGATATCCAGGTATCTCGATCTATCTAGATATCCAGGTATCTCGATCTATCTAGATATCCAGGTATCTCGATCTATCTAGATATCCAGGTATCTAGATCCAGCTAGATATCCAGGTATCTAGATCCAGCTAGATATCCAGGTATCTAGATCTATCTAGATATAGATATATATATATATATACCTATATCTAGATATATATATCTAGATAGATCTATAGATAGATCTATATCTATATATCCAGGTATCTAGATATAGATATATATATATGATATATAGATAGATACAGAATTCAATTTCAATAACATATACAATTTGTTTAATTCATTATTACTATTTATTTATTTGTGGCTCAGGGATGAGGCCTGGTTACAAAGTATACGTTTGTATGATGGAAGAATCCACTTTTTATTCAAAATCAGGGGTCGTGTCATGCAGTCAGCCTGGTAGCAGCAGCTCAACGTGAGGTGGATTATTGGGTTTAGGTCGTGTGATCAGGACCAGGTCTCACGCTGGATCTGGCCTGTCCTCTCCATGGTTTCCAGCATCTGCGAGGCTTCCTCTGAGGACACGCCCCCCTGCTGCTGGAACACCTCCTTCAGAGCGTCACACACACCGGTTGGCATTTCTTTAGCATTCCTGCATAGAAAAACAAGACACGGTGTATTCAGTCACCTGGCGTTTGGACCGTTGAGTAGAAACAGGACATTCCTTGGACATTTCTGTGTGAGGATTGTTATAGCAAGTACCATGGAGCTCTATGATAGTTATGCTTCAGTAAATTATTTTGGCGACTGATATTAAACACACTGAAATTAGTCCCTGACAAAAACAATAAACCTGGGCCAAGCTATTTTAGAAAAAGATTTCTAACAACAAAATTATTGAATGAGTCAAAAGAGAAAATCGACACTCGTGTCCCTCCTCTGAAAGCTGGCGGAAGTCCTCTGTGGACATAAGAGTGATCATTTATGAGCCTTGGACTCACCCAGCAATGTAAAAGCAGGCATGTTTATTGGCAATCAAGTCCCACAGGATGGCAGCGTTCTCCCTGACACGGTCCTGTACGTACACCTTCTCCTCCTGAAATACACACACAAGTCTTCAGACAAGAAAAACAATATATCCACGGAAAATACTGTATGTAGTTTGAGAAAACGTCTGGTTGAGTGTTTCCTTGAACCGCTATTCCAGTTTCCTCTGGTTTTTACCACATAAAGAGTTAAGGTGCAGTAAGAGAAGCTTTATTATCAATCCGATTTAATGTATTTCGTACAATCTGTACACAGAAGACCCTCATCATTACGGGGGGAAAACCTTAGTGAGAACAGGGGGATGCTCACATACGTGCACAGCGTTAAGAACAGAGCTACAGCGCGTTCAATGCATGATGATGTAACGGCATGGAACCTCCAGATGTCACAGCAACAGCTGTTAGCGCTGTAGCTGCCCCCCTGCTGAGTTGAGGGTTCACCAAAAAGAGGACCAATCTCCTGGTTGCATATTTTACTGAATATTGGAAGATGACGATAATAAAACTTCATAAACTGTGTGTAAGAGCCAGTTTGTTGTTTGGGGCGTCGGGCCGCTCTCGATCAGGCCAAACGGTCAATGTGATCAGGAGGATCACATTGACCGTTGCTGGCTGGAACTAACGTGCGAAGATGTGTCATAACGTTTCATAACCAGGAGCAACGAATGTTATGATTTCTATTATTCTACTTCAGGGGAAACATGGAGTAAGACAGAATGCGGCGGTCTTCTGTTCATTGGAAACGGGACTTTTTGTTGTTTACTGCACGCGTCAAAACAGAGCAGGAAGCGACCAGCGACCCTACGGTCTGTTACTCCACTAGTATCCGCTGTAGCCCGTCCTCTCCTCGCCATGTTCACCAAAATACCCCCACAGCACACAGCTATGAGCACAAATGAAGTCAATAAATTACCTTAAATTCTGCTCCTACATTGCATCATAACTCAGCTATTTGCAAACTTTTGTTATACGCCAGGCTCCAAGAGTGACCTTTGACCCACAAAACCTATTCAGTTCAGGTGGACCTTTGTACCACGTTGGAAGCGTCCCTCCGGGTCTCACTGAGACATCACGTTCACATGGATGAGCAGACGGTTGGCTGACCTGTTCTCTTGAGAAGGCAGTGAAGAGGGTCAAATGTCCCGTCTTCATCATGTCTTCCCAGTCGGATCTGAAGTAGAAGTCTTTGGACTCAGAGCGACAGCCAAAGAACAGGACGTTGGCTAAACAGCAGGAAGACGACAAGGACGCCGAAGCTGTCAAACCATGAGGAGTGATTGATGTATTTCTCTTTAGTCACGGAGGTAAAGCTCTCACCGTGTTTGCCCTCAGACATCCTTTCTTGTAAAGCCGACCTGAAGGGGGCCACTCCTGTTCCAGGTCCAACCATTACCACAGGGGTGTCTTTCGGTTTGGGGAACTTCAGAGAGCCCTTCTTTACCCACAGGGGCACAAAGACGTCCCCTGCAACACGTTCAATGGGACACACAAAAGGTCTTCTGTAAGGGGCTTAATGTCTCCATACTGCCACGGTGTTTAACGTCAAAGGGATACAGTGGTATTGGTACTTTTGGCGGTGTGGGAGGGGGCCGCAGTCCGGCCCTCCTGGAGGCTTTGCTTTGCTTTACAGGCCTCACAAGGCTGTTATCCCTGTTGCCTGTCCACTTAATATACCTGCTGCGGCTTCCCTTGTGGAGGGGCCATTTAATTACTGCAATAAATGCACTCTTCGATAATATTCTAATTCATTAAAATGCTCTTGTATCTGATGATTTCATAAAATGCCTGTTTGACTTTTCCAGCCTCAGTATTTGGTGAAAGGATTGTAGAATGATGTCTTCTGACCACTCTAATGTCTCTAACACTACATGTCCTCATTGGCTCGTTCATGAGACAATCAAAATATATGCTCGGACATATACATGCAGCCAATCGGGGTGAAGCCCTCTGTGTAAACACGTGTTGGATGTGGTGAGAGACCTTGTGCAGGGTCCAGGGACGCTAACCAGGTGGAGCAGAGGCCTCTTCTGAGTTTATACATCTTGGTTTTGTAACGAACCACCGCTACCAGGATCTGCAGCCTGTGTGGGTGAACCTGTTGGGAGAGAAGGATTCATCATTCCACTCCACTCGATGAATTTACAGCTTTGCCTGAGGCCCTCAGGTATCTTTGCACAGGAGGAGACCAGCTACCTGGAGAGAGGAGGCGATGGAGAACGAGCGAGGCTGGATCGTAGGGAAGAGATCTAGGAGATAGTGGACTTTGATTTCTGCTGTGGTGTGAGGGAAATCTGCCAGGACCTGCAGCAGACGAGAGCACATGTTCACGGCTTTAAAACCTTGATGTGATTTTAGAACACAGAATCTTCGGTGTTTCCCGCCCAGACACTGATCCCCATCCGTCACCTCCAGCGCGGTGCGTCGGGGCCGGTTGCAGTAGCTGTGCAGCTCGTCTTGGCCTCCGGCGGAGCTGAACTCCAGCAGCTTCTGCTTCTCCGTCTCGTTGGAGGCGAAAGTAGACAGCAGCTCAAAGAAGGACCGGCGAGGCACGGCGGCGATGTCCAGGTGGCGCTCCACCAGATGGCGGATTGTACACGGCTGAGGGAGCGTGGCAGGAACTGAGGAGACAGGTTCGGGGTCATTATGTCCCGTCAGAAGTGTAATTATGCTTTAAAACCAACAAACAAATCTAGAATGAAATGACAGTGTGTAAAGTGAAAGGGGTCAAAACTGCCACGAATGATTCATTCACATTGCAGCCTGTTTTTAGCCTCTTTTAGTTTCTTGCTTTGGAAGAACTTCCCTTTAGCAACATGCAAATGTCACACAGGGGAGGAGGAGCGAAGGAAAAGAATCCTGTGCGATTAGTAAAAACAGAATCAGAGCATTTAAAATAACACAATAAATGTCTACAGTGGGAAACTGAAGTTGAGTTTTAATGATTTTTCAGTTATACGTTTCTATCAATGTGTGGATATAATATCCACACATTTCAGTGCACAAACATTGAATAACGGGACATTTAAGAGAAATTAGTATTGGCGCTGAATTCTTTTCTGGATATTCACCTATGCATTTGGCATGAATGTCAATGACAAAGTGTTTTACAGAAAAGTGACCGTGGCGCTAATTTAGTCAAGCTGACGTCAGATTATGAGGACGCGACGGATATTTAAAAGGATATAATATCCACACATTGCTTCCTATTGGACACTAGAACAAAGACTACAGAGGGGAGGTTCTCTCTCATCTTCTACCCCTTATCCAGGGTGGGGTTGCGCGCACGCACGCACGCACGCACGCATGCACGCATGCACACCTACCTACAGAGCAGTCTGTGGCCTTGAGAGTGAACATGGCCGCTGGATCTAATCTCAGTAGTTGACAGAGCTGCTGTACGTCCTCTGGCGAGTTACATGGAGGCATCACCACCACGTCACCAGCAGCAAACCTACATAGAAAACCAGGAGACCTTCTGATGAAACTACCTGCACCCTTTATTGAAAAGCTCTAGATAAGGAACACATCTTTTGACAAATTCAATACTCTAATCGCAGATTTAACACGAGCACACACACCACTTCTCAAAGGGAATCTACAGACACAATTTCATCATCTGATGTTTTTAATCATGCAGCAGTTTTTTTTTTATCATTTCAGTGCACAAACATTGAATAACGGGACATTTAAGAGAAATTAGTATTGGCGCTGAATTCTTTTCTGGATATTCACCTATGCATTTGGCATGAATGTCAATGACAAAGTGTTTTACAGAAAAGTGACCGTGGCGCTAATTTAGTCAAGCTGACGTCAGATTATGAGGACGCGACGGATATTTAAAAGGAACTCTGTTACTCACTCAATGTTGGACGCTGTGATATCAAACTCCACGAGCCTCACATCCTGGAAGTGTGACGCGTCCGTTACTCTCCGGTTGGACACTAGTCTGGCAGGGAAGGGACGGGCCTGGGAGGGGAGGGTCGACTCTGTGGGAATCCGCAGCCTGTCATCGGTCTTCTCTTCCACATCATCCAGGAAGTGGAACGTGTATGTTGGGGGGAGCCTTTCGCCGGAGTTAAGCAAAAAAATTTAAAATTCACCCAAAACTAAACCCAAAAAGGAATTCAAAAATAACCAACTTCAAAATAATACTCACAGTTCATCTTCCCTCATTGGAATCACACCAGCCAAAGATGGGTACAGAGCAGACACTTTCTGCCAAAATGATGCGAGCCACGGGTCAATCACAGCATCGGACCTGTCCAAAGATGAGCAGATGAAACGTCCACCCTTCCTCCTGTTCCTGACTCTAATTTGTTAGCTAGACAGTTACAGAACACACCAAGTTGGTGAATAAAGCTGGCGCCGTCTGTGTCACCTGACTCCAGGTCAGCCATCCGCTAATTAAACTGCAACAGCTGTGTTTAAACCAGCTGTGTTTAAATCATATACTGTGTATATGAAATACTCTGCACTAAGTCACGGTTAGGGTCTGTCTCCATCAGCCACACTTCACACACATCGACTTCAAGTTTCTCTTTAAATACCAATGTAGTTATTGGCAATCACTGTTGAGCTATTGGCCAATTTAGAGGAATAAATGAACTGTTTTGTAAACGAGAAGCTGCAGAGGGGATTTGAGAAGAGGATCTGTACAAAGAAGAAAGTAGAAAGTGTGCTACATAAACGCCCCCATGGGGGCGCTATTGCCTCGATCTGCATTTAAAACTGTTGCCAAGTAATATAGTAATAGTTATAATAAATACAACTATTGCTCAAAATAAATCATTTAAAGTAAACATATCCGTTAAGTAGAAATGTATACAAATGTAAAGAGAACGTAAACAAACTAAATAAAAAGGATTGGAAGTATGATTGTGCGCCCATGGTTCTTACCCCAGGTCATGCTGGTCGTCTGACAGCCCAACAGGAAGCAGCATGCGGGCGCCCAGCTGCACGAGGCGCTTATGAAGCTTCTTGGCCACAAAATTAAACCTAATGGGGAATGTGGTCGACCATGAGTCGCCTTGGATGTGTACTGTGAGATGTGTGAAACTGGAATACTGACTTGGGGTAGGAGGAATCCCCCAGGCCCAGTACGGCACAGTCCAGGCGACTCAGGGAGGACGCGGGCAAAGACTTCCTAAAGACAAACCTCCAGAAGATCTGAGAAAAGTATGCACGCAGGTCAGCTGGTTCATCTCAATGTATAGTATATAATGTATAGTAGGCGTAATACAAAATAAGAAGAATAGATCTTTGAAAACAGCACATTCGTTTTCAGCTGCATCTTGTTTATGTAAACAAATGAAACTTCATGATCCACCTCCATGTTGTCTTTGCATTACCTTCATGTTGTCTGGAGGGTCTCCTTGGCCTGCAGTGGAGCACACAAACACCACCAGAGACTCTGAGATCAAGCTGGCCTGTTAGATCAGAGGAAGCACCCATGGGTGCAGTGTTTGGTTTTTTGTACGTGATCCTGTATGCTGTAACAAATACCACAGACCATCACGGAGGTCTGGTTACGTGACTAGAAGAGCTGCCTCGATACGGACTCACTCACCACGTTATAGTCATCCAGAGGAAACACGCGAACCGGCAGCCGCCTCTTGCGCGCCTGTCGCCCGATCCTGTGGGCCGTGTCCTGGGCCGAACCCGTCTGACTCCCGTACAGGACCAGCACACCGGGCTCGGACATGACGACTGGGAAGCACAACGTGGGTCAAACTCCTGCTGGGGACGACGAGCTCAACACAAATGACACAGCGGAGGAACCGGGGCGGAGGAATGTAACGTTAGAGGAAAGTTAATAAGCGGCTACTCGCGCGCTGCTGACCTCGCGGTTATGACTTTGTGGCTAATCGTTGCTAGCGGGAATATTATATTGTTTCTGTTTGTGTTGTTTTTTTCCTCTACAAATGACATCACCACAGACAAACGGAGCTCGGTACTTACCGCTGTCGTCTCCAACAATATCCGTAAACACTAATTAAAAATGAGCATACACTTCCTCCAAGTGAGGCACGTAGCTCCTCATTCTAAACACCACCGCTACACTTTACGGCAACGCCGTTTCAAGCATAGATGTGTACACAAAGGCTACATGTCTCGTCCGCGTTGCCGGCCAATGGAGTCGAACGTCCGCACATGGCGGCCATCTTGCCACAGAGAGCTCGCTCACCCACAACATTGTGTTGGTAGTGGTACATGTACTTTTTAAATAACCATAACTTGCTACATTTTCAACCGAGTTTTAAACGATTTGGTTTGTTATAAAGGTCGGGTATGTATTTATGACACTGGTTATTTAAAAAGTACATGTACTGCTACCAGTGAGCGAGTTCACTGTACCAACATGGCCGCCATGTCCGGACGTTCTAGACTCCTTTATATATCTATGGTTTCAAGTTGACGAGTTGATTGGCTCGCGCGGTCATGCTGCATTTAAAGCCCCACAGAGAAAATCTAACATTTGAGATAGCGGACGTCCCTGTCAACAAAGCCACCTGTGCTTTCTAACAGAAATTGTATTTTTGAGGTCAAATCATGATTTATTTCTCACTCGTACGTTTGTTGCCTGAATCTAAGGACGTTACTGGCAGAAAGCACACAAGGAAAACTTCTGCATGTGCTCCATGAATGATGAAATTACAAATATAATAGCTGTAGGATATTAGAAACAAATATACGACCCGGTTCATAAAATTTATAAAAATGCATATAGTGTACACCAGAATACAGCCATGATTCTGAAACTGTGTAACCAATAAAGTAATGACAATATTGTAAAACCACTGTAATAGAATAATACCAATGTACAATTGTATTTGATGTAATGTAATCAACTGGAATGCATGCATGTAATACTTGAACAACAACTGATATTGACCAAGGGTCATTCGAAATCCGAGTTACATTGAACTCACCAGAAGACCACTCCCAGAGGTGTGGACACTAACTTTCACACCTTTAAGCATTGTTATAAATACCTGTAGGAACCATTGTTCTCGAGTTCGCTGATGGGGACAACAGACGGGCACTAGGGCAGGGTTAATTTTGGCAGCTATTTTTGATTTAGTCTTAGTCTTTAGACGAAAAATGCATATTAGTTTTAGTCACATTTAGTCATTTTAATCCTTCTTAGTTGTAGTCTAGTTTTCGTCGACGAAAACTCAGAACATTTTAGTCTAGTTTTAGTCGACGAAAACTAGACTAAAATGTAATTAGTTTTAGTCTAGTTTTAGTTACATTTAATAGTCATATTGAACTCCTTTTCTTCCCTTTTCAGGCCCAGGGACCCCCGGTGTTGTGTCTACAACTGCATAATAGTCTCGCTTGCAGTACTTGGTTGTCCATCAGATGTCTCTCATAGGACAGGTCTATAGCAGGGGTCGGCAAACGTTTTGACTCGCGGTCCACAATGGGTTGTAAAATGTGACGGAGGAGCCGGGCCAAGAACAAATGGTTGAAGTGAAAAGATTTGGATTTTAACAAATAGCAAAGCATTTATTTGCAAGGCAATTTAACAAATTGGCAAAGGTGTAACAACTTCATGAGGACCAGGGATCTAAACGCAACACTTTGTTGTCTTTGTCTGTTTACTTGCAATGCTTTTGAAACGTCATGGTCCTTTATTGTTTCCACTGTCCCAACTAAAGAGACCTTAACGTCCTACAATCGGTGCAATACATTATTTTCTTGGCTGCAGCATAAACCGGCCATTCTAAACTGGACCCCACTTTTCATTCAACTTTTCTTTCTCTTTTCTTTCTCTTTGTTTATTTGTTGGTTTCATGACCAGTTCTTCTCTCTTGTGTCCTGCGGGTTTTCCTCCACCTGCTCTGTGCCGCCACGTCCTTCACCTGCACTGCGCGGTTCTATCAAAAGGATCCACCTGTCACGTGTGTGGTGCCTCTATGTTGCTTAGTAACGAGCGTACGGTGGCCGAGACGGTTTAACAGTCTTCTCACGATGTGGCGTGTGAACTATAGTTGAAATGCGTGAGGCTTCAGAACCTGCAATGAGTTTATTACGTTAGACGTGTTTGTTACATGTTACATCAATATATAACTTGCTGTTTCCACCTTCAGGATTCTACACGGCCATCATGGAGTCCATCCTCTGCTCCTCCATCACAGTCTGGTACGCTGCAGCCACAGCCAAGGACAAGGGCAGGCTACAGCGCGTCATCCGCTCTGCAGAGAGGGTGATCGGCTGCAATCTGTCGTCCCTGCAGGACTTGTTCGCTTCCAGGTCTCTGAAGCAGCTAAAAAGATGGTAGCCGACCCCTCTCACAGTACACTTGTGCAGAGTATGGTTATCTGTTTGCCTGCACACTTAATATTATATTCCTCTAGTTTATACTCTTCAATGTTGCTGTTATATTTCCTGCACAGTTATTTGTCTTTTTGTCCAATGTTTCATTGTCATTTTCTCCAATGTTATGTGTCACATGCCATATTAAATCCTTTGACCAACATACTTTGGCAATAAATGTTTCTGATTTCTGAAAATGTTGATTTATCAAAATTAAGATAAAAAAAGAACAACTTTGTTTTGTTTTCTTAAGCGTGAATTGTGTGTTTAGATCTAAATACCCAGGGAGCGCCGCTTGGGATCTTCAGGAATCTGTCAATGCGTCTTTTAACGGTGGGCCGCTAAATCACCGTCCTGTCACTCCGTTCTGTCGTGGCATAAAGGGAAATCTAATTTATGTATGGTAAAACTTTATTTTAGTTCTTTCTATTTTCTGATGAATAATCAGTGCGGCTGGCACTAAGATGCACTTCCTAAAGCAAAGTTATATTATCATTACAGGAAGTGCTCAGTTGTAACTCAGCTGGTAGTGCAAGTCTTTGTTAAAACGGGTTTGATGAGCCACGTTGTCTTCAGTTTGTTAGTCAGATATATTGATTATATGCTATAAATTAGCATAGCCCAATAGCTCACTTCTGTTTAGATTATCTTTTTTTTTACAGGGAAAGGACTTTAAAGGTAACATGGTCAATATGTTGGTTTCACATTTGGTTCAATAAACCCATACTTTTTGAAAACCCACGTGTCTTCATGCATACCAGCTCAGACCGTCACACTCAACAGCAACTCCAGCTCCAGCAACACAAACTTTAATACAGTATATATATATTTATATATATATATCATTTTCAACAGTCATATACAGTAAGTAAAGATAAAATTCCTGATACATGCTGGGATGTGAAAGTTAAGAGCACTTGATAGAGTATAATAGCATTAGTGATGGCTACAAACAGGTGGGTTGATGTTAGTTCATACATATGCATCACATACAGGGTTTCAAATAATAAATGGATCAGTAGATCAGAGACATGCAAGACAGGCTGGCTGACCCCTAACTGACCCCTAAGAGTCCAGACCTTGTTTGGAGATATAGGAGTATGTGCTCAGCTTAAGCCCAATTAGGACACATGGTTGGACCTATTTTATTATCCGCTCTTGTGTCCAAATTGATTTGAGAAGGTGAGTCCACCAGTCCAGCACCGTTCAGTCACATTTACTTTCATAAAGCGATGGGAATAACGCGAAAGACATTTAAGAAAAGAACGTTCGATATTAACGCATCAGAGGCTGAGACACCCTGATTTATAGCAAGCACCAAAATCACTAGTTCCTGCGTTTCACACTAAACTGCTCCATAGTGCCTTAAATGAGTTGTTTTATAAACTTCATGCTCCTCTCTGTGATGACGCATGTAAAACATTACACAACTGAATGTGAGTAGGACTAATAATTGTAACCATACTATTTTTACTGCGATTGCTCTTACATAGTGCTCATGTACACATTTCTGTGTGTTCCAGAATACAACAACACATTACAGCGAGGAGGAGGAGGAGGAACTGGGGTGTTTACAGCGGCTCATATTCCAAGTTCCAACCTCAAATTGTCTTGGATTCCAGTCAGCAGGGTGGAGGCTTGATTAGAGGGACCGATGTGCTCGAATGGAGGAGCAACCAGATGACGTTGCGTCAGTAACTTAGAATCAGTACCGTAAGTACCTGCTTTGTTAACATGAGTGTTGGACCAATATTACTTTGGCTGACTATACAGACAAATGTTGTATAAAAAAAAGAGGTTCCCAGGAAAAGGCACACATCAATTTAGGACCCACTATAAGGCAAAGAGCACAAAGATCCAAAGAGCGAGTGGCGTAGTCCGCTTTGCTCTTAATAAGTAATGCCAACATTGACATATACTGAGTTTAAAACAAGAAAATAAAAACAGGCTTGGAAACCACTGACAAACAAAAAACACAACACAAGTGAAAGCAAATCTATTCAGATCTGTGTAGGCATATAAATCACAACGTACTGTTTGGTTAATACAGGAAAGTGACTCAGCTCTTTTGAAACCTGCCAAAAGCCTCCTCACAGCCACCTTGTGATCATGCATAAATAACGGGCCATGCAGCACAGTGCACTGGTCCCTAGCCGCGGTAGAGGCGTATTTGCTGGCCTATGCTGCTACGACACAGAGGGCAGTTCTGCAGAGCGTCGCTGCAGATCTGACAACAGCATACATGACCGCAGGGCAGGAAGATGACCTGAGACTGGACACAGGGAGAGAAGAGACACCATCAGCCTTCCACGTGCAGCCTTTACTACAAACATCTTCTACCGTCACTCCTCTGCGTTATAAGAGGTTGGGAAACGTTTTAACCTCGCAAGGGCCAAACACACAGAATCCAACTCGAAGGACTGTAGCATCGCTACGCTGAACAGTGGATTCATTCACATGCTCCATGCAAGAAGACAGTGGAGAGCGCTTAGTGTGCTAGCTGCAGCTCGTCTTACCCCGGTCTCCATGCAGACCACGCACTCCGAGCACCCCGGTCCCTCCACAGGGCTGGGGGCTGAGGGGGTGATGGGGGTCCCTGGGGTGAGGGGTGGGCTGGGCATCTGGAAGGTGGAGGTGCTGGGAAGCGACTGAGGGGAGCAAGGGGACAGAGCAGTGGAAGTGACCTCTGCCTCCTCATCCCGCTGGGCGGCCTTACAGGCTCCTGGTGGAAGAGACAGCGAGTGATCCACACATCCTCCACCCAACGCTTAGCCATCGAAAACAAGTTATATTTCGCAATATATTCTTTTTTGCTCAATATATTACTCTGTAAAACATAATGGCTACAATGTCGAGTTGTTGTTGACAAAAGGGTTCATTCGGTTTTTAGGATTCCGCATTGAGGTCACGGTCCAAACACCTGCACTGAACTCCGTTAGATGGAGTCCAAGTATGTGTGTTCAATACGTTTGACGTGCTGCATGTAGCTATGAGTCGAGATTTCACAAATCAGCTTTTTAGTGCTTGTGATTTTTATGCCTCACCACATCGCTTTACCAATAGTTGTCTTATACAGTGTAGGATGTGTGTGATGTACCTTCAGGGTAGCGTTCAAGAGCCCAGTTCAGAAGAGCATTTTGGATTCCAATTTCATTAATGCCAATCTGAGAACAGAGAAAGGAATAATGTTAGTTAATCTTCAAATAAACCTGCATTCATTTGTTTGCAGCACAACCCGCTGTAAACACTGATACATTATCAGCTGTTACGGTGATATCAAGGTTTTTATTTGTGATTCTACATCAGCGCTGTTTTTATACTTGGGGAAAAACTATATTTGCTGAGGACGGAAGCTGTCCTGTGTGGCTCCATCAGGTGATCCTTTTCTATCACTCTCTCCACACAGCAGCAGGGGGAACATTTCGTGTCCGGGTGGCTTTTGTCTTTAAATGTTTGAGTTTTTCTGCTGGTGAGACTCCTCTTCTCACCAGAAGCATTGAGCTCGGTACCAAGGATAGTAGTCCAGACATCTCTCTCCCCATCAACATCGTCCAGCTCCCCCTGGCCAGGCCTATTATCTATCCAGCACTATCGCTCCTACCAGCCAACATGCCTGGGAACAATAGAACGAGACCCAGGAGGGTCTGGGATCCAATCCCCGAGCCCTCAGCTGGCACCTTTAGCCTGAAGGAGCCGCAGGTTCTGTGGGTCTCTCGGGCTCAGCATCCCTACGCAGGAAGTTCATTTCGGCCACTTGTATCTGCGATCTCATTCGTTCAGCCACAACCCAAAGCTCATAGGTGAAGGTTGTGACTGTTATATTTGGTGCATCCTGCACGGTTTGCATATCCTCATCCCTGAGACGACGACTCACTCCCAACCGGAGGGTTTTGTGGAAGAGAGCCATGAACGTGAAGCACTTCACACGCATATGTTCTGTGCTATTTCTGATCATAGTGGAGGAACTATGACCTGATGGGAGTCTGCACTGCTGCAGTAGACCGGTGACACCACGCCGACTACTGAGTGGTAAACACTGTATCTCTAGAGCGCCTTTCTAGTTTCCTGATCACTGAAAGCCACATTACATGTCATCATTCACCCAGTCACCCCCGATCATGCACCGGCAACATTCAGGGTTTGATGTTTATTCCAAGGACACAGTGGCGTGGACTGGGAGAGCTGGGGATCAAACCGCCGATCCTATGCTTCAAGGACAACGGAGTCACAAGCACAGAGAAATGCTAAAGCAAGAGGTGAAGGATCTCAATCATCGAAGGGCCACCTGACGCGTTAGAGATGGGTTTGCACACAGACCTTCTTGAGGTCAGAGGAGGTCATGTGACGAAGAGCCTCAGTCGTCACTCGGTGATGAGCCAGGATTGGCAGGTAGTGCTGAGCTGACAATTTGCATATCAGGTTGATCAACTCTTTCTCCACGCCTGCTTCCTGCAATGAGATTAACGTTTAACAGTTTGGTCCTCAGATGTTTCTGCGTGTCCTGCTTGCAGAACACTGTACCTGCATGCGCAGCGAGAGAGGCTTTGCGTCTAACAGTCTCTGGTACTGGATCATCCAGTAGTTCTGCTGGTTGGACTCAGATTTCCGCTCCATCTCCACCTGGAAAACACAAAGTGATTGCTGGTTTCTTCCAATTGACGAGAAAGAAATCACGTGTGTAAAAAGTCTTTGTAAAGCCGTGACAGAAATCATGACTGCTCCAGTGTAAAGGAGAAGAGAAAGAGTCCACTGAGGTCAGCCGGTTCCTCACCAGAACCTGCCGCAGCTCCTGCTCCCTCTGGTCTCTCTGCTTCAGCAGCTGCTGCAACAAATCACTGAGAGACGTTCGCTGCTCCACCAGAACCTCCTGCACGCACACACATGCACACATGCGCACTCTGTTGAAAGACTACAAATAAAGCACCCTGGCTCTGATATGACTAACACAACTAATATTAGCACTCAATACAATTCTGCTATTTAAAACATGTTTTACATCTGTTGGTTTGTTAACCTCCTTGTGTGGAATGATATATTGTTGACACGGAGAAACAACATGAAAACAGCCAAAATGAATGATGTAGCAATCAGCGGGAGGAATAAGAAAGCAATGACAGAAGGCAGTGACACCCACCTGCAGGTTCTCAGCATCCAGATTGCGTCTTTTAATCTCCAATCTAGTCAGCTGCATTAATTCACCCTCTATGAGTTTGATCTGGGGATGGAGGAGCAAAGATGAAGCTAGCAGGAGAAGGGACATGCTGCTGAACGCAAAGTCAAAACTTGGTGAAGGGATTTTCTGTCTGTAGGCAACGTAACACATTTTCATGGTTTTCTGACTGGTGAAAGAGGCAGATGCTTTTAGCACCCTGCTGTGATCCTGCATGTGTACATGTAGCCTCCTGTACGCTGCGTATATCGTCTTAAACCAAACCGCAGGACCAATGAAAGCATGAAAGCGTAATTTACTCACTGGACTGACACTTGAGTCCTAAGTTTGACACATTATTTAACAAGCATATTCCACTAGGTGTGAAAAGACAAATCTGATCTGTGGAACTATTCTCACCCGGGTGTTGCCCCTTATGAGTATATAGAAGTTGGGTGGGCTGCAGGGGACATAAGCGAAATAAAAGAACAAAACAAGAAGAAGACATGACAATGTCAACCTCTTTCTTTTCCTCTTTAATAGTGTCGTGTTGTCTCTTAACTGCCTGCCAGAGAAGCAAAAATAATTCCCTTTCAGCTCTGCTTTTGGCCTCCACTAACTTGTGATGGGATATATAATCCAAAACTATAATCCGGTACAGTGCATCCAACATAGTATTTTTTTAATCTAATTAATTAATTCAACAAACAATAAAAAGGGCAACTAAGGCTAAAGTCAAGATGTGGGCCGATAATCCGTACAGCTGAAATACGGAGTCCCTTAGCAAGAAAGATCCCCGTTGGTACATCACACCGTTCACATTACAAGTCATCCTTTACTACACCACTAATACCAGAATAGTGGTAGTAATAGTAGAAGACGACATGTGTACCGCTGTTCTCCAATTAACCTCGGTGCATAAACTGGAACAACAGACGAGCTCGTACCAGCAAAGGGCATCGGCGCAGGCAACGCAAACCAGGAGCAAGCAATGACCAAAGACATAATTCCTTTCTTTAGGAAAAAATAAGAGATGAGTATGGTTCTGTGATGCTGTATGGTATTTAAATGACCTCCTATATTTAGTATCAGGGGACCGCAATTAATTATCCCGCAGAATGCAGAGAAATTGCTTCAGGATCTTCCCTCATTTCTTGTAAACCATGTGACCTGATTGTATTTGCCCTCAGACTGTCCGGAAACATGAGGATATCCCTGCTGTATCAGTACCATGAATAAGAAACTGAGACTAGAGAAAGGTTTGCGCCCCCACCCCACCCATCTCCAGCCGTCCCACACAGACCTGGTTGCGGATGTAGCCGTGCACAGCGTCTTTCTGCAGCTGCAGGGCCTGGAACGCTGCTTTCTGGATCTCCTCCTGCAGAGAACAATCAGAGCGAATGACAGGGAATGGCGGCTCGTGTGCTCCGGCAGGCTCTCAACGGAAGAGGACAAACCCATACCTCCTGTAGGATGTGTGCAACGGCTTTAGATTTGTCCAACACTTGGAGGGACAGCATCTTATCAAACTTCCTGTCCATGTTCTCCATACTGTGAGAAGACATGGGAGAGAGGCCACCCCTGAGTTAACGCCATGTTTCTTGCAGCATCCAACTACTCTGCGATGTGTGTGTGTGTGTGTGTGTGTGTGTGCATGTTTAACCTTCTATGGGCCTCAGTGGCCATGCTCCGTCTGCGGAAGTCATTGGCCTCCTGGAGGAGGTTCATAGCACAGCCGTCCGACAGCATCTTCTGCATGGCCACTAGAAGCAGAGAATGGACAAAGTCACTGCAGTCACGTCCTTGCTTTTACCCTAAAGACATTTAACCCGTATGGTACACAGCTGTTTCCTTAAGTCAGCCTCATTAACTGGTCCATGCGACTGATATACATCCACGGAAATACTGGAGAACTATTTACACACTGTTTCTGTGCTTTCTTAGTGTAGACAGTAGCACTAAAGACTATATTGAGAACACTGTATGGTTGAAGAACATCAGCTGCTTACTGGCCACCTCCTTCTTCCTCAGTGAATTGGCTTCTTCTTGTGTGATGGCAGTCAGATGCTCCAAACGAATCCTGAAGGAAATAAAAACACAATGCTGACTATTAAGAATATACATACAGAATTAACACCATTCAACTTTCTAGATCCATCATTCGCAGCTTAATGTTCTCATCAACTACTATCTGTGTAAAGAGCAGAGAATGACGGCTGTCTTCATCTGTGAGTGCTCTCAGAGCTTCTCCCCTCTGTACACAACGCTGGCTGTGTTCACACCCTCGGACTTTTCGTCATAGTATGACCACATATTCTAATGTATTTCATTGGGATTTTATGTAATGGTCCAAAAAAACATAGTCCATAGTTCTGCTGTATATTGTGGGGGGGCAGATTGGTATTTTCTCAATATTGCGATGTGTGGTTACGCCCTTGGGTGTCAGACTCACCGGCCCGCGAGGGGTCCAGAGCGGCCCGCTGGATGACTTTGCTAATGTGAGAATTACAGAACAAATATAAATTGCATTTCTAGAAAAGTAGCTGCTATTCCTAATCAGTCCACCGGGGGTCTCACTCTGTGAGTGAGGGCATGCGTTAGACCAGCATGCGTGTGTTGCAGAGCGATTCACCTCCAGAACAACAGGTAGAGAGTCACGTCTTTGTGTGTGGAAGTCGTTGGTTGCTTTATTTATTTATCATAGACTTTATTGCCCCGTGCATCCACACTGCTGCTGTTGTTGGGACACATTTGTCCCGTATTTTCCTCCACGACTTTGTTCCCCTCGTTTGTGGAGATCTCCCTCCGTGAATCAGAGGCCATCCGGCGTCCTTATAGTCCGCCAATGACGGCTTGTACAAGTCAAGTCTGGAAAAATGGGTCGACGGACACAAGGAGGGGCGAAAAGGCACGCAAGGGACACGCAAGGGGCATAAACTAGGCTGTACGTACGGTTTCATAGTATGTCCCTTCAGTGTTGCCGTAGAGGCAGAAGGGGTTCCCACCCTGGGGTTGAGGGGTGTCATGGGTGCATCGTCCACAAACCAAGAACGCCCGGTTACATTGGCGGCCGCCGCGGTTCTTGTGCACCGTCTATGGACCGTGACGACTATATATCTATATCTATTTGGGACTAGCAACTTCACAATGGAAACAACTAAGGACCATTTCCGTTGGCCACGTCAAAAGCTTTGTGACTAAACGGACAAAGACAACAAAGCGTTTTGGTCCCTGGACCTCACGAAGGCGGCAGAGCTTTACACCCCCTGTACCAGTTATATGGAGTCAGCTACTCTTTCTGTCTTAATCAGTCACAAAATAAGTTTTACACAACAACAAAATTGTCCGTCCATCCATCACACAGAGTGGGCTGGAGTCTGTCCCAGCCAACTTCGAGCGGGTACACCACAGGGCTACACAGAGACAAACAACCATTCACACCCACATATTCACACACCTACGGGCAATTTAGAGTCCCCAATCAACCTGATCCCCAGAGCACGTCTTTGGACTGTGGGAGGAAGCCGGAGAACCCGGAGAGAACCCACGCAGACACGGGGAGAACATGCAGACTGCACACAGAAAGGCCACTGGGCGGAGTGGCCAAAATTGTGGCTAATGAAATTGCTGAGTGGCTAGTAACCAGAAGCCACAGTGGCTGGTGGGCAAACATGTTAATGTCGAGCCCTGGTTCCGACCCTCAGAATCAGAAATTTTTTATTGCAAAGTACGTTCCACAAACGGGGAATTTTGCTCGATGATTTTGGGGATAACAGTAAAAACCCGGTGCAGTAGTAAGGTATCGTTTAACAAACAAACAAAAAGAAAAGATGTGCACAGTGTGAAGCAGAAAGAAATGCTCCTGGGAAGGACGGGTCTAAAAAACCAGGGTTCACTTCGAAAAAGAAATTTAATTTAGTGTTAGTACTGAGATTGTAGTCGGTTTAAAGTGACATTTTGGTCTTTTTCTGATGATTTGGTGAGAGTCTAATTTGAGTCGGCATTTTAGCCATAATTCTTCTCACAGTTTGATGATACCTTAATGGATTTCAGGGGCCGACCTCTGGCTCCATTGAAAAATATCTGCATACCCTGACTATTATGGATTCGTAGTCTGTTCACTCACCGATCCTCCTCCATGGATTGAAGAAACTCTGCACTTTTTTTCTGCCTGGAGAGATGAACATAAATACTCTGCAGTTAGCAAAACTCATCTGTGTACATCCGTCCCGGGACACAGATCAATCAAACTGTACAGCGCACACACCCCCTTCCTTCAGGGCCTACCTGTTCTTGTCCATCAGCATGTTGCTGATGCGACTACTAATGCCGCCTTCAGCCTGTCTGACTTTCTCCAGCACCAGCAGCCTCTCTGCCTCCTGAGCTCTCTGTTGTTGGCAGACGCCCAGCTCCAGACGCTCCTGCTCCTACACACCAGATGGATTATGGAAATCAACGGAAACAACATAGAAGCAGCTTACAAAACAGACACAGACAAAATAAACTCAAAAGCACTTCAGAGAGTAGGTGGGAACTGAAGCGCAGGGACGTGACGCCCAGAGTGATTGTTGCTAGGCAACCGCATCCTCATCCTGCACTCAAACGCATTGCTTTTAGGATGCATGGAGAGGACACAGTGACAGCGGAGTCTTGAACAAATGTTTGTTAGTCGACCGCGGGAGCTAACAGAAAACTTAGGTAGTGCTAGTTAGCGACCCTTGCTTACCTACAGACACATTTAGTTTCAAAAGTATCCCTGACTGACTCCAATCAGTGCAAAATGAGTTATACATATCTTCCCATTTCTGTATTTTCATTATTCTTTTGAAATTCATTTCAGCTTTTCCTATTTGTGCATCTTTTGCAAATTTGATGTGTTTGGCCTTGATGTTTGTTGGACACAGAGCTCATAGTGCGGCATTATATGTGCAGAAACAACTTTGGTGGGGAGAAACAAAATTAAAGCAGGTCAGATATAAGAAAAGCTCACTGGTCGTATCTTGAAATAAATCAAAGTTGCTGATTGAGTTTCAGAACAACAGTGAGTTTGGAGGATTATTTAGTATATCAAAACAGCGACGTGGTGACATGCCAAGTCAAAGCTCCATCAAAGAACTGATGAGATGCATTATCTAAACCAGTGATTCTCAACTGGTGGGTTGTGGGCCTTTGCCTGGGAAAATAAAAATTAGAATTAACAGCTGGCTGTTTTGTTTTTTCATTAAACTTGTTTTTGTGTTTGCATACGTATTCTGTCTCCACACTATCTCAGGTTCAAACTGCACCATATTTTCATTAAATAAATTTGAGAAGTTGAGAATGTTCCTCGATTTGGGTTAAGGGGTGATGGTGGGTCCCCGGAGCCAGACCAGCTGAGAACCACTGCTCTAAACTAACACTGGTCACTAAGACATATATATCCTCAGTACCTGTCGGACTGAGTGGAGGATGTTCTCCTTGCGGGACGTGTTCATGAGTATGAGCTGGGTGTGCTCTTTCTTCTTCTCCTCAAGGTGCCACTCAAAGGCCAGCTTTTCCTGCTGCTTCTGCTCCTGATGGACAGAGTGATGAGGCAGAGGGGATGGTCTGAGGTGCATGGTGCAAGTGCACTGAAAGCTCTGCTTTTGCATAGTCTGGGTACAAAGTGAGGCCCAATAGGGAAAATAGTGTGAGTATTGTGCGGGTATTCACAGTGTCATCTCCCATTTCCCTTACTTGTTAACCTGCACAGTGTCTGTGCTAGTTTCCTTATGATATATGGTGCATGGAGCCAAATCCACGTCAAAAGTTTTGTTGTTGAACATTGAAAAATACAACAATGTATTCAAAATAAAACCATATTAAAATATTTTTGGGTTGAATATAGTTTTGACTCAGCTCCATATCTTTTTTTCACTTGCGTTTGGATTCTTTTTTTTTCCACATTCAGACTTTTGACTCTGATGTGACGTTGGAGGCGGGGCATCAACTGGGAGGGGCGGGTAATCATGAGTGACAGCTTAACAAATAAAGCTGACAGATTCGGAAATCCAACGCCATCGCACGGATGCTGCGCTGAATTCACAGTTCTTTGTGGAAGTGGGAAACTTCAGAGATGTGTGGTTGATGAATGGTACATTCTGAGATACTTAATTGGTCTTATTCTGCGATTCATGGCGAGAATGATCCAAAACAGCTCGCTAAACAGAACTTTGTTTCTGGCGTCAATGGTTTTACATCCAATCTTAAATACAGTGAAAAGAAAGGGTTGATTCTTAAGTCTTGCGTGCCTACGTCTCCTAAAGACAATGCGGTTGAGGAAGCTGTCACAATGTTCAAGACCAAAACCTACACTTTCAGGTTCACATTTGTTTTTCAAATGAAAAAAACGTTTGACCTGGATTAGGTTTCATAACGGTGTGGCTAACAACGTCAATGCAAGGAAAGCTGTAAAGGCATTAACTGGCTCAACAAGATTGTGCTGTAACAAAGTGACGTACAGTTTTAGTGATCTGACATGATCTATCTATCTATCACTGCGTGTCATTTAGCTGTTTAAGGCAAAATACCCACTAAAATGCAGCATCATTGCAGCGACCACTGAAGTAATAGTTGAATGTTTTCTATATTCCGGTTTGCTGTTGAGCACAAACTGCTGCTGCTCTAAATCAAAAACAATCAGTCCCCCTGAATCGAACAGAAAGTGTGTCACGTGGGTTCCTGACCTTTCTCTTCTCATAGTCACTGAATTTATTCTGCAACAGAAAGAGAGGAAAGATTGAATGAGGAAGCAATTAACAGGTTCCAGGTGAGCAGCATTTCAGCCATAGAAGTGACGTTCTACTCTTGCACAGTGATGTGTGTGTTTGTGTGTCACTGCTGTACCTGCCAAGCCTCCTCCAAGCCATCAAAACAGTCAGAGCTCTGTTTGCCACACTCGTTCTCCAGCACCGGCAGGAGGTACTGGGATGGCGGGAAGTACTCCTCTCCCAGCTCTGAAAACCACATCCACCAATAGTCTCTCACACAGGCTGATATATCCATCCTGGGAATTCTTTTCATTTTGGTCACCATACTGTCACTAAATGGTTACATGCCCCTCTGCAGTTTTACGCTTTAGTAAAGTCTTAAATCCGGTTGAATGTAGCCTTAGTTTTTCTGCTAACTTTCCGGTCAATAAAACCCTATTGAAACCAGAAGACATAGATAAAACACACAACTTTGCACGGGGGCGGCTGTTGCTCAGTGAATCCCCGCCTCTGCTAGTCCACGTGTCCTTGTTACTTAAGTAAGTAACTTAAGTCAGTTACTTAACCCCAAAATGTTCCCGTAGGTTGTTTCTATGGTGTGTGAATGGTTTGATAGTCTTGATAGGCAGGTGGCACCTTGCATGGTAACTCCTTTCATCAGTGTGTGAATGGCTATAAATGGGTGAATAGTGACATGTTGTGTAAAAGCATGTTTAGTGGTTGGAACACTAGAAAAGAACCGTCAAGTTTACCATTATTATAAATATCTTTGTATTGTGACCAATTGGTTCTAGCCAGCCTCAGTGATAAGACCCTGTTGGATAAACTCATCAGAAAATGTTGGTTGTTGTTCTGCCGATCGTGTGGAAATACTTCTTGTCACTAATCTGTCAAATGTCTACACGTCTATACATCTGTAGAGTGTGTGTGCCTGTGTGTGTGTGTGTGTGTGTTTGTGAATGTCATGAAGTACAACCTCACCAGAGCATAGGAAGCGCTGGATGCTCTCGGTGCCCTTAGTGCACACGGCCGCAGGCGGATAGGACATCGTAGCAGCATCAAGGGTAAAGCTCTGTCCCAGTACACACAAAGGGTTTTTAAAAAACGTATTTAGGTTTGGATCCCTGACAGTTTGAATCCTGAGACCAACCTCTAGGGTGCGGATGTGGACCAGAGCTTTGGGAAGCTGGACGATGAGGTTGTCGCTCAGGTCCAGAGTGCGAAGGCTGCTCAGAGAACCAAAGGAGGACGGCAGCGCACTCAGACTGTTACCTGGACAGATAAACAGAGACGTAGGAGAAGGTGAACAATGCTGTTTGACCTGTAACACCGTCTCAAATACCTGGAGGCAGGAAGCAGAAGGCCTCCTACCCTTCAAATTGAGTGTCTGCAGAAGCCGCAAATCCCCGATGGAGTCCGGCAGGGCCTTCAGGTGGTTCTTCTCCACAGTCAGAATCTGACGGGACACAAAATGGACACATGTGGATGATGGGCAGCATTCATGGAAAGTTATTTCCATTTTGGGTTAGAATGTCTTTACCTGCAGTGATGCCAGCTTCCCAATGTCTTCTGGGAGTGAAGTGAGCTTGTTCTCATGCAGATCCAAAACCTTTAGAAGTGCACAGATTCCATCATTCGGAGCTTTAGAAACATCTGTTCTTTTGGGAAAGCGTCATTATCAAATGTGATGCCATGTGTCTCTATATTCTGCGCTCACGCAGGGACAGGAAATGTCCCATCATGCTCATATGTCGTTTATTTTACCTTTAAAGCGGCAAGGGTGCTGATGTCACATCCTTTGGGCAGCAACGACCTCAGCTCATTGGTATGGAGGATGAGGACCTGGAAAAGAGCATGTTGACTGCTCAGACGGTTACACGGCCACTGTGGTATTCTATACGTATTAGTAATAAAGTCTCAGGTACATCAAGAGAATAGGAAATAGATATACTAGGTCTCTATTGTTACCTTCTTCTGCAGAACCTTGCAAATGGAAAAGGCACTTGAGGGAACCTGTGAGAGAACAGACTATTGATGTCGCCATCTGCACACAATGATAACACAGACGTAATACTACTCAATGCAGAATTTTACAAACTAATATTAAGAGAGAGGGAGAGGACTGGGGGCCATAACTGTGCATCTTATTCCACTATCGATGTGTCACAGTAGGACAATCCCAGATGTCAGATGCTGACAGTAACGTACTCACCTCTGAGAGCTCACAGGCTGAGATGTCCAGGACGTCATCAGCACCGGCCTCTTTCGACTGTGCAACGTGGAATAACGGTTATTGTTTTTTTAAGAATAGACATTTGTTCGTTCAGACACAAGAGGTACATGCTGCAATACTTCCACAGTGGTTTGAAGGATAACTCATTACCACACAAAGATTGCTGAATGTTGTCCCAGTAACATTATGTGTGTCACCCGAGACCAACAATACGCCTCCAACAAGTCACTCGTTGGTGTGAGGAGGAGACAACGTTAGGCCTGATCCTCTCCAGCCTTGATGTCCGTCAGCAACTTCACCACGAGTTGTTTGTTTTTGCTAGATCACCGCGGGTGGGATCCTTAACTGGAGAAAAGACCACAGCCAACTGCCCAAATTGAGGGCAGCGGTGGTGTTTCTGTGTGGTAGAGCAACTTTATTCTCAGAAATGTATTTACTGAGGAAAACGTGTTCAACCCCTATTTTACGCACAGTATCTTTGAATGTGTGCTGTTTATACCCCCCTCATGCCAGGTGTAAAAATACATTGTTCATTATGAAACTACGTTTATTTAACAAGGTTGAAAAATCATCAGGATTGCTGCTCCTTGTTGGAAGCGAGTTGTCACCCCACATAAATGTGATGAAGACTGAGCTGAGCCAGATAATGACGATCTATGTTTAAACCACCACCTGTTATCATGAGCTTTGAGGTAGTGATCGACCAAATAGAGAGTGACGCCGAGATGGAAAAGGAGCAGGCGGCAGGTTCCTTTATCAGAGCGGCATAAACTGATCCTAGAACGGCATGGACCCGCCTCCTCATCCAGATGCAAATTAAAATCCTGTAAATTATTTTTTTTTCTAACTTTATTGAGACATTAGCAGAACACAGCAACTTGAAAGTAGCAGCGTCTTAAGCATCTTTTGTAGCTCTGCAATTTCCTTCTTTTCCTAATGCAAGACGATATAAATAAAGATAACGGGATTCCGTGTTTGCTCGTATAGCCTGAAACTGCTCATTTGACCAATGTTTTGATGACGTACCGCAGCCAGTCTGACTAATCAATGGGAAAAACGTTTGAGTGCTACTCCGACTCATTTCACCAAGTCGTCACTGGAAAATGTGTTCTTTGCATGTCAGCATGCATTGTTATATATGCTCTATTGTTCCAGCGTTGCCATGGCACTCTGCATCACAACATGAGCCGTATCACATGAACAACATGTCAGTCTCAGTGATCGCATGTAGCACTCATGAACAGTATGGCAGTCTGATTCAATGTTTCACCATTTTCCACCAACATAAACATGGTTCATTGCAGTGTATCTTCCCTCTTGAAAACAAGCGTTTTGAATGAATTGACTAACTACATTTTCCAACGTGGCTCGCGCCTTCGGTGGCCCAAAAAATAATACTCTTTTCAGAGCACATACAACTAGTAGGTAGATAAGCGGCAGTAACAAAATGGATGGACATTTTAATACAAACACATTCGCCTTACCCTGCACAGCTGATATTCCAGTCTTTTCTGGGAGTCCTCGCTGGGTTTTCTCTTTCTGAAGAACAGAGGCATTCTAAGTCCGGCCTCTCCTACCGTCTCTCTGCCTGCTGGGTTTCCCTCCTGTCCCTCCACTGCAAGCGATAATCCAGACGACTGATGGCCAGGTTGCAAGGCACTGAGAGCCTGCACATTGAGAAGTAAGAAAATGTAAGTAAGAAATTGTTATGGTGAACGTGTTAGAGCTTCACTGTCTTTTTAAACATTCAACAATATCTAACCTTTTTATGGTCACCAACTCCTGAAAGAAACTGTGGTCAAGCCAGCCTCCACGTTATTGTTCAGTATGTGTATATGAATAAGAGCAGTTCCAGTGAACGTGACAAGTCAAATGAATTCAATAAGTCTGTAAATCACATACTGATGTGGTAATACATTATACGGTCTATAAATGTTGTCAGGACATTTATGTAGCGGCAAGGCCCTTCAAAATCTCATTCTGTTGAATTTCAGATTGGATTTGAAAGGAAATGGTCTAAAGTTACATAATAATTTCACATTGATAGAAGACCAGCACAGGATGCCACGGAGGGATGTTGATGATTCTGATGTGCCATTTCAAAATTAAAGCCTCTCGACACCTTTGAAACGCTACATAAATGTGCTGATATTCTCTGGTCTGTGTAAATGTATTCTTTATTAATATATTTGAATAACTAATTAATTACACAATTGAATTTACATTTTTCCTCCAATGGTTTGCATTCACTATATAATATTGTGTTTAAAGTTAACATGTATAGACTGTATATCCTACATATTGTATCTATTTCACAAGATTAACAGACTAATTTAATTTGACATGTTCTACGTTCACTGGAAGTGGTTTTATTTTGAATTCAGTTCCTACTACCGTAATGCCGGGTGTACACGCGCACCTCAAAATAACGTGCGGGCTGGCTTGACGGTGTTTTTCGAAGTGGAGGCTTGACAGCAGTTAAAGGAAATACCTGGCTTTTTAGTACCTACATGATCCAATGTGGTCACCATCTTACGTTCATTTAGTTGCTAACCTTTCCAGCTGTTCAGAAAGCGTAGAGTCCAAAAAGGCCACAAATCTCAGTACAAGAGTGTGTGAAGGTTTAGGTGGGTTTGTCACTGCGAGTGACGCCTTTACACACAGCCAGTTAAACCGTTATTCAATGTGCTATTATGATACAGTGCGTGCGTTACATTAGCTAACATTACGTATCTAAAGGGCAAAACTAACACAACTTACGTTTAGTTATTGCGTAAACCGTCTCACCGTAGAAACCCTTATGGTTGCCTGTTATGACAGCCGCTGTCATTCTACCAATGTAACGTACGTGTAGTTAACGTTAACGTTGGTTAGCTTTTAGTAGCAACGACATAAATATAAGTGGGTTAGCTAGCTAGCTCCACACCAGTAAAGCCTCGATGTTATACCGCTTAAGGTTAGCTTAGCCAGAGCTAGAGAACAGAGCTTCTCTATGACAACTTGGCCCTCTGGCTAACGTTATAGCGAATATAAGCTAACAAAGCTAACATTTAGCATAACAACACCCCACCTTCTATGACAACACAGGTGAACCAAAGCCAAGAGTCTAACTTTTCTCACGTCTGTTGATACTTAAACAATCTTCTGGGTGCCGTAAACGTTACCTGAGAACCAGAGGGTCCAGATGCAGACCGTAAGAGGCGTTGAACATTAATGGTTAATGTCAATGACGTTACGTGATTAAAAGTCAGCGGAGATGAATGATGTCAGTCCACGTTACTTTAGGTCATAACGATGATGATCACTCTTCCTCTACGCAGTATTCTTCTATCTTGTTGTTGTCGTTAGGAGTGGATTTAGTATTAGCTAGAAGAGACATGTCCTCCTCTTCAGAGGACTGTGGTCAACTCAGCAGACACTTTAGTGCACTTGTACGCTGATGTTTACGGTAAAAGCATTTATACGGCCCTACAAAGCGATTCAATTAATAAATTCAGACAATAACTCATGTATGTGTGTTCAGGAAATCTCTGACTCTACCCATACTGAACATCTGATATTTGTAAAAAATAATTGTCCTACACAAGTCGTTTCTCAATATTTGAGTTGCAATAAAAAGGGTTTTCGCAATAATAGTATTAATAATTATATTAATGAATTCCTACTATTAATTAGATTCTGCCTTTTTAACATATATATAGGACTTTTATCATGGGATATTATAGAGAAACCCCTTATAATTGCAACTCAAAAAATAAAAAATAAGCTTTTTTTGCTACTTGTGTGGGACACTTTTTTTATCTCATAAATGGTACAGTAAAAAGTCAGGTTTTCTTGAACACACATACACGAGTCATTGTCGGTCATTGTATTGATAAAATATTCTTTTTAGGGCCGTTTGAATGCGATTACCGTAAATATCCGCATGCAAGTGCACTGAAATACGGGAGAGCGGTCATTTCCGCAATTCTGTTTCAATTGCGAAAATGACTGACGTGATGACGTCACCGCATCAGCTGGTCTTGTATACATTTTAATACTGTTTACTATAAAAGTAATGCTTATTTTGTTTTCATTTAAAATAAAAAATGGGATATATATATTGGAGCACCAAAGTAAATATATAGAGTATATAAAATAATTAGGCAAAATATCTCAGTGGATCAGATCAGAGTTGTCATGCAGCTTTCTAAAGAAGACGAAGAGGAGCAGCTGTAGTTTGTGGTGCTGCAAACTTTACTGGATTACACTGACAGGTGTGTATTTAATATTTTTTCATATTGGATGGAACACATAAAACGTTACTGAGGTGAACATTTAATCCAGGGCTGTTGTATTACATCACACTGCATTAGCTTTATAAAGGTTTCATAAAGTAAGAGGATGTTGGATACATTAACAACAGTTAATCAGTTAATATTTCTTCTTGTTACTTAAACATCAAGAGGCCGATAATCAGTGTGGTCGTCCTTGTACAGTTAAATGTATAGACATCACTATAAATTCAATTGAAAATGTACCAGAACCTCATCTTTTATCTCTACATTAATAGTGATTAACCTCATAGTATTTTATGTATATGATATAGAGATCAATGAGGCTATATACCGTAAGTAGGTGACATCATTAGTGATTAACATCATATTTAACATCTATGATACAGTGATCAATCAACCTTTCCCACAGATCTTAGAAAATGACTGACCAGCTTCTGATCTGCATATGATACATGTGTTGAGCCATTGTATTGCTTTAAAAGGCTACTGTTTAAGCACTGTATTGGTTGCATTTTTTTGTTTGATGTGTGGTGGGAGGCTTTGATTAATGAAAAATATTTCTCCCCAACTAATCTTGTGCCATTTTTTGCTCAACATAAGTCATTAAGTGCTCTTAAGAATACAATTATTAACAATATAGGGCAATCTGCAAAACATACCTTTGTCAAATCTTAAACACAGGTCTATTAATTAGGCTATATTGTGGTACATAGACCTGGTCTTCTTGTTCAATGTTCAGCTACACTCTAGAAGGCCCTACAAGTCATGATCAGATGAACATGAACCAGAATAAGTTCAGGAAATAACATCTACTTAAACCAAAATGTCTTGGGGGGGGACCTGCAGTTCTGTCTTTGCTTCTCAGAATGTAACCAATGTTGTCCATCTCCAGTAGGCCGCCCGCTTTGGGTCCCACAAACCAGCAGATTGCAGGGCACAACAAGGGTACAACCCCAAATTAATTCCAATTCCATGATATTTTGGTCATCCCCGACAAAATCTCACTCCAATGTTCTTTGAAAAGTTGGCAGCTCTGCTACTACTGCAGTTTATCCAGCAGAGGTCCCTCTCTACAAATGTGTGTTGGAGTGCAAGTTGGGAAATATACAATACGACTGCATGTGGTAATCATTATAACCTCGGTCGTTTTTGTGATTTGCAGACTCAGCGGCAGCACGTCAATGAAATATAATAAGTAGCCTCCCCAAACTTTTACAGATAGGCAAACTCATACAGGCACATGTGTTTGGGTGTGGTTTTAAACTACACCACAACGTAATGCTTCCTAGTCACATCAGCTGTTTCCTTAGTCAGTCCTTCCAGTTAACTCAACAGATAAGTCACACTGTGTCTTCATATAAGCCTTTTCTTTTTAGCAAGACTATTAATAGTCTTAACACTATTAACATTCATTAACACTATTAATACAGAACCTCTGAGACTCTGGATCCTTGAGCAGCACTCAGTAAAACTCCTCTGTGCTTCGTACAGCCCTCTGCAGCTGTGTGTGATGTACGATTGTGGTTCGTAGACCACAAGAGGTTCTCAGCGCCGACTATTTATAATCACATCTCTGACTATTTATAATCACATCATTAAAGGTGATGACGAGGGACTGATTGAAATGTTTCACCGCGAGCACTCCTTTGGAGTCTCCCCGCAATAACTCTAGATACTATAATATATTCTTAAATGTCTATGTATGTGTGGTAAAATACTATTTGAAGGAAACTTTTATCTTTAATCTGATATCATCGTATCAGAATACTAAGCCTGGCGTTGCTTTGGTATACAAAACAAATTTAATTCAAATATAATGCAATAAACCCTAAACATAAGAACATTTTTGTTCACGGGTTTGCAGAGAAACTGTTTTTTTTTACAGGTTTTTCTTGTATTATTCTGGTCAATCATGGCAAAACATTCTTTCTGCACTACTCTACGAGCATTACATACCAATTAAGGTAATAGTTAATCAATGAGACTTACAATTATTAGTTTGAGGTCTTGTTCAGAGCTGGGATCTCCAAACATGGTTACCGGAGGACCTCCAACCACTGCTCTTAAACTTAAGTGCTGCTTAGCGCTGGCCAGGTGGTCTGCAGTGGTTTCGTTAGAGAATTCTCACAGTTGTTGGGGGGCTTCCATTAACTTTATTTTGGTCGTGCACAGACTTCTGATTAATACTTTTTTTAACTGTCGTCTGTGGATGCTGTATGGGGATGGATCGGGTCTTCAAGGAGGTCGGCAGCACCATACTATACTTCCAGAATACTCAGTATCAGTAGTCTTAGTAGAATTATGGTGTTGTTACTTTTACTGTACTTATACATCTTGTTCCACCCCACACATTAAGCTCTAAAGCTGGAGAAAGACACGTCCGCTATTGTAACGATATGTTTAGTTTTAACCTTCTATTAGACAAACTCCTCAGTGTCTCCTTCACCTTAAAAGGAGGCGGAGGCCCCGCCCCCTCACTACGTCACAGGAGTAGTAGCTACACATCCGTTTAAATAAGTGGAGCTGAACGTCGTTGCCCTCCGTTCTCTGCTCGCGGGAGACCAGCGCTGCTCGGCGGGACAAGCGGCGACCACAGACCTCCTGTCAGCCCTCGGTAAATGGAAAAGACGGGACCGGTTGGCTTTTTTCTCCACACAGACAAACCAGAGGAGGACGTAGCAGGGGAGAAGTTCCGGACTGCTGTCTCCACCACCTGAGGGAGAGAACCGCCGCGACGTCATCAGCGCGTGGAGAGCCGCGAGGTGAGCGGAATGTCACTCTGCAGGTTACTAGAGCTAAAGGTGGCAAGAAGACACAAGACATGTAGGTAGGAGAACACGGGACCGCCACATTAGGCCAGTTTGAGTATCTAAATACGTTTGCATTGCCATCGTTACTGCAGCTGTTTCTGGTGTTACTGATATCAGCCAGTATAGTAGGTATGCTGGTTGGTGGAGGAGGGTCAAATGGAAATACAGTGATTAAAGTAGTTCCCCTCTTTTTGTGCCATACCTTACTTCCCCCCTCATCTGATCAAACACAAGACTGTACACAACAACGTGCTGCTCTTTTCTGAGCATGCAGCTTGCTTTACTTTGTGCGAGTCTACAGCACTAAAAGGGCATATTTATGAAATTGACTGCAACTATGTAGTATACCGCAGGAACCTCTCCACCCAAGGAGCTCCTGCCGCTGGTCTTAATTAAAAAGAGAACGGTTTCTGAAGCCACATGTCCAGAGAAACGGCCCGGCATGGGCCTCTGTGCAGTGCCGGTCTGACCATCGGTGATGTGCACTTTGTAGCTTTGCACCATACTCTATGACCTGTGTTTGTGTGTAAATTAGACTCTGTATAGTGTGTGTGTGTGTGTATGTGTGTTGTCTCGTTGGGGATCCATAATTTAGTTTTGTGTTTGTCTATGAAAGAAGGATCATTGCTGGAAAAGACAGCTGGTGCAACAATGTGGTTTCATCTCTGCATCTATTGAGCAGCAAATTGTGCCTGCATTGCATGAAAACAAATGGGACCAGTGATGGCTCACAGTACTGATTAGTCAAGCACAGATCCATCTAAAGACAACAACCAGTTCTAGATCAAACCTTTGGAAATGAATGCAATTTACTACGTTTTGTTATTATTCCACTATATCCACTACAGCTAATATAATTAGTAGTAGTTATTCTAAATAACTGGTTTACTTCTACCAATAAATTAATCATTTCTGTCATTTGCATCGAACTCAACAGCCAGTAAATTCTGAATACATTGACCCGAGTTGAATTTCCCAGAGCTCAAGAGAAAGTCATCATACTTGTCCTAATAATATAATATGTATATGGAATTAATATGTGCCCACAATAACTACTTTGTCTATCTTGACATTTTCTTTCTGTGGAGATGAACGGGGACGCTTGTGAGTTTATATGTTGCTAATGAAGAAATAAATCACTAACCCAAAAAAATCTTGTTAATTGCCTGAAATAAAATCGCTAACAGCTCACTAGCACTTATTTTTCTCACCCGTCCCTTTCTCTCACTTTCTCCTTCTCACTCGTCTTTTTCTCTTTTGCAGTTTTGTTTTTTTCTGGGCTTTTTACTCTGAATTCGCCGCGATCACTCTTCTTTCTGCACCGTTGAGACAATATCCTCCCGCCTGGAATGCACAGGCTTGATTTGGTCGAGTGGCATCGCATACGTTGGCTCAACTCGGGCGCGATTGCTCTGTACTTTTAAGCCACTACTTGTAAAAACCACCACAGCCGCGCCGGTCAAAAGGTGCCCCGGCAGGTTTTTCAGTCACAACCGTCTGCTTCTAGCTTTTGGTTCCGGTTGATGGGGACGGCTTCTGTGTCCGGATCCGGACGGGATAATCGTTCACACACCGTTGACGGGAGCTACCACACACACGGTGCCACCTGCCCATCAGTCCCCAACATTCACACACGGCAGTCACCGCTACAGGAGCGATGTTGGGGTTAAGTGTCTGGCCCAGAGACCCATCGACACACGGGTTAGCAGGCCCTGGGATTAAGGCGCCAGTCCTCTGATTGGAGGATGAGCTCGCGTGGTGGTTTGGTTTATTGCCCTCTGGTGTGTGCTCGGTTGTTGTGATCTATTTGCAAAAGTCGAAATAATCGAAACACCTGAAAGTGATTTTGGCTTCTCAATTCTGGGATCATCATCTAGGTTAATTTGAAAGGGGCATTTTTCAAAAGGTGGTTGGATTCACTTTTCTTTCTAAATTCCTTCATGAATAAGCCCCCCACTAATGGGAAGGTTTGCTCCCTGTGCATGCGGCTGTTTGTGGTTTGAATGCAGCCTTGGGCTGCTTTACATGGTGTTCCTGTGGCTGATTAGAGCCAGGTGTCTACTCGAGGAAATGAGGGTATTGAGGGCAGCCTGCTTCACTGCAGAGGACCAGCTGCTGCAATCTCAAATAATCTTGTGGGAAGGCGAGTCGTAAAGCGAAACATGCCCTTGCTGAAATTGGGCGCTCTAGAGGACAAATTGTGCTGCTGTTGCTCATTTGGAGAATGAATCTAGACCTGCAATTATTTTATGTTGGTGCTAATTATAAATCATGGAAGCAGCTGAAGAGCCGGTGTTGCTGACTCATTGCTGAGTAGCACACATTGGTTGTACAGCTGTACATGAAATCAGTTCGCTTTTGTAATGGAAAAAAATTGAGAAATACGTAAAATGTTGCCTGATGGCGTATTCCTAACACCTACAGCTCTAACGTATTGAACTGAGCTATTTCATTGTGAAACTGTTGCAATATGTTTTGCTTGTGTTTCCATGGGGTTTGAAAGCGATGGTGAATAAATGAGCAGCAGAATGACTTTAATAGTGGACAGTAGGTCACAGTGGAATCATGCTGCACACTCTTCTTGGGACAAATTATTAGGTTAAAGTCAGTTATTTTTAGGCCTAACAACTGTGAACTCTGTGTTAAGCCACAACTCTGATGGTTTGTGTGTGTGTGTGTGTGTGTGTGTGTGTGTGTGTGTGTGTGTGTGTGTGTGTGTGTGTGTGTGTGTGTGTGTGTGTGTGTGTGTGTGTGTGTGTGTGTGTGTGTGTGTGTGTGTTTCCCGGTTGGGTTTTCAGTTGTTGTTTTTTTTTTACCCGGATGTGCCAAAGCCAATGGACTGGATCTGCTGCCCAGAGGCAGCCATGTTCTAGTCTGTTGCAATTCTCTCTGCGTCCTCCATTCATCTTTATGCCTGATCATTTGGCATTTCTGGATAATTGAGTAGGCTCGCAAATCCTTGGCACTAAAAGTTGTGATCTCTTTGATCAGCTCATCCCTTTCCAAGTGCACTGGACGACGTAGCTTGCTCTCTTTTGTGCGGGTTGTGTCCGTCGGATGGAGAGCGATTCAGAGGGCGTTCTGTGTCGAGCCATAAAGTACTGGACACCTGTTTACATTGACCTGAGCGTCCCATATCAGTGCGCACTCAAAACAACAGGTAGTTGTCATTTCAACCTTGACGGTTCCCAAACAGGTTTGGGGAGAATTACCCTTTAATGAGTGGATCCTGAATTATGCGCCACCCGAGCGTACCTGGACACACGAGGACAACATGCCGCTCGGTGTCTCTGTGCCAAAAGGCAGCTTGCTATCTATAATGTCAACTGGCCACCGTATTATGAAAGCCTAGCAGCATTACATTATTGACAAATAATTTTAAGTGTCAACTTTACATTGACACTTTCTCGCTCTTTGCTCTTCGCTCTTTGAAGATTTTTCCATACGTTTCTTTCACTTTCTATTTAGGAACAATTTGCATTGCACTTATCTTAGTTTGCATCCGCCGCTCGACTAATCATCAGAGGGAAGCCCTACTATGAATACCTTTTTTTTTTTTTTTGGTTTGGTTAAAAGAAAGTAATGGGAGTTAAAGCCCTAAATCATCAACCGCCTTCGACTAACTTATTATACCAACCTTGTATACATAACAACGTATTCCCCATTTTATTTGTACAAAAAAAAATATCGAACATAAACTACATTGAAGAACGTTTCTGAGGCTGATAACTTTAATAGACATTTTTCAAAGAAAATACTTATTTATTTCAGAAAGTAAGCAGTTCATAGCTTTTCGTGGCCACTTATTTAACAGTTTTAATTGTACATTTCCATCCTGCCTGCCTCACTTTCCTAACCTCATTTCTTCGCGGCTGCCCCGAGCTTCAGGTTGCTATGGTGAACAGCAGGGTGGAGGCATCCACGGTGGCAGTGATGGGCGTTGGCGGGGGCACGGCGTGCAGGCTGTGTGCAGGATGCGGAGGACGGATCGCAGACCGCTTCCTGCTCTTCTCCATGGAGCGGTACTGGCACACGCAATGCCTCAAGTGCTCCTGCTGCCACACTCAGCTGGGCGAGTACAGCAGCACCTGCTACAGCAAAGGAGGCATGATCCTCTGCAAGGACGACTACATCAGGTGAGCCCTCGTCATCTGTGTGGGCAGTGGTCAACGTTTCACAGTAGTGGAAGCCGGAAATTTGTTATTTTACGGTACACTACTGTAATTCTTTAAACAAAAGTGTAATACAACCCAATACCTTTGCATCTAATTCCCCACAAATAAAAGAAAGACAATAAAACCCAGCCTTAGCTGGCTCAACATTAAGGCCACAAACTGGTCGCTTTGAGCAGATCTGTTTTAGACACGCTGAAAAGCCGTTATAAAAAAGCAGATTATATAATAAATAGTCCATCTATCAACAATCCATTTATCTATTTTTCTATCAATCGTCAGTAGCAGGTGTTCCCATTAGAGTGAAGTGGTCCAGCACTAAGGACACAGCTGGGATTTACTATGAGGAACTTTTTAATCTGTGAAGTTGTTTTCTTACTGGATTTCCTTTTGGAGATTATTTGTCAACACCCCCCCCCCACACTTTCAATACAACACATTTTATTTTGTCCAGCCTGATTTTGCTGTCCCGAAACCCTCCCAAGCCAATTTTGATCACCCCCCCCCCCCCCCCACTCCTGTGACCCATGGTCTATGTCTATGTGTATTCAGAGCCAGTGAGCCAATTACTTATTAAGAAACCGCAACGAACGTCAACGACCCAAAATCATTTTCACTAATGAGCTATTGCAATATTTACAAGCTGAGTCAATTTTTGATTTTATGTGGAATTAAATAATAATGCAGACGTAGCTGTTCGTGCAATTGGGTTAAAGTAGCTGAATTGACAGACTTGTGCCGTGGCTTCGTGTGCAGGCTGTTTGGACACAGTGGTACCTGCAGTGCTTGTGGACAGTCCATACCTGCTAGTGAGATGGTTATGCGAGCTCAAGGCAACGTTTACCACCTTAAAGTAAGTATGATTAAGCAATCGTATCCGTCCTGCCTTTTACGTCACACAGTTGTCATGCTGTTGTCAATGAGCTAATCTTGATTATACATAGACTGACACTATCGCTCTCTGGTTTTCCTAGTGTTTCACCTGTGGTACCTGTAGGAACCGCTTAGTTCCTGGCGATCGCTTTCACTATGTCAATGGGACGATCTTCTGTGAGCATGACCGGCCTGGAGGAGGTCTGCTCGGTGGACATCCAACTCCACTGCAGGCCAACAGCATGATGTCCGACCAGAAGGTGAAAGGCCATTTGTTGATAGCAGGCATTTATCCACTTTTTAGAATGAAAAATAAAAAGTACATTTGGGCAACAGGGTAAGGTGTTGCAACTCTGCAAGGTAGGCTATTTTTTTATTGTATTATATAGAGTGTCAATGATGTCGGTGCAACTAGCACGGGGATCCATAACAGTCAATCAGGATTGTAAAAACAGATGCACAAAAAAGAAAATATTCAACTTTCTGTGTGTAATAATAAGGCATCATTTCATCCATTCCTCATTGACAAACCAGAATTGTGTCATTACCAAAAGACTAAATTAGTAAGATAAATCCAGCCTTAATCACATGGATCAATTAATTCATCAATATCTTGCAAGATAAGGAGGCATAGGATCTAGTATGATTTCATATACTGTTAGAAATCCAGAATGTACTTGTTTTCTGTGAGGATAAAGGGGAATCCCTGTGAGTGTAAAATCAGTTTATATGTTACTGGTGAGGAAATAAATATAACACACAAAACAAACCTTTGGCATTTTGAAAATGTATGAATATGTATATAACGTGCCTGTTTTCATCCACCTCCTCGTTGTGTTTCCTCACTGCATGTCCGTCGTCCAGCTAGGTGCCGATGTGAACTGGCCCAAAGGCGGCCAGCTTAATAGAGTTATACATGCGTTCCCCGGAGTTCTCGTGTATTCTTATTTTTCCAAATAAGTGCTTTGTGTCGTTAAACGGGCGCCACGCAACACTAGACGAGCGCGCAGACTTGGGCCAAAAGACGATGGCCCAAAGCTGAATCTATTTTAAGACCCTGATTGGCCAGGACGCCCCGTGGCCCAACATCAATATAGCTGTCAGCCATTGAGAATTCCTTAAACTGTGGCTGCATGCACAATTCTTACTCGATCATGCAATTTGAAATGAAACGAATAGCACACAACCAAAAATGAAGCACAGCATGTAACACAATTTTGGGCAATCAGATACTCATGACTGTGAATATTGTGACGGTGGTGAGCATAAAGATGTGCAACTGATGGCGTAACCAAGGGTTTTTAAATCACAAATAGATGGAAACACTCAGTGCTTGTGACATTTACAACCCCCTCTCTCCAATGTTTACAGGTCTGCTGAGGAAGACGATGGAAAACCAAATGTGTGCCTTCTCCACCCACCTGTCTCCTTCACCCGCCTCCTCCACCTGTAAATCCTGCCATTGGTTGAGCACCCGCCAGTCACTCCAGTGTGGGTGTAGGAACCAATACTGCTACTCGGTTCCATTTCAATAGAGACGGCTTTTGCTGAGTAGACAGTGAGGAGTGAAAGTGAAGAATTCTGTTGGAGGCATGAGAATACTGACGGTGATGGAATGTATTTCTACAGCACATTGATGTTTATTGTGAACTGGGGCAATATTACTGATAATATTGCTGTATTGCATGGCTAACATGGTGAAATGGAAGATTGCTATTGGATTACTTCCCCTTGAATCATTCGCTTTTACCCAGCTAGCCAGTTGCAGTGGGCATGGAGTGTCAGAAATAACATTTCTACAGGGGCGTATGTAAGTATACTTTCAAAAATGTTAAACAAGTTTGGTGTTTCTTTTTTTTTACTGGTTATGGAAATTGAAGTTGCTGGATGTTCAGTGAACAAGACAACATCTATATTGATACTTTAACTAAATCTGTTATTTTCTTTGAAATATTCAATTACATTTATTTTGTCTATTTGATCCATTTCTAACATGTCATTCTGCAGCTATAACCAGAGTGGTTTGGGGGAAGGTGTAGTTGCCCTCGGTTGGTAGTGTTCCTGCCCCCGAAAGTATTTGCTTGAATTCTATGTACACAATTGTTTTGCAAATCTGGTCTTAAGCTGCATTACAGTAATGAAGGACCACACCAGAATCCTTTCCTTCTTCTAGCCCATTATCAATAAATCTCATAAATCATTCATTCTGTATTTATCTCAATGAGAGTTGACCAGCACCATAAGCCGTCATGTTTACCTTTCTGACCATTTCCACATCACATGTTGAATAAGCACAGCAATACGATTCACTGGAACTATTTTACAATGAATGGAATGCAACACATGCCAGTAGCTTTCCCTTTAATAATCAGACTTTTAATGAGTATGCAAAGAATGTAGGGCGAAGCGCTGATGACATGCGTCTGTTATACTGATGAGTTAGTGCTTTGGAAATGATGCTGAATTTACTGTGTGAATTATTGTAATGGGATCATGGTAGTGCTATCGTTCCCTGTTTTTTTATTTTATGGACTGGACTTGTTTTTGCTTGACACTTATTAAAGAATCAGACATTATTACCCCGAAACATGCATATCTTAATAAATTGTATTCTAAATGTTATATTTTGTTCTGTCTATTTCATTCAAAAGTTCAGTCACAGTTTTTGTAAAGGGCAGCAGAATACTTCACTATCATGGGATCTTGGTAATTATTTTATTGCACTTAGATTATAAGGTATATTAATAGAAATGGGTTTACTTTTAATGGATTCACATTCCTTAGCTTCATATGTTTCCACGGAGATCAGCTATACAGTGCTTCACATTTTCCACATTTTGTTATGTTACAGCCTTATTCCTGTTGTTTTGGTTCTTTATTTTTAACAGATTTGCAAAAATTTGCAAAAAACAGTTCACTTTGACATGAGTTGTTGTGTGTAGAATGTTGAAAATAATGAATTTAATCCATTTTGGAATAAGGCTGTGAATAAGGCTGTAACTTAACAATGTGGAAAAAGTGAAGTGCAGTATGTATAGGTCTTATTTGTTGTAGGTATGCAATTTAAAGTTAAGTTTATTAATGTCATAATTTAGTTCCTTTTGTATAATAAACCTTAAAGCCTTAAGGAGCTGCCAGCATAACTCTGTTTTGTTACTGGGCAAGTAGAACCATCAGTATAGTCCTTTTAGGGCATCATTGCCACTTAGCCTTTATTTTCTCTAAATCTCTATTTGAATCAAGGTCTCTTCTCTAACTGGGCTTTCTTCTCTCATTTATTGTTTCATATTTATCCAAAGACCTGTGATTCCAATAATTAAGCTATTCTGGGTTTATAATAATTACTTTAGTAGCAATGGTACTAAAAGACATACAAGATCAATGCTCTTACTATGAATTTATTCATACTTTGTATTGATGTTGGGCTCCCACGTAAACCAAGACTGACTGGAATGCATTGTTGCAACAGGACCTCCGCAAGGAGTTTGTCTTCACACCTAATTGTGAATTCTCTCTTGGTGAGAGCCCTTAGATGTGATTGGTCAAGCCACAGACACCACAAGGGTCCCTTTGCTGCCGACTGAGAGCTGATATTCTTCTCTGAAAACGTTCTTTCCGAATTCCTAAGCCTTTCTGCTGGCGCTGGTCGGTGTAAGGTTGAGACGGAGTCTCCTCAAATCAACTTTTCAAATTGCCGCACGTCGAGGACGGGAGTTTGGATTCAGGCTCTCTAGCTTTCGGTGGGTCGGCCTCTCCAACGCTTCCCGGACCGAAGCTCGTTAGTGAAAGCCTTGTTTTAGCTCCTCCGGAGAGGTCCTCACTCCCGGCCCAAGCAGCTCAACGCGAGAATACCGCTTCTTCTACCCCCTTGCATACTCGTGTGTTAGAGAGCCGATGTCAGATTAACATGTGTCTTTATTTTTGTTTTGATGTTTACTGCATTGTGAGTGATGACGTATGTTTTTGAACTGTGTGATGAAGTTAACCACTTTTGTGTTTCACTGTCATCTGTTTTGCTTTAAGTCTTTCTTATGATTAATCATTTGTTAACCAACACACCTGTCCCTGCACACATATAGATTGACCTACAGACAGAGGTACAACGATATGAGGAACGCACGTGGTGTACAAACACGGCCTCAGCAACACCTCTGCCGGCTCGTAGCCACACAAAGCCTGTCGTGGGTCGGTAGCTTTGCTCCAAGCTTCCTTTCTCGCTTACATCTTCCCTTTCTCACACACTCACTCACACACACAGACTTCCTCCACATGAATGAATGAATGTTTTTATTTGTTGTTTAGATATTAGGATATTGTATAATAGCTTTTGTTGATTTCAAATGGTATTGATCTGATTAGTATTGTTGGAAGTTAATAAACCCTGTCATACTTTAAGCAGCAGTTTCCTGTGATTTCTCTGTGCATATCTACTGTGATGCTGGTTGAAAACAGCCAGTGTAGAAACTGAAACCTTCAATTCATGCTCTTAATGAGTGAATATCAATTATGAGACTTACTTTATAGTTTGATTATTAGTCCAGTTTCAGGGTGATACCCCGTTATATATTTATTTTGTGAATTATCTTAGAAGATTATTATTTTTTCTAGATATTAACAGTGTACTCATCCTTTTTTTGTGTTGCAAATTAAATTGGTGCAGAATGGGTGCTGTCTGAAGAACCGATTGTAAATTAATGGTTGAAGATGATGTGTGTTGCACAAGTTGCAGGTAGTCACTGCAGACTGACAGTGACAGTGAGATGCAAAAGTGGCAGGCTGCAGGTTCTTTTCTTAGAACGGCAGGTTTCTTTTTTCAGAACGGCATAAACCAATAACAGACCAGCATGTGGCTGCATAGACCCGCCTCCTCATCAATATGCAAATCCTGTAAAATGCTTTTTTTCATTGACAAATTAGCACATCACAGCAACTTAAAAGTAGGACAGCGTCTTGAATAAAGTGTCTTTTTATCTCTGCAATTTCCATCGTTATTTCAAAAGAAATAACGATGGAAATTGCAGAGATAAAAAGACACTTTATTGTATTTCCTCATATAGCCCGAAACTTGTCATTTTGCCAATGTTTTGATTACCGTATACTTCAGCTGCGTCATGCCACTCTGAATCCCAACATGTTACGATCATATAAACGGCATGTCACTCGGTGATCCCATGTAAGACTCATTGGCATTCTGATTCAATGCTTCATCATCTTCAAGATCCTCATTTACATGGGATTCGCATATGAATGAGGAGGCAGGTCCGGAACGTGACGTTCTGAGATTGGTTTGTGCCGTTCTAAAAAAGGAACCTGCCACTTTTTGATATATTTTTTAACTTGGTGCCACTGGACTGACAATTGAAAAAAATACAACCATGAATAGTCTATAAAATTAAAGGATTTAACTCTACTTTAAAATATTTGATCCTTCCAAGGGTTTGGTTCAGTAAGATTGTTATGCATCAAACATATATATATATATATATATATATGTATATTTAGCATGGAAACAACGTCACCATTTCTTCCACGCTAATTTTAGGATCACTCCTTTGCCATATTGTTTGTTTGGCTTACCGTTGAGCCAGTTAAAGGCTAATGTGAAGCAGGCATAACAGGGAGAGGCTCTCATGAGAAACCAGCTGTGTCTCTTCAAATTATCAGCCTTCACAACTCAGCAGCTCCTCTCACTTGGTTAGTCCAATTAGCTTCACATGCACAGTAACCATGAGGCTAGTCAAACCCGGATTAACCATATGGCCAATTGAGCAATTGCCCAGGGGCCCTTGACCGCTAAATGGCCCCTGGCCAGTGAGGGCACAAGCAAAAAAATCTGGTCATGTCTCGCTTATAAATTAAACTCTCCGCCGAAGCCGTTGCGCTGCTCAGAATCTCGGCCCCTGGCTGCCTGCGACTGTGTTCGTGAGCTGTCACTCTCTCCTCATTGGTCAGTCCCAATGACTCATTCGGACTGACCAATGAGCAATGAGGTGGGTCAAAGGTGACACCAGTCAACGTGCACTGAGCAGGTCGCGTGACGTCAAGTGCTGTGTCCCCAAGTGCAAAAAATGCGAACATGGAGAAGCTAAGTGGGAGCGCTAAACAGAAATTAAAAACACCGTAAATTTAAAGTATATAGGGCACGAACTCGTGACGAGCCACTGGCAGTCCTCCAACTTAACTCTCCATAGAACGAGCCAACGAGCTGCAGCTGCGCAATGAGCAGAGTGGCTTCAGGTGTGATCCGGTGCACGCCCGGCTCGTCCCCGCCGCAAGGCGCGTAACCCTCTGGCTGGCCGAGCCATAACAATACCCCCCCCTCCAAGGGAGCCACCCGGCGACTTGCCAGGCTTCTCGGGATGGGCCCGATAAAAGGCGGTCAGAAGCCCCGGGTCCATGATGAGCCGGCGGGATACCCAGTTACAGTGCTCCGGGCCATAGCCCTCCCAGTCCACCAGAAACTGGTACCCTCGCCCCCGCCCCCGAACGTCCATCAGCCGGCGAACCCTCCACTGAGGGTGCCCGTCCACGATCTGGGCGCATCCGGGGCAGGAGGCATCAGGGGACTGTGGGTGACTGGCTTAATCCTCGAAACAAGAAAAACGGGATGCATCCGTATTGAAGCCGGTAGTCTCAGCCTCACTGCCGCAGGACTGAGCACCCTCGCGACCTCAAAGGGACCCACGAAACGGGGGTCCAGCTTCTTGGCGGCCGACTGCACGGGAAGATCCTTGGCGAACGGCCAAACTCTCTGCCCCGGGTGGTATGTCGGCGCTGGGTTCCGGCGACGATTGGCCCCCCCGGCTGCCACGTTCAGCTGCTTGGAGTAGGACGAGGGAGTTGATGGAGTACTCGACCCATGGGAGGAACCGACTCCAGGAGGACGGGTTCTTGGCAGCCACACAGCGGAGTGCCGACTCCACGCTCTGGTTCATCCTCTTCATCTGCCCGTTAGTCTGTGGGTGATAACCAGAAGAGAGACTGACAGAGGCACCCAAGCCCTTGAAGAATGCTCGCCATACTTGGGATATGAACTGAGAAGTGGTTCGAGACCACATCCTGGGGAAGACCATGGAGCCGGAACACATGGCTCATCAGGAGGTCCGCCGTCTCTGACACCGAAGGGAGTTTGGGGAGGGCCACCAGGTGTACCCCCTTACTGAGCCGATCTACTACGGTTAATATCACCGTCCTACCCTGGGAGGGCGGTAGTCCAGACACAAAGTCCAAGGCCACGTGGGACCAGGGGCTGCTAGGAACAGGAAGGGGTTGCAGTAGCCCGGCGGGTGCCCGGTGAGAGGCCTTGCTGCGGGCACACACGAGGCAGGCCAATACAAAGTCCCTCACCTCGTTCCTCATCGTAGGCCACCAGAAACGTCGAGCCAGGAAGGTGAAGGTGCGGTGGACCCCCGGGATGGCAGTACTGAGGTACTCGGGACCTGACCGATTCCGGGACGAAAAGCCTCCGTGGAGGCACGCCACTCGGAGCAGGGTGGGAGCGCAGCGCCCTCTCACGACAGTCTTGATGCCCCAGGCCACCATGCCGATCATCCGGGCTCCGGGAATGATGGTTGCTGACTCCTCGGTGGCCATTCTCCTCCCCTGATGAAGTCGGGACATGG